AGATCATCACGCGTCATCATATCTCTAGGAAGTGGATATTTGTTCTTTTCTTCATAATTTTTAGGTAAGCCGACTCTGCGTGCAAACATCAATGAGAAGGGTGAACTCAACGTCTTATTCTTGATAGCGTTGTTGATAGAAAGCTGGACTACTGGTAAGTAGTAATCCCAGTCTTTGCTATTCGATTGACACATCTTTCTCAGTGTGCTTTCAACAATTTTTACACTGGATTCAGCACTTCCATTTCCTCTAGGATGGTAGGGAGTGGAGTACCTTCGATCAATGCCGAGCTTTTTCGAAATAGATTCAAGTAACATGTTATGGTATGCTCTGCCATTGTCGGATTGTAGGATACGAGGAAATCCATAGTCTCCAAAGATCTGCATCAATGTATGAGCAATGGTATCTGATTGTTGGTTCTTAAGTGCTCTGACAATAATATATTTTGAACAAATATCAGTCAAGACCAAGATTTCAGTATTCCCATTTTCAGTTACAGGAAAAGGACCTGCAGAATCAACAGATACATGATCAAAGGGTCGCAATGCAATAATGCTTGTCAGTGGATGGTAACCTCTTTTTGCTATATTATGCTTTTGGCACTCAGGACATGAACTTACTAGTTCCTTGGCTTCTTGATACATATTTGTCCAATGAAGTCCTTGAGAGTGTAGTTCACGCACAATAGCATGGCTGCCAAAGTGTCCAAAAGTATGTGCATCACGCAAGAGCTTTTCTCTTTCAGTCTCAGGCGGTGTAAAATAATCAAGTGGTTCTTTAGTCTGCTCAACCAGCTGCGTGGTAAGAACATGCAGGTTTTTATCTCTGCTATATTTCTTCCTGCAAATAGCAACTCTTTTTATTTTGGCAGCTTGTACATTTCGCTTTCGATTGCCAGTGCTACCCCCTACCAGTTTGTGATCACCTTCGAATTGGTCGAGAGGGGAATACAAACGACTCAACAAATCTGGCAATTTAAGAAGGATACCAGGAATATGCACAGCATCAAAGTCATAAGTCAGAATTTCTTCGTACCAATTCAACATCATATTGTTGCAATCTCGTTGAGTATGCATATAAATCAATGCTTTGTGATCTGTGTGCAATGTAAATCTGCGTCCCCAAATATATTGATGGAAGCGACGAAAAGCCATCAGAACACCATATAACTCACGACGAGTAGCACTCCATCTGTGTTGTGAGGGTGATAGAGCATTGGACACAAAACTAATATATTTGTCTCTACCCTTATCATCTCTCTGAAATAATACAGCGGATATACCATACTGAGAAGCATCAGAGGCAACAAAGAATTCTTTGGTGAAATCAGGATAATGCAAAAGCATATTTGAGTGTAAGATGGCTTTCAAGGCATTAAAGCTCTTAGTTTGCTCATCAGACCACAGCTCTTCTACGTTCTTTGCATGGCTCAATCTAGTCAAAGGCTCAGCAACAGTAGAGATCATCGGTACAAATTCTCTAAAATAATTGATTAACCCCATGAACTGTTGAATGTGTTTCGCTGTCTTTGGTACTGGCCATGATTCAACGTTAGTGAGTTTGGCGTTATCAACCATAATCCCATCTGCATTGACCACAAATCCAAGCATCCTAACTGACTGCTGAAACCAAACACATTTCTTTGGATTCAAAATCAATTTGGCTTGTATCAATCTGTCTATCACCATTTTGACATCTTTGGCATGTTGCTCGGGTGTTTCACTGGCCACGATACAATCATCAACAAAAGATTGAACGCAATTCATACCCTCAAACAAAATGGCCATAACCTTACAGAATTGAGAAGTTAGGCTCTTTAGTCCAAAGCATCCCTTGATGAAGCAGTATTGTTGTCCATTATGAGAAAATGTTAATTTATGCGCATCTGGAGGATGGATTTTAAAGCGATGATATGCATTAGAGAGATCAAGGGTTGAGAAAATCTTCTTGCCTCTTAAGTTTTCAAAAATGTTTCTCACCAGTGGCACTTCAAAGTTATATGTTGGTGGTAAGATCTTATTTAAAAGTCTAACATCCAAACAAGCTCGATGGCTGACAATTTCACCCTGTTTGTTCTTTTTAGGTACAAGTAACACCGGGCTATTAAAAGAAGTATTGACACCACACTTCTCTATTGTTTTTGTTCTAAGCCATTCATTTATCTGTTCATCTAGGACAGGCCTCAATGTATGCGGGATGCTGTACTGACGACGATAAGCGGTTGCTCCTTCAGGTGTGGGCAACTTGATAATGGATTCTGGAATAGGACAAAATGACTCTACTGGTATCTTTTGATTTTCATCAATAGCATCTTGGATGGAAGCCATAAACTGTGCAACCTCCTCAGTAGATCCAGCAGGTGAATTATCAGGTTCAGGTGTATCAGTTGTTACGATGTTTGCATTAGAGAAGATAGAGTCTTTATCATTTGGATCAGCACTATCATTTTCTAAATTGTATGCAACACCTGTAAGTGCAATACCCATTTACTCATAATGTCCGTACCAAGAAGAATGTCAAAGTCAAAGCTATCATTAAATCTATGACTTCCAATTGGTGTCTGAATGAATTCCATTTGTATATTTTATAGTCAAAGGATCTGTAATACCAATACGAGAAATTTTATTGTCTTTAGACAAGCAATTAAAGAAACCACTAATATTTTTGTTTATTTTGTTTATATTTAATTTAGCTCTAAGCGAGTCTAGCTTTATAAAAGTATGTGTGCTTCCGGTATCAACCTTTGCCATCATCTTGTGGTTTTCTATAATAATAGGTGTCAATAAGTCAAAAGTGTCTTTATGTAAAGCATCTTTCGCTTTAATCTCGTTTGTGTACTTACAGTCAAAGCAATCATCCGTGATCATTTTAGTATCATCGTCTGTTTCTTTTCTGTCATTGTCATTGTCTTTATTTTTATCATCATTGGTCTTTGCAGCTGTCAAAGCCAAGACATTTCTTCTTGTACAACTGTGACCGGGAATCCAAGGTTCATCGCAAAATCTGCAAGGATTGTCACGTTGTCGAGAGATAGTTGCCTTCTCCTTTTCTTTGTTTTTATTCTTGCTTATGGTATAGCACTTATCCGTGGTATGAGTGCTATTTTGCCCATGCATCTTGCAAAAGTATGATTTGCTGGTGCCAGGTTTATTGTAAGGTGCAGAGCGATCAACCTGCGTTCTTATCGTTCTAGCATGTCTCTTAGCATGACCCAAAGGGTTCACACCAACAGCATGACTCAGCCCTGCCACACCAGGCAACAAGGAAGTAGACGTAGTATATTTGGACGCATCATCACCCAACACATCTCTTGCGACATCGGCTATGTTTTCCACAGTCCAACTCGAAGAATCTTCTGTCTGTCTACCCAACGTATTCATACACGCCAGACGTGTCAAAGTCTGTACAGGAGCAGTCAGAGAAGCAAGAAAACGATCAGCTACTCGAGGATCATCCTTCGGTATGCCAGCATTGTAAACAGTTTGAAGAAAGCGATTGGTGTATGTGCCAATGGGTTCATCGTTCTTCATGGTCATAGTAAACACCTGAGTGTTATACTCCCTAGTCTTGAACTTCGAACCAAAGTGCTTTTTAAATGCTTCTCTTGCTTCAGTCCAGGATCCGCAGCGCTTCAAGTTAGTCTGGGCCCAGGCATCCGCTCCATACGGAAGACACAATGGAATGTATCTTTTCCACACGGCTTCAATATCCTGTGAGGAAGAGTATACCACATTCTCAAAGGTACGTAGAAAGTGCTCATCCGACTCAAAAGCCTCTTCGTTAGGAAAGGGTCTATGTGAGTTGGCTAGTAACTGATATTTGGGCAAATCCCGGCGACTCAAAGAAAGGCCACTCGAAACAGCTCCAACGCTAGCACTAGAGGAAACATTATGCTTTTGGAAGCCGGTGGGCTCTGCAGCTCCATCAATCTTCAACACCATAGACTTATATTCGTCTAAGCTGCGGATGCTCGATTTAATGCGCTCCACTTCTTGGAGTGCTCTATCGGCTGCGGCACTATCATTTAGGCTCCTAGCAGTGCCAAAAGCTCTCAACGTAGATGCCATTTCGTTTCACAGCATAGCGAGGTTTTCTTCTACCATTCTGTAGTCTTGGCCAGGACTTGCAGCCGAGCTAACAGTTGATGCTTCACTAAGTATTTGATCAATCGACTCATCCATCTGGGCATCAGTCAATGTTCCAGCAGAAGGTCCAATAGTCAAAGAGGAGACATCAAGGTTGGTAATGTTTTCAAAGTTACCAGAGTTACCAGAGTTACCAGAGTTACCAGAGTTGTTCATCTTGTAGGATTTACCAAGCAATTAACGGAAAAAAATGTTGTGAGATGAAGAGAGAGTAGATATTCAATAAGAGAAAAGGTAAGAACACAGAGAAAGTCCGTTAGAACTTGTATAGGTTTTTATTTCTCCAAGAAAAATGTTATCCTTCAATTGCTATAAAATGTCAAGGTATTTATACTTTTTCTTCTCGGTCAAAATATTGTTTTGGGTTAGCTTCTTGACTATGGATTGATTTGTTAGATCAGGAGCAATTAAGAGAAATGCCTTTAGAGGAAGTTGTCAGCTCAGCCAATAGTACATGATCTGACCTGAACTTGAATAAACTATTACATATTTGTCAAATGCCAATGCCAATGTATTTGTCAGCTCTAACTGTCACTTTATAAGGGCCATTAATAATAACAGAGTCAATAGGTTCATAATCTCTGTCTATGAGGATGATGTAGTACTTCTAGTAGAATGAGTGAATGTCAGTGACTATAGATCCATTGCAATTGCCATAGATGTGATCTGGTCTTTTGCCATGATCATCATTTATTGATCTATGCATATGAATTCATATATGTTCACAACATTGTTCTTTCAATCTTATTTTTCCTGTAGGGTCTTAACTCGAGTTCGTCATCACCATGGTTTGCCATCATGCTACTTGTACTGGTTACATCGGCATGATTTATTTCCATTGGAGTCTCAGAAGTTTCACCACTAGGGATTAATCCAAGAGCAACCTTCTTTTTCTTAGACGCGCGCATAGTACGAATGGCAGCTAAAAGATCACCTTGAGCCTCACGGTCTAGAATCATCCAATCCAGTAAGGATAGACCAGAATTAAGTTGACCTAGCGTGTTGAGAATCTTATTCTTGGAGCGTTCAACATTGGTATATTTCACCGGCTTTCTCTTTCGCCTCTTCTTTTCACCTGCATTCACCCTGTTAGGTAGTGTGACCTGAACTTGCGGTGGTGAAGAATATGTTTGATTTGAGTGAGGCATTTGGAGTGTTGGTTCAGCAACTTGTCTTGGGGCAGTTAGATTATGCACCACTTGAGGATCTTGGACAGCTTGATTTTGATGATGCGGTATCATGTTTCCCTGTGATACTTGAGTGTTCATTTGTTGTTGTGGTACTTGTACGGGAATTGGTAAATCACGACTAATCCCATTATCTTCTGGCTCATTGGTAATGATTCTTCTCTTCTTCACAGCAGCGGACATGATATGCATCTGAGGTGTTTGTGGCATGGCATCGATATAGTGTATTTGATTTGTAGTAGAGGGATTTTCTTGTTTTTGCACATCAGTACCCTCGTTTCTTACTGATGTGCTGGGCCTTTTCCCGAACTTTCTTGATTAGCAGCATTGTCCTTTTCCCAGACAGGACATTCGTACTTTTTGTGTCCTTCTTGCTTGCAATAGTAACATGTCATGGGGGGTCTCTTGAAGTTGTTACCAGCATTCATCTTCTGAACATTATTGCCTGAAACATAATTTCCGGGCTTGTTGGCTTTTGCCTCCAAAAGGCTTACTTTCATGGCTTGAAATTCTCGGATCAATTCGCTTATTTGGTCTGAATGAACCGAATGAATGTCTGAGTCGACTGATGATCTGATGAAACTGCCTGACTTGGTACTAGTATTATCCGTAAAAATTTGAGGTATTTGATTGACTTGAGTTACATTCTTTCTTTGGTACTTTTTCAAGAATGACTCGGCTTTGGTAGCTTTCTCCAAGATCTTGACCAACTTGGTGTCTTCATCGATACCAGTTCTCTCGACTTCAAGCGCAATTTCAGGATGAATGGCCTTCATAAAAGTTCTCTTGATCATCTTTTCATCTTGTACACCGACGAGTTGATACAATTCGCGAATCTTGATGTCAATATCTTCGACAGTTTCATTTTTGCCTTGTCTGATTGTGTGGATTTCATCCCACCATGCTTCGACTTGACTACTACAATATTTGCTCTTGAATGATGATTTGAAATCCGCCCAAGATAACTTCTCTGGTTCAGGATGAGATAGGTTGAACCATCTGGCAGCTTGCTCGGTCAAATGATCAGCAGCAATGATCACAGTGTTAAAGTCATCTAATCGACCTAAAGTCTTGATACGATCTAACTTTTTCAACCAAGTGAGAGGATTAATTTTTCGAATGTCACCGGAAAAGTCGGTTGGGTTGTTCATAAATTTAATCAAGTATGGGGAATCCAATACTGAATGTGTGCTGCTTGTTGCAATCGATTTGTCTGGATTTGCCATAACGTCTTGTTTCTTTGTGTATCTTTAATGTATTTATGAGTGTGTGTTTCAATAATTGGTAATTGAATTCAGTGATTGATTGAGTGTAAGTAAAAATATTGCCAGGATACCAAGATGTGTTTTCTTTGTTTTCCACCTTAGCCGCACCAAAAATGTCAAGGTATGATGGTGAGTTTTCAATCAAAGTGAAGCAGTTGTATTTTATTGTGTTGCGATATTTTTTTTGTTAATCTGTGCAATCTTCTTGAGATACAACAAGGACAAAGGATAAAGGATAAAGGATAAAGGATAAAGGATGAAGGAGCCTAATTGCACTTCATAAGTGACCAGAAAATAACATACATTTCAAGTGCACTTACAAATCCAACAAATAATAACAAAGTATGATTCTTACAACAAGTATGGCTTCAAAGGTACAATAAATAAAATATAACTAAAATACACTAATGTTAACTAATGCTTGACTTCTACACATCTTCCAGATAACTACCAAGTATTTCCAAATTTACAAGTTATCAAGATTAAGCCGTTAGCCAAAAGTTCTTCTTTCTTGTATTTCAATTAATAATATTTCTTGATCTTCAATTCCTTCTTCTAATAGTACTCCAAGCAATTTATCTTTTCAACCAAAAGATCTTCCAATTCTTGAGTATATCTAGACAGTAAAGAATTCTTCAACCAAAATGTTCTTGTGGGTATTTGATTAGACTGAAATAATCAAATGTTCCAAAAAATAGAAATAAAATCCCTTTTTTTTTATGATAATAATAATGATGATAATAATAATGATAATAATAATGATGATAATAATAATCTTTTTATTTCTTACAATGTTTGTCATATTTATACTTTTCTTTATCAATTTAGATAGAAAATTTCTTGACTCATTTTGATCATATGCTGCAACTTGATAAACGATTTTCACAAACATAAGTAAAAGAAGATAGATAACAAAATAAAACAGCAGATAGTGAAGTGTGTTGATAAGTCTGTTCAAGATAGATAAAGAGTTGATTTCCATTTTCAATGCATTTGTACTTCATTTCCCTTTTTTGGCATGTATCGAGATTTTTCCGTTCTTGCTTCATGTGTCCAAGAGAATCTTGACATCAGCACCTTTTGCTCTTCAGCAAATCAAATCAGTTCCAAGTAATGATGACGTAACAAAAGCACTGCGAAAATCACAAATTTTGATCATCAATCTCAAACTTGTCAACAGTACAGCCTCTTTGGTAGTATAGTGGTGAGTATCCCCGCCTGTCACGCGGGAGACCGGGGTTCAATTCCCCGCCGGAGAGTTCTTATTTTTTCCATTTCATAGAAATGATCATTCTTAAATTTTGAGGCCTTTATTTTTTATTTTTTATTTTTTATTTTTTATTTTTTCCTCTTTTCTTATTTCTTACTGATTACTATGAATCAAGCTTCTCGGGGTTCTCGCGTTGTGTTTGGCAAGTGATGCTTTTTACTTATCTTAGACTTATTTAATAATTCTTATTCTAGTTGGCAACATTCCTTTTGAGCTTTCAGAAGAACAATTGATTGAAGTGTTCAAAGAAGTTGGTCCTGTTGCTTCTTTTCGGTAACTTGAACGACCTTATACTTGTGTAGTACTCAGTTTTTTTTTATTTTCGCACAGTCTCCTTTTTGATCGAGACACTGGTAGACCTAAAGGTTATGGTTTTTGTGAATTCCTAGGTAAGTGGCTTGTTGGATATGATTCGCGTTAACCTGTATATAGATGCGGAAACAGCAGCGAGTGCAGTTAGAAACTTGAATGATTATGAAATTGGAGGACGCCAGTTACGTGTTGATTATGCTGCTATGGATGACAATCAAGGTAGACCTAGTGGTTACAATCAAAGTAGGGGAAATCATCACTCTCAGCAGCAGCAACTACAACAGCAACAACCTCCACTACTACCTCAAGCGACTATAGTATCACAACCACTTCCAGCCATAACACCACCTCAAAACTCGCTACAAAGCTCCCTAACTCCTTCGCAAGTACCAGTGAATGTCTCTTCTGCTAATCTGTCTTCAGTGGATGAGATATCGAAAGTGCTTGCTTCTATGAATTCCCAAGACTTATTTACGTTAATGAGTCAAATGAAGGTAAAGATTGTTTATGTGCATTCATTCCAATGGGATATTCATACCTTTATGTAGCAAATGTCCTTCGAAAGACCTGATTTTACGAAAGAATTTTTGACTTCAAATCCTCAAGTCGCTTATGCTTTATTCCAGGCTATGATTATGATGAATATTGTAGATCCTAACATCATCACTGTAAGTAACTTGCATATAAATACAATCTGATAATGGATGGTAGCGTATTATGACTTCAGCAATGACACCTGCTGTACCCGTAATGCCCATGGCACAACCTCAGCCTATACGTCAGCAAGTGAATACACCACCTATGTCCCAACCTATGCCAATTGTGCCCACTAATCCAGAAGATGATCCAGAACATCAAAAAGCAGTATTGATGCAAGTTTTGCAATTAACAGACGAACAGATCAGTTTACTTCCTGCTAATACCAGAGAACAGATTAGACAGCTGGTAAGTTGTATTTATCAGTATTATATATCATTTATTTACTTATTTGATTAGAAAAGTCAACTGACTATGCAATAAACTTGTTAACAATATTTCACATGTTGGCCTTTACTGGCTCTTTTTTCTAATTTCATTTGACGTTTTGATTTACCCGTGTTTGACTCTTGTTCGGATGGCTTTTTTTGGCTTAGATAACCCATAGCGATAGGCACTAACTTATATGCAGCATAACCAGGAATCTAATTCAAATGTTAAAAAAAAAAAAAACGATGTCTAACTGTGACTTACGACTATATATGTATACCAAAACTTGTTTGAAATGAAGGCAGTGGTCAAATGAACAAACCAGGTAATATATATGATATCAAACATGTATCTATCTCATATCTTGAGAATGTGGTATGTATAATGATTTGACTACTTACGCTGTTAAACCCTCTGCAGCAAGGTCATCACCACTTCTGATTAAAGTACCATCAGCACTGTATTCAGGAGTACCTGAGGAAAGAAGAACACGATACAGCAACATACTTATTCCAGCTGTTGTAACGTAAAGCAAACATTGTCCAAAAGTAAACGTGCTCCAGTGATAGATAATACGCCACAAGACATACACAGCCTACAAGGCATGAGTGATTAAACAGTATGATAATTACTTACATTGATAGCCATAATACCTTTTTGAAGATTGACGAGCGTCTGTTTATTTTTAGTTGCAACCTTTTTCGATGATGCGTTTGCCTAGCGTTTGATTAGCTTTATATGTCTCTAGTGTTTTATATTTATACCATTCTGGAGAAGGAAAAAGAAATAAATGCGGACTTTCACGGCAAGTTTACTTCTTTTCTTTATGTCTTTGTTTGATAAAATATCTGGCTTAGCTAACAAGGCCAAAGAGAATGTTGTCTCAAAGACATTCCTTTCCAAAGACAAAAGACTAGAGCAGCCTCTTTCGCGGGATATTGACCTGAACGATATTTATTTTGAAAAAGTAACACTTCACTACAACTGTTTAGATGGCTAAACGCAATAGATATCCAACTATGGTTTACCTTCAACTGTTCAGGTAGTTGCATTTGATTGTGTAGCAGGCTTATTAGCAGTGGGTAATACATGATACGAACCATAATATCATTTTGACTGTTTTTTAGCTGGTGGTCAGAGTAAGATCAAAGTGTTTGGTAAAGGCATATCAGCCCTGATCCATGTACCCAAATCAGAAGGCATCAAATATATGCAATTCAAGACAGGCTATCCTATCTTGAGTGTAATTGACAAGGCTAATACGATTATCACTGTGGACTTAAGGACACAGTCTATCCGACATGCCTTTAAAGCACCTGATATTATTACATGTCAAGCATATTATCCAGGCACAGACTGGCTGTTTATAGGGTATGCGAATGGGTTTATTGATGTATTTGACATGATGCAAGGCACACTCTCTCCTTATCAAATACCTGATCTAGCACAGAATGGCAAATTAGTACTGGATCTTCAGTTACACCCTACTGAATTGAATACACTCTTGATTGGCTATGAAAACAAGATGTTTATTTGGAACATACGTGAACAGACCATCCGACGTTCATTCAGTTTGCCTCAGTCCACAAGTCTGACATGTTTAGTATGGAGTCCACACGCAGCTCGTTTTATGGCTGGTTATGATGATGGCTTTATTCATTTGTGGGATACCAAGCACGAACAAAAACCGATTGCGTCTCGTAGACTATCTGAAAACTCAGTTCAATCAAGTGAAGACCCAGAGCCTATCTATCAAATGGCGTGGTATACAAACAGCACAGCACAACGTTCTTACCTTGTTGTGGCTGGTGGACTGAACCCTACAGACATCCGAGGTTTGAATATTCTTGAATATGATTTAGAAGGAGAGCAAAGAGAACCTAGAAAACAGACCATTTTGCCTACAGGTGTGTCTCATTTTATGATGCTCAATAAAGACATCTTTTATTCTGGCATGGCGGATCCTCTAGGTATTGCTATTGTAGATAATGACCACTCTTTACAAGTGTTTAGTTTGGAGCATGGATTTCCCTCACTTCAGTTACCCCCCGCGCTTAACTTTCTTTCTCCTTTTGTGTTGAGTGTATGCTATATTTCTCAATTACCTGATCAAGTCTACAAAAAACTGACCACAATCACACAAGAAGATTATCGTGTACGCCATATGCCCATCACAGGTGGTATTGCTGGGCCCGATCATGTCTATCAGATTAACTCTAATGATATTCTTGTCACTGTTCATGAGGGCGAAATACTCAAGTTCTGGGATGCGTCCTTTACTGCTCTTCGACCACTCTATTCTCGTACAATCCGATGCTCTGATTATACACCTGCCTTATTGTGTTGCTTGGATTTAAATAAAGAGACTGGTATACTTGCAGTTGGCTACAGTGATGGATCCATTATACTGTATGAATGTTGTCAAGAAACCACTGTGCCTAAGAGCAAGGCGTTCATTGATAGTTGTGACGATACACTTCAAGAGATTTCTGATTTACTACAAGATATGGAAGTGGAAGAAACAAGTCCTCCTGTGCAAGAAAATACAGAGGAACCCAATGAACAAGATACAGAGATGAAGTCTAAATTCACTAGCCTCATAAATGATAATTCTTCAAATACTATGGGTTATTCTGCTAATATGATGGTCACATTAGGTAAGGCTGCTGTTACGAATATCATGAGTATTACTACATCCATGTAAGTGTTCTTGAGGCATATCTTTAGGCTGACATTGTTTTTTTTTTCTTAGTCTTGCTGTTGCTACAGAAGATGGAAAAGTGTACCTTGTGGATATTCAATCACAGTCCATCTTGTTTTCATACAATATTGCCCAATCTGACCATCAGAATCATATCACACTTCAGATGACTAAGCCAGAGGCTGATCACTCTAACTTAGTTGAAAAGAAGCCTGCCTCCATCATATCTTTGCATTATTTCTATACCTATTCGCTTACTAAAGGTAATCATGCTTTCATTTGTGCATTGGCTCATCGGTCGTATTAGTGACAGATATCACTATTCAACTCTTTGTGGGTCTTAGCAATGGTCATGTATATCAATTTGATTTGTTTGAATTGATCCAAAAGGGTGATACACTCTTAGCTGCTGTTGATAAACTCAATGAGTATTTGATATTGAATACTACTCCACTGCGCGATATTCACATTGTGGATATCAGAGGCCATTTGCAACTCGAGCCTACTGAATATCCTGTACAGGAGCCTGTTTTGACAAAAGAGACTAGCCAACATTCCATGGCTACTGCTTCAAGTGCAACAACGGAAATATCTGAAGAAACAACAGAAGCCACAAGCAAAAATACTAGTATGGTAAGCAAAAGCAGTAGCAATGTACCATCAAAGCGAATGTTGGCCATTGGTAAAAGCGAATATCGTCAGCAAGAATATCCTCATTTTATGGTCTGTGTATTTGAGACGAGTGCGGATGTAGTATTGGCTGGATATAATGTCAAACTGTTTTCACGAGAATTTCCTAAAGATACCAAGCAAGTCAAAAGTCAAATAATTCAGTCAAATAGTAAGTATATATGCGCTGGAGTTTTTATTCATATATATTTGGATAGACAGTGTATGTTTGGTGGTCTTGCTGGATAGTGGTAAACTGGTGTTTTATTCACTGCCTACATTGGAGCCAATGATGAATATCAGCTTGCCCAACACATGCTTGTTAAGTCGGTTATCGGAAGCAACTTTATGTAGCGATGGACGAATTGTATTTTGGACAGGTCAATATGAATTAGAGCAGTATTCTTTTGTCCATAAGCCAGATTTGTAAGTCATTATGTGTTTGTGTGTACGGCTAATTGTATTGATATCTAGCCCTTTGGGCCAATCTGTGATTTTATTTGATTCTACTATTGCTCCTCCAACTCATTTATCTTTAGAACAGCAACATCAAAAACCCAAAAAATCATGGTTAGATACTGTTGCAGGCGCATTTCAGAAAGAACCATTGACAATAGTTGAGTTGGATACTATTATGGGTCGTGTGCCAATGGAGAATCCAGATACTATTCGTCAACAAAAAATTGAGGCTTATAAGGCAAAGGTGCAACAAGAAGCAACATCCAGTAAGCCAGGTGGCGTGTTTTCTCAATTGGGAGATAAAATGAATGAGCGTGGAGAGAAATTGAATCAAATGGAGCAAAAATTTGAGGAACTCAACAATGCCTCGGGTGATTTTCTGAAGGCTGTTAAAGAATACAACGAAAGGCAGGCACGAAAGAAATGGTGGGAGTTCTAAAACGAAATGACCTTCCTTCTCAATAAAATCCCAGAGCATATATATATATGTATGTATGTATGTATGTAGATGAAGGATATTGCCTTTTCTTTATTGACGGATAGTATTTACTTGAATGGAACTATTGTTCAGATAAATTAAGGGTAAAAGAGAGAGAAAGAATAGAATTAGTCTTTTTTATCTGGCACAGCTGTGGTTGAGCTACTGGTAGTGGTGGTGCTTGTGTATAACGGCGATTGTTTCATAGTTGACATAAATGGATCATGATCTAAACCTGATTTATTTGCCGTGATTTCTGAACGATTGATAATAGGACTTGTAGTCATAGTTTTTGTATTGGTAGAGTGCGCGTAAAATACTTCTGAACCAAAGTAGTTAGTGACAATAGATTTTTGTTGCTGTAGTACACTATCAGTAGACCCTCTTTCAGCAAGGATATCACATTGACCGCCTGTAGTCTCTTGAAAGCCAGACAGACCATAGGCCTTATTCCCAACCCATTTTTCTTCGTGTGAAATAGTCTCAGCTTGCTCCTGTTTATCCTCATTCAAGATATTTATTGCCTCATCGATCATAGTTGCATGAGCAGAATTGTTCATCTTTTTCTCTGGGCTTAATTGTACATTATCTTGCTCAACAACAATGATATGGTCAGTAGCGACCGTTTGCTTAGCAGTAACAACATTCACCTCTTCCTTGTCAATAGTGTTAGAATTAGATGCATTTACCAATGATTCCTGCTCTATCTCTTTGACTATTGCTTCTTTTTCAGGTGCTTTTTCTTCTGACCGCTCTTCTTTGGCCATAGGATTTTTTGAAACAGCAGTAGTATAGCGCAAAGACAAAACTTCATCTGGCTCACATTCTTCAGTGACTAGGTCTGGTTGGAATTTGAAAGCCTTGTAAGCTTTGTCAATTGCAAAGCTGGATTTGTACGACTTGATATCAAACTCAAATGGTCGATGTTCATAATTCAAGAAACCCAATTCAGGCTGAAATAATTCTTGCTTTTTGGTACATACGGTTGGCAGAATCATATCATCGTTTAATGTTGGTATTGCTTCTTCTCTGTTTTCCAGTAATGTCTTTAATCGCTTCTTAGATTCCTCAATAACTCGTTCGTCAAAATAAAATTCAAATTGATCTCCAGTTGGTGTTTCATCCTCTGGTCCAGCAACAGATTGACTCGAAAGATTACGAGGCTTGATAATTGTGTTGATTTCTGCTGGAGCGAACGACGGTTGATGATCAAGATGTCGTTTTTTGAAGATAGTACCCTGAGATAAGTCCAGTTCAGCTTCCAATGTAGAAGCAATAGCCGTTTGAGGTTTTACCATCATTAAGGAAGCACGTTGTTGTTTGTATCTTTCTTTTTCAAGCTCAATTTCTTTTGATAGTTCAGATGTGGCCATACTGCGAAAAATTGGTGTACGAGGAGAGGATTGGCCAGAAGCCAAAGCACTTGGTAGTTCATATTCTTCATCATCCCATGAGGATTTGAACCCAAAGGTCTTGTTCTTTTTCTTTGATATATTCAAGCTTTCATCTTGTTGTTTTTTGGCTGTTTTTGCTAGTGCTTCATGCAAAGATTGTGTTAAGACCATATTTTCACTTTGTTGTTTGAGTTTATAAAGTGCTTCAAGAGGATCCCATATTTCACTCTTATGTAATTCATTGACCAATGATTGATGGAGCGAGTATTGACTGTTGTCAAAGATATCAGGCTCGTCTATATACCCTTCTTGAAGCAAGTTGCCTTGTTCTTGGCCAAAATACTCATACCCAGGAAATTCTTCTGGCGTAGACACAGTGGCTGGCGTCACAGCAGCAGAAGTGTAAGGTGTCTTTGCCATATTGTAGCTCGCTGAAGGACCTGCAGCAAATAACTTGTGCGATTGTTCAAGTCTATGATAATCAACTGGCTTATCAATATAGACAACTGTGGAGGTTGGTAAAGATAATGCTAGTTTCTTATCAAGTGATGCTTGACTAGAGACTGAACTACGTCGACTCCTCGAGATACTTGCTCTTCGACTTGCACTACGACTATTTGCTCGGCTACTAGCACGACTTCCTTGAGGTGAAGGAGAATATATGTCTTGTTGAAGACGACTAGACGACTTGAGGCGAATAGGGATTAAATCACGGTCACTAATATCATCATCATCTTCATTTTCAATCAAGGAAGCAATAAACTTTTCCATCTTGTCCTGTACGGAGGAATGCATGTGTTCGTCCATAGCAAACAGAGGTTGTACTTGTTCTTCTAACTGCCTGTGCTCAACGCGTTTAGAATAAAAATACATGTCATTTACATTCTTACCCTTCTGCCGCTACATATTCATCTATTTGTTCTTCTTCAAAAGACTTATCAGTAGTGCTTAATTCTAAACAAATTAAATGGTCAAAAGTGATATGGCAAGAATCCCGATTCTTACCAGATTGACTGTGCTCATGATAAGGTTCAGATTGAGACTTTTGTTCAACATGCTGATCCCGACTAATCTGGTTGTCCTGATTGATATCTTTCTGAGGAGCTTCGTCATTGTAATCTTTATGAGCTTGAGGGTATTCAACTTGAGACTGATCAAAATGCACTTCTTGCTTAAGGTTCGCTTCACGCTCAGAATTTTTTTGGTGATTAAAGCTTTCATTTTGGTAAGTTTCTTCATAATGATACTGAGATTCATTGTGTTGATGCTCTTCATGGTAATGATGATGTCCATTGTGGCCTTGAGACTCATTGTGTTGATGCTCTTCATGGTAATGATGATGTCCATTGTGGCCTTGAGGCTCATTGTGCTGATGCTCTTCATGGTAATGATGATGTCCATTGTGGCCTTGAGACTCATTGTGCTGATGCTCTTCATGATAATAGTAAGGTTCTTCATGATAATGGTGTTGCTCCGTATGTTGAGGTTCTTGATAACAATAATCTTCAGAAGGATGACAGAGACTGTTTTCATGGTGTTGTTGGTCATTATGTTGCTCTTCAAGATAGTGTTCCACCAAATGATGTTGTATCCTTGCGTTCTCTTCATCTTGCCATACACGGGTAGGTGTAGGAAAGTGAGAAGGATTTGTGTCCCAAGGAAAAGTAGGTGCATTCACATGCTTTGATTGACTCGAATCTTGCTTGTCTTGCCATAAAGAAACAGGTTCATAATCTGTTGTATTGTATTGAGAATACTCAGGTTTAGTCAAAATGTCAGGTTCTGGATGATGGACAGGTGCAACCCAAACACGCTGTTGTTCCCGCAAAGGTTGGTCCCACACATTTCTAAACATGGATAAATCGGGAATATCTGCCCCAAGACTACCCGTGTTGGGAGGCTCTTGAAATGCGGGATTCCATTCAATCATGCTATACTTGGATTCTTCATGCTTTGGGTGCTCTTGGTGTTGCTTTATAGGAATAGACATACGAGGTTCTTGATATAGCTTTTCGACTTCATTCTATAAGTTGGACAAGATTTAGTACAAGGATGCACTAGAAACTCTACTTCTGTTTACCTGCTGAATCCATTTGGGTTGACTGATAGTAATGCTGGAAATAGGCGGCATAGGTTGAATATGTCTACGTTCATCTTCGAGATTGACAGACTGATCTTCCCAAGCATTTCTTGTTGTCTTTTCGAAAGGTGTGATGGGCATCGTCTTGAATTTAGCATCAAAACCTTCAGACATACCCGAAAGTAAATGGAAAGGAATGGTCTAAATAAAATCAGAGAAATAGATCATGCCTATCCCCACTTACGCGTCCATAATACTTATCCCACGTATCCCACCATAACTGAACTTGACTCTGAAGCCCTTCCCAAGCATTTCCTAAAGGTAACACTTTACCATCTGAGAATCTTTGATATTTCCAAGGCTTGTTCTGCCCAATGAAATGAAGAAGATGGATATTTTGTGTAAATTGATTATGAGCAGGCGCATAACTAATATCGTGTTGAACAAACTGTCTTTTATGATGTAGATAGACTTACCCGTATTGAGATGTCGGTGTTGTGTTATAAGTGAATGGTAGTCGATGTTGAGGAGAAGATGGCCATTGGAAATAAGTATTCAATAGCCCTTGATCGCCGCCTAAAAAAAAAGATAGATTGAGGATGGGAGGAAGCACAGATCACCCTTTACCATCAAAAGACCCTTTTTCGGAAGCTAGTTTCAAAAGATCCTGGAACGTTGATTCGGATGGCTCAGTTACAAACATGCCCGAGTTGAAACAATCTGGCCAACCAGCATCGGGTGCAGCTGAAAATGCAGGTCGGTCAAATAAGTCATCTATATTTTTGAGAGGAAATGTATCTGCATCCAAAAACACGATTTTCGAGTATTGTGTTAAGCACCAAAGGTGTAGTTTAGTAAATGTGATATCGAGTTCAGGGCGGCCCAATAACTCAAGATTAGCTTCGTCTTTTGAGCGTAAAGTATCGACTGGAACAAGCTGACACACTTTTGACAATAATTCTCGTACTTGGGACGAAATAGAAGGTGTGACCATACAAACAATGTCTTTTGTTGAGCCTAAGTCTCTTAATCGATGCGCTAATACAAGAGCACCCGCAGCATATGAGTCAGTAGCAACAAGGGTAACATAGGCTTCCATTTGCTTTTTTTATTTAAAAAAAAAGAAAAAAGAGTAAAAAAAAAAGGATGTGACAAAAGGTATTTATAAGTGACACAGCCCTATTCAAAGAAGTTTCAATTTTCCAGTTACTTGATCAATCAATTCAGCAGGTCCTACATGAGCAAAAGAAAAAAAAATTATTCCCACCTTCAAATTCTTTGTCAGCTCTTACCTGGTCCAACACCAAGCACGGTGCGAGTGCCAGGCGCAGTTTGTGTGCGACCTGCATCTTGAATGACTTGAGCGGGCAAACCTAGACTGAGAGCAATAGCTTGGAATTCATAACTACATAAAGTGAATACGTCCTGATCAAATCATTGTCCTTACAGTTTATCTTCACTGTCACATTTTAATGCAACTTTGGCTTGTCCTGAATATTCCCAGGCTTTCAATAACTAATACCCATTCACCAAATGAATAATGATATATCGCTTGAAACTTACCTTGGGATTAGATTTCTTTGCAGCTTTGTAACAAGCTAAAGTAGCATGTCCACACTAAAAATTGTAAATGGGCTATTGATTTTACAAAAAAAAGAAAAAAAGAAAAAATCTTACCTGTGCAGCAATTTTGCCCTTGGTCATACCAAGATCAGAGCGAACAATCAGGGTCTGTCATGACATTTCAGTCAAATCAACCATGTAAACAATGCTATATATATATACCATTTTGAAATTATCGTATTTATCGGCATCAATTTGTGTATCAGGAAGAGCATCTAATTCATCGTCACTATCTTCCATTGTTTGCTTTTCTTTAGGAACACTGGTCTATTCAGAATAAGAAACATGTCTTTTATGGTTATTATTGAACCCACTTTTTGAAGAGTACGATGACCAAGAAAGTAGCCAGTAACAAAAGCGCAGAGGGCAATAGCAGTGCTAACAAGCATACCTTTTTCCGAGATCTCTGAGCCCATTTTTTTACCTTACAAAGCAGAAGAAAAAATAAAGTGTCTTTCAAAAAAGTCTTTGAAATAAGAACACGGTCACAATAAGCCAAAAAGTACAATCCAGAGATAACCTATTTTTTTTTGTTTTCGTAATGAAGTATAGAGTGGACTAGGATAACAATAAACATACTTTGTTTGTTGAACATGTTTCTTGATATTTAGGCACAATATACTATTGATACAATTGACTTCTTTTTTGGTCTGGTCAATGACTAATGAAGAATTAAACTACCGATATCAAATTTGTTACTTGGCACACACGCAGCTTTTTTTTTCTCGCTTTCTCTTTTCATCAAAATGGATAGATATTCTCGTGGATACGACGATAGATACCGAGGCTATTATGACCGTCCTCGCTCAGACACTTATAGGCCTGGAGAAAACTACCGTAATGAAAGAGATTATAGAGACAACGGACGCAACTATTCACCCAATCCTCATTATTCATCATCTCGCTCACCTGGACATAATGGAGGATCTGGAGCAAGAGGCGATCGCTTTGGCTATTCAGATAATCGACCTTACTCTGGACACTATGGTTCAAGAGGACCTTCACCTTCACGCTCTTCCTCGCGTTCTCCTCGACGACCTTCTTATGGATATTTTCGTGGGGTTCTTCCTATGCATCTTATGGTTCAAGACGATCTCCTTCGCCTGGCAACGGTGGAAGAAGTGGCAGTTCAAGTAGAAGAGACTCTTATGATCATAGACCCTATTATTCTCAATATTCTTCCTCTTCTTATCGTGGTGGAGGTGGTAGTGATCCTTACGCACCTTATTCTTCTCGAAGGCATTATTATCCTCCTCATGGTTATGGCCCACATAGTAGTAGTAGTGGTGGTGGGTATCGTAGTAATAGTCAAGAGCCATCTATGGGACCATCATCACTACACCATCCCCACCCTCCTCTTTCTGTCTCTTCTTCTGCACAACGATCCATTCAATCAACGCCTAATTCTACAGCACCAAATTCACCTCGATATGCCTTTGCTCGAGAAGCATCAGCTGCTGCCTCTTCTTCATTCAGTAATCTACAAACACCTGCTGAACCTATGGTGTCTACACCTTCATCTAGTACTGCCCCATCTGCTCAGACAGAACAAAGCATAGCCATTGTACCTAATAAGCCTGCAAATACAAATGCACCTAATTCAACTGCATCGATCTCTAATACAACACATACTTCTACCAGTTCTAGTCCAATTCATGCCATGACTACTACTGCTACCATTACGACCGCAACTACTGCTGCTGCAACTACTGCTACAACTACTGCTGCAACTACTGCTGCAACTACTGCTGCAACTACTGCTGCAACTACTGCTACTACTACTGCTGTAGCTACTACTACTACTACTACTACTACTATTCCTGCTACCAATACGACGACGAGTACTACTGTGGTGCCTGTGGCTAGTACTCTTTCTACAACCACAGGCACTACAGCCAATAATACACCATCTACTATCAATGCACTACCACCACCACCACCTTCTACTTCATCTTACCCATACACACCTTCCGGTGGCTCTAGTAGTGCACCTTTGAGGCATGGAGGAGGACCACCTTCACATCATCACACAAGTAATAATTATCATTATAGTTCTTCTTACTACAACAATTATCACCCTTCTTCTTCTTCAACTGCAACTATGCCACCCATTCGACAACGCATTTCATGGGCACCTGATCAAGAGAAAGAAGTAAGGATACAATAGCACCATAGCTTACTAACAAAATTCAAAAGATGGATAGATATCATGTTGATCTAAAGAAACTGTTGGATGAAGAAAACAAGATTTTGACAGCTTTACGTAAAAGCAGATTTGAATTGGAATTGACCATTTGGGAGACAAACAAAATGGACCATCAATTAGAACTGGTTCAAAAGCAATGGGAAGAACATGACATGGAAGAACTTGTACGTGAAGAATCTCGATTTTCTTCTTCATCAAAACCTTTTGAAGCGACTCAGAATACTCGACTCACTATTTTGTAATTAAAACATGTACATAGTTTACTAGGCTTTTTCGTGTTCGATAGACATTCTTTCTATTGAGTAGATGCCGTGTAAAAACTCTTTTTGACCATCTGCTTGAATTTCTGCATTATAGGATGTTTCGAGTGCATGCTTGACATTGACCTTGTAATGCCAAAGACCCGCAGAACAGTGACAGAGAGCAATAGAAACAATATAAGGCACTATTTAAAATCAATACATGTTTGTATTTATGTGTTGATACTTACACCAATAAGGATAATTGCCTGAACTTTCTTGAGGTATAAAAACAAGTGTATAAGTAGATACTTTGGTGATTTGATCCAAGTTACACTATCATTTATTTTTATGTATGTGAAATAGCAGCTTAGAACTATCTCTTAGGTAAACTTCTATTAATGTTTACCATGCAATATGAAGGCAACAAAGGCATATTTTCTAATGTCAAAACAAACCTATTGAACAGAATAATGATGATGTCTTACTTATCGCTGCTATAGATTGGAAAAAGGGGTTTTTGCGTAACGCGACACCAAATAGGTTTCCGATTTTTGACCGGAGTAAGCCTTTATATCATGGTTTATTTGAAAACAGTATCAGAGACATAATCAACTTTTTTCGTACTATATATACTAGAGGAATCAGGGTTGCTATTAGCTGTACTAGCATAGTCTTTATAGACATCCTGGTAAAGTTCACCTTGGCCGTCTAAACGTATCTCAGCATTGTACGAATTCTCAAGTGCTTTTGTGATATTGATCTTGTAGTGCCATAGCCCAATAGAGCAAAAAGCAATGATAATAGTAACAATATATGGGACTAAAGAAACATGAATAAAAATGAATATTCTATTTGCATACTTACGCCAATAAGGATAACCAGAGGGTTTTGTAGTAGGTGGCACAAAGACAAAGACCAAGGTGTAAAAGCAAATAATGATGAAAATTATGGAGACAAAGACGGGCACCTTGATAGGGCGCTTAATGTCTGGTTGAGTACGACGAAGGATCAATAACCCAATGACACTAAGAGCAGAGAAAAAGTAACTACCATAACCAGCAAAAGCAACAATAAACTGAAACACAGAGCCTGGTGGAGGAGCCAGTAGAAATATCAAAGCAATCGCATAAAGCAAAGCCAATGAACTCACAGGCGTCTGAAGTCGGGGATGAACTTTACTAAAGAAGCGATCGTAGGGTAAATAGCCTTTGCGAGCAGCTTCTAATACCACACGAGACCCGGAATAGAAAATGACGCCTACAAAACCAAATGATGAAGAGCCGACAAGTACAGGTAAGACACGAGATCCAAATATACCACCTAATGCTATATGAAATAGATTGGCAGCCACAGTCAGTTTGGAAGCCTTGATCACAGCTACAGGTAGAACGGCAAGATAGGCCACATTGGCAAGCAAGTAAAGCGCCGTTGTAAGACCAAGAGCACTAATAGCACAGCGAGGTAGGTTCTTGATTGGATCTTTGAGTTCATCCAAAACGTAATTGAGATTATACCATCCTCCATAGGCGTAAATAACGTAATAAATAGCACTGGCATAAGATCCTGCATTGTCAAGAGTACCATGAAAAGAGAAGTTTTCAGCAAGATCAGGTTGGTTTGGAAGTCGACCAGCAAGTCCAGCAAAACCAACGCAAATCAAGAGAACCAATAAGCCAATCTTGATGATTGTGAATACATTACTTGCTCTTATGGCAACCTTTGCTGAGAAAACATTCAGTACAAACCAAAATGTGAGACAAAAGACAGCAAACCCACGAGCTCCCCAATCGTTGGTGTAGTTTGGTCCACCAATAGCGTAGATTATATTGCTACCAAAGACTGTCGCGCCCTACCGTAAGCCATCATAAGTATTGTATAAAGTTTATAGCTTTGCTTCATACCTGTGCAAGACCAGCTCCACGAGAAATGATACCAATCATAATAAGAAATATGAATGAAATAAGTTCTTTAGGCCGAGGGTATTGATAGCTAAGGTATTCTTGTTCTCCGCCACTAAAGAAAATGATAAGTTGAAATAGCTCAATGCCTACCAATAAGATACCTTTTAGGCAGCATGGTACCAAGCTCAAGATAGTTCCATACGCCTGTTGTAGCAAAAATAGCGCCAACAACCCAAAGTATGAGCATCATTCCACCTGAACCACAATTGATCAAAATGAGAGCAGGATTAGAAAAGATGCCAGTACCAATGATTTGTCCAACTGTGGAAGATATGCATTAAGAAACAATAAGCACAATGAAAACTTACCATTTATCATTACTCCGCTAAAATAGCCTAGATGCCGATCTAACTTTTGGTCTCCTACTGCAAGGGGCGAAAGACTTTCAAGTTGTTGAGGAGGCGCTTTAAGTCTTGAGGTAGTATCTAATTCAGACATGACATCAAAATACAGCGAGATATATGTATATATAAAAAAAAAGAGACAAGGACACAAAGAGTCTTTTTATACGATAGAAACAACTAAACATCAACAAGAGCAAAAGTTGCGCCATTGATTTCATTTACTTACTATTCTCTCGACTGTATCTTTAGGTGTTATCAGTGGTCCATTTTTTTTTTTATATCAGTCCGTGCCATAATGATGCATTAGTCCTTGACTACTTAAAAAGCTTTGTCATACATGGTGTCACAGATTGTGTGATTTGCAATCAAAATGACCATATAAAAATTATTTCGTTCTTTGCTGATCAAATCACGTCAGTTTTAAAGTTTAAATCACTGATTATTTAGTTCAATAAATACAACAGAGCTTTACTTTTTTTTTCATTTCTTTTTTTTTTCTTTATTAATTCTATCTTTTACTTTGTATCAAAATGCCTACCGTTCAACTTCAAAACGCTTCTCAGCCTGATTTTAATTACTTGCCTAACCTCAAGAACTATAACCAACGAACCCAAAGACGTTTGGCTGAAGAAAAACTTGAAAAAGAACTACCTGAAGGCTTTCCTGCTCAATTAGAAGGACCTAAACTCTGGAAAGGAAGTGACTATGAAGGCAAAGAGTCGGAATGGATCTATCAGCTTAATGAACAAGAATTACAAGAAATTGATGACGCTGTCCATGCCTTTGAAGCAACAGAGAAACCATTCTCAGAAATTTCCAAGGAGTCATTTGATTTGCCTATCTTTGGCCCAAAGATCAAAAAGCTTATTGAAGAACATGTATTGGATGGTAGAGGTTTTGTTGTCATTCGTGGACTTAATCCTGACAAGTACACTCGTTCTCAGAACATCATTGCCTATACTGGTGTTTCTGCCTGGGTTGGTAAACGTGGTCTTCAAGGTCGACATATCATTGGTAACTAGATAACTGATATGGATGTTTTCTAATTTACTTTAATAGCTCATATCAAGGATCTTGTGCCTGAAGAAGGGCTGGATGATATTAAAGCGGCTGCTTATACAAATGATTACCAAGTTTATCATACTGATTCCGGTGATATTATCTCGCTTTATGCTCTTGGTGTAGCTGAAGAGGGTGGCAGATCCCGTATTGCTTCTAGTTGGACTGTATATAATGAGCTTGCCAAGACTCGTCCTGATCTAATTCACACCTTATCTCAAGACTGGCCATTTGAACTGTAAGTAACAAATCAGGGCATGAATAGACTCTCACACATTACACACATTTAGTGATCTTCACAAGGACGATAGACCCTACTTATTGCGCCCTCTCTTGTATTACGTAGATGGCAAACTTATCATTCAGTACGCTCGTCGTAGCTTTACTGGCTTTGGCAAGAATCCTCGTAGTGAAGATATTCCTCCTATTACCGAAGCTCAAGCTGAAGCATTAGATGCACTTCACTTTACTGCTGAGAAATTCAACCTTGGCATTGAATTCCAAAAAGGTGATATTCAATACATTAACAACTTGTCTATCTTTCATGCCCGTGATGGTTATACAGATAGCGAGAAAAATCAGTAAGTGTAAACAGTGGCTTGATCAATTTACTTATGTTGTATAGACGACACCTTCTTCGTCACTGGCTCCATCCTGAAAATGCTTGGAAATTACCTCCTCAATTAGAAGACAAGTGGAACAAAATTTACCATGAAGAAAGAGAAGAGATATTCCCTCTTGAAGCAACTTCCAAAATTTTTTACAAAGAAAAATAAGATATTCTCGAATAAATAATTTGTTTCTCTCGCTCTTGTAAATAAGATTTTCTGTTTCTATTACGCAATTTTTGTTCTGTACTATTTTAGCTAAAAAAGATGCTTTATGTAAAGTATTGTTCTTATTTGAATTATACTTGAATTTAAAGTAATCATATCCTTGTATCATAAAAATTGGATTGATTTCTTTAGTCATATTACTAAAAGTGAGTCACTAATCTTATTGTATTTTTCAGCAATTAAGAGACAGTCTCAGAGAAAATAAGAGAAAATTATTGGATAAAATAAGAGAAAATTTTAGATCAATTAAGAGAAAACTGACCAATAAAATAAGAGAAAAACACAGGAAAAATTAAGAGAAAAAAAAGGGGCAATTAGTAGAAAGCTTATTTATGCTTTAATCTCATTATAAGTTTTTCTCCAGGGCTAAGCACTTTTCAAAGAATCCGAGGGAATGGTGGATCCAGCCTTGGCAGTCTTTCTTGGTTACCTTGGAGCAGGCATCCATGATTCTGGGTGTGAGTGTCTCACCAGTTTCGAAAGGTTTTCTTTTGACACCATACTTCACCTTCGACCAGAATAGCTCAATTGGGTTTAGGAATGGTGAGTATGGTGGAAGATATGCACACCTATAGCCTCTGCTTTCTATCAAATTTCTTACTGTAGCTGGCTTATGTATGGGAGCATTGTCCATTACCAAGTAAAAGCCCCTCATGTTGTTTCGGTCAAGAACATCCATCACATTACTCAAGTAATTTAGATAATGCTCGGCCCTTGTTCCAACTTTGGCTGTTGTTGTAACAACCTTACCATCTACTCTTCTCTTCTTGGCTCCCGAAACCATTATTGGCTTTCTCAAAGAAATGTCAATAATGCCGGCACTTGAGATGGCACCAAGGATGGTTATTGTAGTGCCTTTTGAAGCAGGGACAGTTGTCTTAGCAGGTGCTCCCTTCTTAGACCAGCCACGAGTGCGTGTCATGTGAAGATTGAATCCTGCTTCATCCAAAAATACGCAATTGTTCTCAAAGTCCATTTCTCTATCAGCTAGCCATTGAAGGATGGTCTCCTTTCTCTTCTTCAAAGTTTCTTCTGAATTTCTAGCAACTGAAATCTTCTCCAACTTCTTCATAGATAGTGCACAGCTGGTCCTAAGATGTCTGTATACTGCGGATGGGCTTGCAGAGAGACTTGGAAACTCTATGATCAACAACTCGTGTATTCCAGCTACAGTTGTAGTTGAACGCTCATCAACAAGGTCGATAATAAACTTCGAGTGCTTCTCAGTAAGCTCAGAGACAGTTCCCATTCTGCGTCCTCTTTTCTTCTGTTGAGGTACCTCCCCAGTTTTCTGCCACTGCGATTTGAAACGGTAGGCTGATTTTTCATTTATTCCTGTCTTTAAAGCAGCATCCTTTATAGGTACCTGTTCAACTAACAGAGCAATAAGCTTGTTGATATCCTGCTGAGTGTATACACGTCTAGCATTGCTAGCGTCGTCTTTTTTTTCAGTCAGGTCTCTGAGAGGCTTCTCTTCTTTCAAATCGCTCTCACTACTCTGCACATCAGCTTCATTTTCCTCCTCGTCCGAGCTATTACTGGGCTCATCACCCTCGTGCCCTTCCTTCAGCTCCATCGTCACATTTTCATCTAACTCCATGGCTGATGCAGTGATGTTATACTCCCACTTCTTTCTCATCATCGACATTACACTGACAATAATCTCGGGTACAGCTTCAATATCTTCGTCGCGTAGAGAGATCTCGTTCATATCATAGTCAATATCCATTTTTTGTTAATAATAGTGAGAAAAGTGCTTTCTACTAATTGCCCCTTTTTTTTTCTCTTAATTTTTCCTGTGTTTTTCTCTTATTTTATTGGTCAGTTTTCTCTTAATTGATCTAAAATTTTCTCTTATTTTATCCAATAATTTTCTCTTATTTTCTCTGTCTCTTAATTGCTGAAAAATACAATATAACCAGCCATTTGTGACCGACTTTTTCTTCTCAAAAGCCGATGAATTTCCAGCATAAACACTTCAGTGGCAAGAGCTGTCTGTTTTTTTTTTTACGAAAGTCAATAGTAGTGATATTGACATGTCAACCTGCAGTTCAAAAACGAGATCATCAGACTGCGTTTATTAATGTGGAAGAAGTTTTTGTAAATTGACCATTTTCGGGATAAGTACATGTTAAGCATTATGGTTCCAAAATTTGGAGCAATTAAATCTACTTGGTTTTGCTGCTATGTTCTTTCGTTTTAAATAAAACAAATATATACATGTGTTGAGGGCTATATAAGAAGAAGTGATGACGCCGCGAGTAGAATAGAGAGAGAGAGAGAGAGAGAGAGAGAGAGAGAGAGAGAGAGGAGAATCGTCAATCCATCGAAAACTGTTGGTATCAAAAGCATTGGCTTTGCCGTAGTTAAATTTAGACCTATAATGAAGTGAGTAAAACCAAAATGCCTTATTGATTTACAAAAGGAGAGTGACAACTTCCCACTCCCGGCTGGAGACGAACAATTGTTCATCAAGGCAGCCAGCGAATTTCTCCGGCGTAGGGCAGGGTTCAACCGTGCCATCCTCCCACAAAGACAATATACGGCTCCCACTCCCGGCTGGAGACGAACAATTGTTCATCAAGGCAGCCAGCGAATTTCTCCGGCGTAGGGCAGGGTTCATGTGTACAAAGCCTTGTGTTTTTCTTGCAGTATTCTTAACGTGTATACTTATCTTTAAAAGAGCACGAAATATTGACCTTGAAGAATTACGCCAACTTCTTAAAAGAAACTACAATACTTGAAACGCCAAACCACCAATGACACTCTTATCCATGATACTTCTAAGATATGCAATAAAACTGTTTGGTGGAAAATTGTGTATAAGATCAAAAATATAAACCATGGTTGCGATTCTCTTCCATGGATTAGTGCCAAAAAAAAAAAAAAAAAAAAAATATATATATATAAGTGCAAGTGAAAAAAAAATGAAAAAATAAACAAAAACGCGCGAAATTCTTTCGACGTCATTATCCATAATCAGAGGTCCAATTTACGGACGCTCTTCACAACATTGCAAATCACTCTGTCAACAACTTTCAAAAATGCCTCAATCAAGAGCCGCTTTAATAAACCTTGAGATTAAACACGAAAATTGAGTGATGCAAAAGCGAACTTTGAAACGAACAAAAACGAACTTTGGCCAATAAAGAAGCGAAAATTGGACTTTATAAAAACGAAAGTTGGTCGGAGATCAAAGCGAAATCAGTTCGTTGGAAAGCGAAAATTGGGGGTGGAGGCACTGTACTTGCCAATCACTCAAACAAAATGAAACGTCTGTTGTCTATGATATCGCTATGGATAACTTTTGTTTATTACTATACAAAGTGACAGAAGTAGAACATTTTGATTATAACGTCTTCCCACCTAAACGAACGGTAAACAGACATAATATACAAGATTGTTACTTATTTTATAACGCTTTTCTTAGGTATACAAGTATAATACAAAGGAAAATGCTTGGGATATTCAAGCCGCCAACCCGTAAATTTTGCATTAAAGTTCATTTTTCCCTTACTATCAAATGATTGTCTATTTTTTTATCTTTTTTCTATTCATTTATATTATGAATACAAACGAGATTGCGAGGCAAATCACTGATCGTTGGTTTACTTATCTACGCCAGCATATACAACCACTCCAAAGTGTTCAAGAAAAGTCTTTCTTGAGTCATTTGGAACGTAATGGCACAGTTGCATTTCTTTATGAAAGCAGAGACCTATTAGTATGTCGACACGCGCTTCAATTCGTAAAGACAGGAACTTACGTAAGATGTAGGATAAAGCAATGGAAGTCATTCCTCTGCAAAGACTTTATGACGAAGCAGAAGCAGAAGAAAGTGGTTCTCTTGAAGATTCGCTTGTTCGACGACTACTACATTGGTTTAAAAATGACTTTTTTGTTTGGGTGAACAATGCACCTTGTGACTACTGTTCAAATGTAAAGCGATTGTATTTTATTGCTAAATGTTTTCAAGGTATTTATACCTTTGATAGACACAAACTCAATCAATAGGACTGGGAACACCTAACGCTGAAGATCTCAAGTATGGAGCACATACAATCGAACTATACCAATGCACAACTTGTCGACAGGTTACTCGATTTCCTCGATACAAGTAATAATCGTCAACATCAATAATTTCATATAACTCAGAATTGTTGTAGTGATCCGGGAAAGTTGTTGGAAACAAGGAGAGGACGATGTGGCGAATGGGCTAACGTAAGTAGCCCCGAAAAGTTGTAACGAAAACTCTCAATTCACCTTATTCACAGTGTTTCACGTTATGCTGCCGAGCAATTGGAGCAGATGCCAGAATTGTATATGACACAACTGATCATGTTTGGACAGAAGTCTATTCTGAGTACGAACAACGTTGGATCCATTGTGATTCTTGTGAGGAAGCCTGGGATAAGGTATATGCATATGTGTGATAATTACTGAGAAGCACTCGAAGTTTATTATCGACCTTGTTGATGAGCGTTCAACTACAACTGTAGCTGGAATACACGAGTTGTTGATCATAGAGTTTCCAAGTCTCTCTGCAAGCCCATCCGCAGTATACAGACATCTTAGGACCAGCTGTGCACTATCTATGAAGAAGTTGGAGAAGATTTCAGTTGCTAGAAATTCAGAAGAAACTTTGAAGAAGAGAAAGGAGACCATCCTTCAATGGCTAGCTGATAGAGAAATGGACTTTGAGAACAATTGCGTATTTTTGGATGAAGCAGGATTCAATCTTCACATGACACGCACTCGTGGCTGGTCTAAGAAGGGAGCACCTGCTAAGACAACTGTCCCTGCTTCAAAAGGCACTACAATAACCATCCTTGGTGCCATCTCAAGTGCCGGCATTATTGACATTTCTTTGAGAAAGCCAATAATGGTTTCGGGAGCCAAGAAGAGAAGAGTAGATGGTAAGGTTGTTACAACAACAGCCAAAGTTGGAACAAGGGCCGAGCATTATCTAAATTACTTGAGTAATGTGATGGATGTTCTTGACCGAAACAACATGAGGGGCTTTTACTTGGTAATGGACAATGCTCCCATACATAAGCCAGCTACAGTAAGAAATTTGATAGAAAGCAGAGGCTATAGGTGTGCATATCTTCCACCATACTCACCATTCCTAAACCCAATTGAGCTATTCTGGTCGAAGGTGAAGTATGGTGTCAAAAGAAAACCTTTCGAAACTGGTGAGACACTCACACCCAGAATCATGGTTGCCTGCTCCAAGGTAACCAAGAAAGACTGCCAAGGCTGGATCCACCATTCCCTCGGATTCTTTGAAAAGTGCTTAGCCCTGGAGAAAAACTTATAATGAGATTAAAGCATAAATAAGCTTTCTACTAAAATACAATAACAACAAAAAAGGGCACTGATGATGTTGGTAATACAACACCATAGAGCACGCCATACGAAATTTTTTTTGGCTATCATTTTTAGATAGACATGAGCAATTAGTCAGGATTGCCCTTATGACCTTCTTGTTTGTAAATCGCGCCATAAATCAGAGAAATGGCTCATAATAGTCGCAATTTAGTGATATTTCTTCATCTTTATAACCAAGGAAAGAATATGGTAGAATCTGTATTTCACAAAATTATTGCATAATTTTGTGCCGAAATATGCAAGTTCTATGGCACCATAGAATTAAACTTTTCTTTTTGTTTTCGAATATAAGATAACAGTGTCATTAGCTTTAAAAATCTGGTTATTTCAATTGAAAAATTACTTTTTGTTCCTCCCGCTTCATGCAAGTTAAAAATAGCTCAAATACGGTAGCTTGGACAACAGACATTATTGCTGACGCTGTTGGAATTCACCAGCCAATCAAAAAGGTGGATGATGGCATCTATAATGCCAACATTGATCAAACTGAAAAATATACTTTTGCAAAGCCAATTCGTAAAGTGGCTATTGTTGGTGCCGGACCTGCTGGCGTAAGTGCAGTTTGTCCTATAAAAGATATATAGAGCTGTCTTAACTTAATGTTTATACTAGCTTCCTACTGCAAAGCTACTTTTGGACGAAGGATTAGAAGTCAAAATATACGAGAGAAATTCGGCTCCAGGTGGAACTTGGTAAGACGACTTAAGCAAGATATATATTGTATAATGATAGGTTGACATAGGATCTACCATGAAGAACAACCTATCTGTCCCGAGTTTCCGTCAGTTATCCCAACCAAAATTGTTAGACCAAGCCTGCCTTCAAATGATAAACCTTTACCCTTTAAAGAGACCAAACCTATTAATAGCAACCAAGTTCAAGAGGAATTGCTTCGTCTGAACCCACCAACTCCATGCTACCGTTCATTGAGAAACAATGTTCCTACACCTCTACTCAAATACAAGGACCTTGAATGGAAAAAGGAGACAGTAAGTCTATCGCGATTTTAATATACTCAACTTGAACTTGTTTGATTAGCCATGGTTTACTACTCATGACAAAATTTTGGAATATCTGCAAGACTATGCTTCTGCTTTCAAGTTGGATCAAGTAACAGAGTTCAATACATCTGTTGAGAAACTAGAGGAACTGCCAAATCAGGAAGGATGGGATGTGATTACAAAGCACTTTAAATACTCTCAAGATAAAAGTATGGTTGAGGTTGGATGGAAACAAGAGGTTAGCAAAATCATATTGCATAGATTTTACCTAATGTTTTATTCTATAATAGAAATTCGATGCAGTTGTTGTGGCTACTGGACATTACCATGCACCCTATATTCCTGAATTTCCCGGCTTAGCTGATTGGCGTCACAAATGGCCAAATAATGTCTTTCATTCAAAGCAATACCGTGTTCCTGAACATTTTAAGGGCAAGGTACGAATTTTCTTAGATTGCAACCTTATACTAATCTGGATTATAGTCTGTACTGCTTATTGGTAGCGGAGTTTCTGCCATTGACATTGCAAGAGATATTGATAACCAAGCCAAAACAATCTATAATTCCGTAAGAGAAAGTGATCACAAGTTTGATGAGAAATATTCCAAAATACGACAAGAGTTTTCCAAGTTTGTTCCCAAGCATGTTCAAAAAGTAGGCGATATCAAGCAATTCCACACCATTCACCAGACGAATCGAATTCAAGATGGAATCGTCGAACTGAAAGATGGTACCAAGCTTACAAATCTCGACTACATTATTGTCTGCACTGGCTATGTCTTTAACTTTCATTTCCTGGAGCATTTGCATTCAGACAACTATGTCAATGCCAATAGACATACGGCAGTAGACGACAGCCATGTACTGGTTAAGGACGGCTCTCAAGTATTTAATTTGCACAAGGATATTTTTTATATACCCAATCCTACACTCAGCTTTGTGGGTATTCCATTTCACATTGCCACTTTCTCCTTCTTTGAATTTCAATCGTATGCTGTTGCTCGGGTATACTCAGGATCTGCTCAATTACCTTCACAAGGCGCTATGAGAGCTGAATGGAACGAGAGAGAGAAGAGGAAAGGTTCTGGTCGAGAGTTTCATGCACTAGGCTCCGCTTTGGAAAAAGCTTATATCAAAGACATTATTATTTGGGTCAATAAAGATGCTGAAGGTCAACACAAAAGAATTGTCGAGGAACATAGCGATGGATGGAATGAAATTCGAAGCCAAAGCTTGATAGCTCTAAAGAAAGCATTGAACATAAGCGATTAAACTTCCATTAAAACCAATAAACATGTACAATTATACCGAATTTATTAACACAATTCATACAGATGGCAACATCACTAATTTACAGTTTTTACACTTTGATTATAGACGATATTAGCTTTTTTTTTTTGACAAATTAAAACCAACTTTTAGATGGTTAAGGTCCTTTTCAAGCTGTCTCCCAAAGTCGGGGAGATGCCATCTATAATAGCTGTAACACAAGATGATCTCCATGAGTGGACGGGGTTTTGGGGAGACAAAAAGGTACTTTTAATTTTAAGGGAGACCTAAAAAGGAAGTAACAAACCAATTTTGCAGTGTTCAGTGGGTCAGAAACTCTGTTTTTAAAGAATCTCATTACTATGTTTTTTCGGGAGAGGAGACAGCTTGAAAAGAGTCTGAAGTATGTTGAACCAACTCCCCCAAAAAAAAAAGGAAGAAAAAAAATATGTCGATGTTTAAAATAACAAGCTTCTCTCCTGCACGGCATCCGTCGTTTATCGTGCTCGAAACTACGCTCTTTGTCCTCAAAAGTGTTGTAAACTATAGTAGACCTTACTTGCCTATATTTTCTACATCCAACGACATATAACCAAATACACACTTAATAACCCACGTCCACTGAAAAGGGTCTCTCGTATATTGATTACAGTGCACAATGCACTTTGAACGCTGTTTTAAAAGCAATGCTCAAATTACGTCGATGTTCTCATCTTAGTAAACTCGGTTTCTTTTTTTTCATAAGTATCTAGCCATGGTCTTACCTGATTTTGATTGGATCAGATCTACATCGGGGACAATTCGACAATCCAAAAGCCTTTTATTTTTTTCATTTTCAAGAGCTTCCGTAGGTCCCCATGGGGTCAAAAAATGAATTTCACCCAACAGCTAAACCAATGGAGCTATTCAATTTCTGAACTTGAAAGAACATGTTTTAAATGAAAAAAAACAAGAAAATAAAAGAAAAAGGACTGTTTTGATAATGTAGTTGTCGAATAATGGGCTATCAAAGATTGGTGCATTTAAGCTGTGTTTTTAGCGTTTTTGCTCTAGAGCGTTGGACGCATATTTTGCGTATTTAATCATGTTGGTAGCTCTATTTTCTTCTGTCTTGTAGCATCAAAGAGAAGATCAAAAGTTGTCAAACGAATAATTTTCATGAGTAAGTACCCCCTTTGGATTAGAGGCTAAAATGGTCAAATTTTACATGTCGGTTTTCATGGCCCAAATCAACTCTAGAAGTACCATGAATGTTAGTAAACACTGTTTGTGGGCATTTGGAGTACTTTTTCTATGCATCAGGAGACTTTAAAGTACCCTCCCTTGTCCAAGAAAGAGAGCGTTTTTATGGATTGTTGTTTGTTTAGACCAAAGCGGACATTTGATTATGAAGAAATGTCAGAGTGATGAACATTTACGTTAGCTTTAGAATGATATATGACCATTCGTACCATACTCAGAGTATGTGCTGTATACTAAATCGCTTATTGACAACTTCAAATTGTATGCTCACTTTGTCTATAGTGAAAGGTATCGTAGTTTAATGAAATCAATCGCACATCGTTATAGGAGAATCCTATATCTTCAATGCTTATATACATATGTAATTCATTTTGAACATTTCTATCTTGTTGTTGGATGTAGACTATCTCTCTGGTTGGTATACCTCAATTGACTATTACGTTCATCAAAACCTATTTGTAATAGACAATAGCATTTTTACGTTTATTTTTCTTTTTATTTCTGCTTTCTTTTTATGAGCTCAGGTCATTAATTCAAAACGAATAAGACATCATCCTAATAGCAGCCAAAGAGGACAATGGTTTTCAATGCTTCTAGATTTAAGAATTTTCAGTCAATTCACTTTTATTGGCCCAATAAAAATTTCTATTTCCAAACGCAAAACGCGTACTTTTCTTTCTTTTTACATTCACTTTATGGCGTCACCACCTAAAAAACCTAGAATCGATATTGAATTCTATGAACAAAGGAAAACAATAGGCTATTTTGAAAAGATTGTGAATCCCTTACGTGTCGATTTGGATAAAGAAGGTTGCGATACAAGCTTCAGTTCACCTGATTTAGGCTATTTTACTGCTCATCTTCAAAAGTTCCAATTGGAACAAAAGACATCAGGCCTTCCTTATGCTTACTTTGATGTTCTCTCACTCTCTACAGAAGCACCATTGTATCATATCTTGAGGGCTGCTTACAAGTTTAAGTCGGATCATCATATTGTCGATTGGCGATGGGATGCCCATGAAGAAGTGCAGACGTATTTAACCATGATTGAGGTGATCAAACAAGCTTTAGATAAAGCTGGTTTTGAGTTGTGTATACCTCGTGTCTATTGTATGGACCAAGTTAACAAGGATACATTAGCTGTGGTATTTCAACAGCTTGGAGGTACGTCTTTATGCACATTTTGGATCATTGACCATGGTATGTTAGGTATGATAGTCAACAACATAGAAGATGCAACATTTGTTCTGTATGATGAACACCAAATATTTGATCGACATCATCCACAATGGCGTGTATGCAGCACCACAGACGATATAGCATTCATACATTGGATTGGTTTACCTGATTCATACAACACACTTGTCTCATTACAAGACTGTGATCAAGACAAGCAAGAACAATCCACACTACCACAAGACAAAAAAAGAGCTCCATGGCATGTCAAGTTCAATTGGATTCAAGACAGCCAGACATACAATGAATGGATGGCACCTTTGGATTATATCATGCTTGAACAACAACAACATGCCAGTATCAAGCGAAAAAGACAAGAGGAAACAGAAAAAGAAAACAAGAAGAACAAGACACCCGATACAATCGCACGTCAATTCATGCCTACACAACAACACGAAGTGATCATTCCATCCTATGCTGCCTGGTTTGATTTAGATTCTATTCACCCTATTGAGACCAAAGGTCTGCCAGAGTTCTTTAACAACAAGAACAAGAGTAAATCAGCCAATATTTACAAAGAGTACCGTGATTTTATGGTCAATACATACCGCTTGAATCCAATGGAGTATTTGACTGTCACAGCCTGTAGACGGAATATAGCAGGGGATGTGTGTTCTATCATTCGAGTCCATGCGTTCTTGGAGCAATGGGGGTTGATTAATTATCAAATTGATCCTACTGCTAAACCCACTGCTATTGGCCCACCTCTTGAGGGACAAGTCAAAGTGATTGCAGAATTACCACCCGCACTTGCTCAGCCTAGTGTCGACACTCTCTCCTCTTCAGAACGCGAACAAGGATCCACCCACACACATCATGCTTCTACACAATCACCACCAAAACCTTCGATAGATCTTAATTTAGACTTACGTGTGAATATCTATCAACCAAAGCATACATGTAGTGTCTGTCATACAGTATCCACAAAAGAAGGAGGTTATGTTGACCAACAATTTGTCTGCAAAGACTGTTATCAACCAAAAGAACACACGTCATACACTCCAACACAATGGACAGAACAAGAAGATGTGCTTTTATTGGAAGGATTAGAGATGTACCCAGAAGACTGGGATAAGATAGCGACTCATGTTGGCACAAAGACACGCGATGCCTGTATTCTGCATTATCTTAAATTGCCCACTGTGGATCCTACTCTGTTCTACAGAAAACATAACTGTAAGACAAAACAAGACGACGATAATCCAATCATGTCAGTGGTGGCCTTTTTGGCAGCCAATGTCAAACCACAAGTGGCTGCTTCTATCTTATCAGATCAAGCCTTGGATCAAGAGATGACAGAAAAGACAGATCATAGCGAATTAGAGACCAAGTATAGTTTGATTCATACCCAATTGACAACATTTACATCCCGTCTAAGCCAGTTTGAACAACTGGAAGCATGCGTAGATCAAGAAAAAAGACAGTTGGAACAGGAACGATTTCTTATTCGAGAAGAGCATAGAGCGATACGAAAACAAATGGATCAACTGTATGCTCGTATGTTTGCAGCAAAAAAAGAAGAAGAAAAAGAAGGCATGAAATAAATCAGGGTTTATTTATTATAAAAGTTGTTTCTCTTTAACTCCATTGCTGTCTTGTAAGGTGCTGTAATGGGTGGCTGTAAAGGGTTGAGTTGCTTATAGGATTCTTGCAGAGGATAGGTTCTGTCTGCATCATAGCCATGAAGATCACCACAGGCAATAAAGGGAACAATGGTTCGATTGGGTCCCACTAGTTCATTCATGGCATCATACTGAAGATCTAAAAGAGGATTGGCCATGGTAGGCGTATAGTTGGCGGGTGGCTGATAGTTTTGACAGACAATAAATGACTCTATACTTGAGTTACGAGAACTTCTGGGTTTACTGCATGTCACAACAGGAAAGAAAATCTTGAGTTGACTATAGAGTAACGTAATGTCTTTGCCTCGAAAGATTTTGGCTACAAATGTACCACCAGGACGCAATACATGTGTAGTAATGTTAAGTGCCTAGTCTATGTTAACCAATCGAATGATGCAAGTACTTACAGCCAACAACAATTGTGCTTGAATGTATTCATCCATATCATGAAGACCCGTAACATCAGGAGCACCATCACAGATCACCAAATCAGCCATACCACCATCAAAGTAAGAGATAATCTTTTCTGCTGTAGATTTCTTGGTAATATCCCCTTGAAGTTGAATGACACCTTCCAAGGGAGCCATGGCTTGTAAATCAACAGCTACAATTTTAGGTTCAGGTTGATCGGGTGGATGGTTTTCGCTAAAGAATGAGTGTGGTGTCTGGATTGTATATATTTACTTTAAGCGTTTAGAGAGAACTTGAGACCAACTACCAGGTGCAGCACAAAGATCAACTGCCTTTTGAACACCTAGAATCGTGTGTGTTTAGTCTCGAATGGACAGACGAGATCCTTACCTTGTAAAAAGTTAAATTCTTCGTCTAATTGTAACAGTTTGAAAGCACTTCTTGCACGCCAGCCTTCTTCTTTAGCAAGGCGGTAGTACTAACTAAGCTTAGTCATGTGTGTGTGTGTGTGTAAGTGCAATGACAACTTACGACGTCTCTTTTATCTTTGGATGATTTACCCATGTTGAAAACAAGAACAAGAAAAAAGAAAAAAAAAATTTATTATGGCTTTATTTTATTGATCTTCTTTCACAGGTGGAGGACCACAAGGTTGAAGCATTTTCTAATGAATGTCAGTAAATCACACAAAGCAACAATAGATTACCTCTAGCATGTTCAATTTGGCGCGTGCTTTTGTCTCATTTTCAGCAATACTAATGTAAGAAAGCATTGAATTGTGACCTACAAATGAGGCAAGTGAATCTCTGTATTGATTCGACACCCATTCACTATATAGAGAATATGTGTGAGTAAGAGTGATTCTTCATACATGTATTTCTTACTGTTTAATGGTATCAGCATGGCCAGTACCAACGTATTTTGATTGCACTAAAAGAGATGAATAGTTAGCAACAAACTCATGGTTGTAAGTAGCCGTTACAGTGTTCAATCTGACTATTTATGTTGAGACGATCCTATCACGAAGAGTGTGAATATGGCATTGTGTGTCTAAATTTGCCTATTACCATGTAGAAAACTAAAGAAAAAGAAAAGGAAAAAGAAGTGTATGTGACTCCCTTATCTGAAATTCACTTTATTCATAATATACAACAATAATAATAGCAATAAAAGATAGTTGTATATATATATATATATATACATATAACTGAATATTAGCCACTATTCAACATAAGTAAATAAACATAGAACAGAGGGGATATGGCTGACACTGCTTATGTAATTCATACATTTAAATGAGCGAACCATTTCTTACCCCCCTCCTTCTCCCTTTTTTTTTTCTTTGTTTCTCATCTTCATACCCCTTCCCCTCAACAAGATGACCATGGAAAGTATTCACCCACATCATACTAAACCACAGAAAGGCATTATGGAAATGGAGCAACTTATCACTATGATGCAAAACCATAAAGTATCAGAGGATACAGCATTATTTGATTTCAAGGCACCTACTACTCGAATCATACCCAATCATAACAATACCAGTCGTTTTATGCCTTTTTCAGAATTCAAATTCTCGTTTGAAGCGAATATTACCCATACAAATGGTACTCGAAGTTATAGTTCAAGTAGTAGTGATAGTAGTGATAGTCAGCATATTCAGAATGATATGGGTAGTTGTGTCTCTATCAATTGATTTTGTACTTATAAACAAATTAGAGTTCATGGATACTAAACCACAGCACCTGATCAACCGAAAAATTCTACCTTTACCTAAAATTCGCTGGAAGACACAATCAACAGAAAATATCAAGCCAGTTTCATTAGACACAAACCTATTTCGTCTTCCTACATCTGCAGACACAAGCACACACCGAGAAAAGGCTAAAAAAATGAAATGTTCAGACAATAGCAGCCATAAACGAAAAGAACGAAACTGGAAAGATCACCTTATCAAAAAAGATATATCCCTTTTGGAGTTACCTATCCATCACAAGAAAAAGACAGATCCTATCGTATTGCCAAACAAAAACACAGCCAAAAAGACCAACCAAAAAAAGACGAAAAAAAAAAAGAAAAAAGAGGAAATGGCACCAGGTGGGTTTTTGTCTTCGGATATCACTTTGTTTCATAGTTCATCTCTGGAGGATGAATGGATATGTCTGTTTTGTCAATACGATATTTTGATGAACGGACTAGAAGAGGCAAGGCGAAAAAATGGTTATTATCGTCGAAAACGAGAGAGAAACAGACGGCTTAAAGAAGCAGAATTAAAAAGATTAGGCTTGGAGGATTCTGAAGAAGAAGAAGTAGTAGTAGTAGAAGGAGAGAGCTGTAGTCATCATCACTAATACATAATTATTTTATACCATTATTATTGTACATGTTTATTACAAATAAAGAATTATATCGTCTCTAGTTCTTTTGTATATCGAATGGCATCCTTCTTGTACCGACGAACTTCTGATATGGCTTCATCTCTATCCTGACTAGTCAATTCATACCAAGATGTATTGCCTATCTTGTCTTCTAAAGAGGCTGGTATGTAGGGTTCTGCTTGTACTATCATTTCCTTGTTCTTTGCATAGACCAAACAGGCTATATTGTCTTGCTTGATTTTGGCTGACACGACTTCAATAGTGGCTATGGTTGGATCAGGAGGCATATAATACTGCCTAAGCTCGTCTTTGCTGATATTCGCAGTAAATCGTTGATTATCAATGACGCGCCGAAAAATACTGTTCTTATGTATACTTTGGTTCAGAATACGTTCCTCTATAGTGGATGCTGTCACTAAGCGATAGACATAAACAGGCTTTGTTTGGTTATAACGGTATATGCGGCCAATACTCTGTTCATCATACAGTGGATTCCAGTCTTGATCGACAAGCACAATACGGTTAGCAGCTGTCAGATTGATACCAATAGCAGCAGCCTATGGTGTGTCAGATTCGATATAGTCAGAATCACTTACTTTAGCAGACAGAAGCATAATGCTCACATCTTGATCTGTACTGAACTTGTTGATGATATGTTGTCTTTCCTAATCTCTCTTCTATCAGGATATAAGGGTCTGCATGAAATGACTTACATTGCCTACTGTATGACCATCCACCCGCAGTGCTTTCATGCCAAATACAGGTAAAATATGTTGAATATAGTCTAAACATGCTAAACTATGGGACACAACTACTATTTTCTCTTGGATGAGACTACATTCAATAGCAAGATTGGCTACAAAAGTCATTTTTCCAGAGCATGTCCAAGATTCAGCATTCAACTGTTCAAAATATTCAATCATAGGTTGGTTTGTTTCTAAAGAAAGCCATTGAACAAGTTCATCTTCTTCATTCTCTTGTGCTGCTATGTCTTCTTCTATATCTTGAACTGCTACTTCTTCTTCTATATTTTGCTGGTGTTGCTTCATCTCTTTATCCAGTTGCGCATTTCTTTTTCTTTCTATTCTCTTTTGAAGCAACTACACCATTGGGATGAATAAAACAATACATTGTGGCGTGCTACTTACATTCTGAAAGATCTTGGGGTGATTACACATGGACCTCAAGACTAACAAAGCAATCAAAGGGCCTCCATTCTCTACTATACCATTCAATAAATGAGTGTATCCTTCCAGCTGTACTTGGCTCAGCTTAAACTTGACAAGATATTCATGCTTAGGAGGCAATTCTTGTCTTAGGATTGATTCATCACGACGATGAGTAACTTTGTTTGTCATCAATTGTAAGGTATACAACTTGATAGCCGCTGTTTTTTTCTTTGTCTGGGGGAATCACTGAAGCAGTTCTCAATGACATTGACAAAATGAGCTTTAAAATGCTCAGGTGTACCTAATAAGCCAGGAGAGACAAAGCTAATCATATAATAATATTCAAGTAAATGGTTCTGTAAAGGATAGCCAGTCAGACAAATACGGGATGGTGTCTTGAATTGAGTGACAAGCAGAGCAAGTGCTGTGGTTGAGTTCTTGATACGATGACCTTCATCCAACACAACTATATCAGGCCCAGGGTTCAGTATATAATGACCAAAAGAATTTTCGCCTATGCTTGGCTTCTTTTCGGTCAAGAGCGCACGGAATTGTTCATAGCTCATAAGCATCACACCGCCGTGTGTATACCAGTAGTGAAGAAATTTGATTCTTTTCTCTCGAATCTTGTTGCCTCCTCGAATCGCTTTTATAAGATGTCAATCATAGTCTCGTAAAACACAGACCAACTTACTGGAAAACATAAAAACTTCACCAATCGTATCCTCAATATCACCAGCAGACCATTTTCGAAATTCTTCTGCCCAGTTAGACAATGTCACTAAAGGTCCCAATATCAAGACGCGGTTACCCTAAAGAATGACATGAATATCAAACACTGGAACCCTACACTTTGCTGTCTTACAGCAGGAAATTGAAGCGAAGGATATTTCCTTAATTGTTGATAAATAGTAATCAACAAAGCAATGGTCTGGAGTGATTTACCAAGTCCCATCGAATGACTCAATAAGCAACCTTTTTTGTCTTTACACACACGATCCCACATAAACTTGAGACCTTCAATCTGATGCTTTTTCAAGACGCGTCGATAAAAAGGATCCAATGGAAATTCAATGTCTTTAAATGCTGTCATGATCTGTGGATCACGCTCTATGGTTTTCTCTGTTGGTTTATCATCAATGTCCAACAGTGCATGTAATCTACGTCTTCTCTTGTTGCGTCGATTACGAGGAAATAGATCTTCTGCTTCAAAAGGAGGATCGAGTTCGTTGGGGAAATAATAAGCAAGGGAAGCATGGCTACCAAGTATGCGAGTCAAGATCTTGTTGGGCTCCATTTATTTCAACAAGTAGATAAAAAAAAAAAAAAAGATCAAAATTTCCAAAGAGAAAGGATTAAGCATGATCACCATGCATCGAATGTCGAATAGCCTGTTGATATTCAAAATGTTCAACAAGATCCCAGTCTTCATGATCTTGCAATGCTTTAGAAGGCACTACCTGTTCATGGATGAGTGAAAATGTTATTCAGGATCGTGTTCTTGCCTCTTCTACAGGATTATTTTCCCATAACACTGTATATTTCACTTGTCCTGTTGCATTTTTAAACTTTTTTACAACGCGTTCTATTCGCTTATGTCTATATTTTTGTTTAATCAGTGTGCGTTGGTGTTCTCGTTTCTTGTCTTCATCGCTCTCTTCATCTAATTCAGGTGGAATGTACATGCGAATGGTATCTGGCCGTGCATATTGATCACGCATTTCTTCAGGCAAGACAGGCAAAAGTATTTTTTGCATTACGTTGTCTGCAATATTAGGATATACCACTATTTGTTCTGATTTCATGAAAGAAAAAGAATTTTAATTAAAAATACATAGAAATGAGTGTGGAGTATTATAGCATAGAGAGGTAATTTTTTTTTCTATTATTCGCAAATCATATGCAATAGATCACTGACCATTTGTGGGCTTACAATAGAGTTTTCTTTTAGAGAACCAAAGACAGAGCCTTCAAATGCACTAAATCCAATTTGTTCAAGGTACATTTGCTGTTGATTTGCACGCTCAGCTGTATAAAAGCCCTTTTCAGAGAAAGCGGTGATTAAAATGTCCTTGACTGCGTCTAATAGAGTGACATTATCACTCGAAACAACGATTGAGTTCATCTTGGGTGTGAGTGAATCATATCTATTGATGAATGAGCAACGTATTTTGAGTGTTTGAACTTACACTAAAGCAAAGATTTCAGGTATAGCAACAGCAGCTTTTGAAAGAAACCCATATAAAAATAATCGTTCTGCTTCATTATCAAGTAAATTGAGCATGCCTACCAAGAAAGAAACAAGCAAGATACTGATGGTCTCATTAGGAATATCAATCGATTGCCAGATCAACATGTTAGCATCCATAGGGCCATGCATGTTCTCCAGATCAATATCATGCACACCAGCTAATCTTAGCAATTCCCTTAAAGCATCATTCTTGGCTGCAAAGGGTAATAGACCGCCAAAATACCCTAGGCATCGAGCATCTACCTGGTTGGTACCTGTTGAGACACACTTGGTCTCAATCTCCAGAAACGCACTTAGACATGAAAAGATACTATCGCGTGCATCGGCATACTGAAATCCTCTAAGCAACATGCCTGCTACAGCAAATGTAAAATTGGAATCAAAACTGATGCCAATCGTACTATCGACGCGATGGGCAATGTGGACATATTTGGCACGGACCTGGAGCATGACTTGTTCCACTGATTGGTTTTCAAAGCATTTGTGCGTATCGAGTGTACGCAATGTGGCGTGTAATAGTTTGATAGCATGGGAAAAGATGCTAGGGATGTTCATTTGTGTCATGCCCATCGCAAGCCAAAACATGGGCTTCAAATAACGTGATTTGATAGACAGATTGTCAATGATGTTGGTTAAGCACATCAAGATACTAATCACAAGATGAGGGCTGTTTTTATCAAACCGTGCAAGTTCGTTGCGCAACACAACCAAGATTTGAAACAGCAAGTCATCATCAATTTCGTCTTGAGCAAGGCAGCCCAGGATAACAAAGGAGCGTGGTTGAAGGGCAGGATTGAACTGGAATGTCATGCTTGTCACTAAACTCATCCATCGAGCTCGCCATGAATTAGCAGTATCTATGTCAAGGTCAATCAAATGTAGTTTTGTCTAGCTTACTTACGTGTATCAGGAGAAGCATACTGAATAGTATCTAACAAGAGTCGAATAATGACTTCTAATGAAGACAAATCCATGAATTCCATATCGTCAGTCATGGTACTTTCTGTGATAGTGAATGCATTGGCATACGACTTGTTGAGTCCAAAATGAACACGATATTTGCCATCGCATACATCGTCCAGGATATATTTGAGCTTCTTGCGGTTTTCAGGACTTACACTCAGATTGGTCACTAAGGTATGAATCAAATTGACGACCAATTCATGGACAGAAGAGCGAATAAACGTAGGACCTGTAGAGACTGTCATGGCTACGAAATGAAAGATTTCAGTGACTAAAGGCTTTTGTTTGTTGGTGGAATGGAAAGAGATCATGAGCATAATACGAATCCAACAACTGATTTCAGGCCAAGAGGAATGTTTAGGAAGACTAGGACGACAGTTTTGACATGTAGCAGTCAGTGCCTTACGGGCACTTCGGGTAATTTTGCCTCGCATACTAGGTGTATTCAATGTCACTAATGTATTGGCCATGGCTTCTGCTTGTGGTGAACCAATACCATTCTCAATTGAGTACTGTACGGATTCTTCAAGGATCAGGTTATGAAGTTCATCAATGTACTTCAATGTATACCAAATCTTTTCACGAATATGCGCAGTGACCTAAATAAACGTCAATCTTGAAGAACGCTAATTGCGATTCACTTACCTTTGTCCTTTCAGCAGTAATAACAATGATGGAACGAATGACATCCCTCACTTTAGTAGCATCTTTTGCACAAGGAGCATGCAAAAACATAGAAAGATTCTTGAGCCAAGGCTGAATATAATCCAATGTCAAGATTTGAGGTACTAATTCTTTACTAGACCGATTAAAACCTAATAAGGCTTCGTTCAAAAATTCAAGTGTCAAATGGGTTTCTGTGTTGGCCAAGTTTTCACTCACGCCCACAATAAAGTCTGTACTGTTATAAGGAATACATAAATCTACACACCGTTAGCTTTATGTTTGATTCTAGATAAACGAACCTCGAGCATTCATCAGTTTGTGATCAATGCTAAATCTGAAGAAGATACAAAGAGAACACAATAGATTGTAGGCAGCAGAGCGCAGTGCAGGATTCTCACTTCCCATATTTAACAATGCCATATTCAAGATTCTACCTGGGACATCTGTAGGACGAATACCATGGTTTGTTTCAGTCAATTGAGTATCGAAGTTCTTTTTACGGTTCAAGAGATATTTGTAGACTTCTTCTCGATTAGGAACTACAAGTACAAGTGTGGCCCTTCCTGAATCTGTAATAATATGGATTTCTCCTTCATTACTTGCTTTTTTGTTGGGTGGAACAGGCGGTAAAAAGATATTGGCAATATCAGTCATACCATATACATTGTTCAAAACAGTATTTAGGCTCCAAAATATCTCTTGTTCTTTAACCTAAAGAAAAACCTGTAAATGAAGGGATGTTTTCCGAGCACAAGTTACCGTTTTCACCACAAAGTAAGAAGGACCAATTCGAATCTGAACAGGGATCATGACCTTAAAAGCGCTTACGAGATAAGCACTGGTGATAGACATTCCACTTTCCTTTTCAACATCAACTGCAGAAAATATAAAATTAATATACATATACAACACATCATCTATACTTGCATGTATCTTTAGGTAAACGAATCTCTGGCAAGGAAATGTACTGTGCAAGTTCATTGACGGTGGTTGCAAATCGAGTGCGCTTTACCAGCTTGTTTGTCAAGATACGAGGCAGTTTCCGAATATAGCGCTGCATATGAAAGTTGGGATTAAACATGTGCATTGCCACTAAATAATCGTTCATTTCACTAAAGATAAGCTGAAAGAACTGGTTTAGCCAATGGATAGGAAGCTCACAACTCTCTGTGAATCTTGATAAATCAAATAAGAGTTCAAATGGCTGGTTTAAATGGGGCTCCATCACCTAAAGATACTTGAGTTAAAAACGAGATTATATCAGTCAAAACTTACACGTAGCATGTAGTATACCAGCAATTCAAAGTCAAAGTCATCACCTACAACATTGCGGCAGATATAATAAAACACCGGACGGCCATCCTTGGAAACGCCACCTTGGTAAAAGACATTGAGTGAGTTAATATTAGAGAGATCACGATGTTTGTTGCGTCTCATAAATTCACTATAGAAATTATTGCTGTTGACCAAAGCATAATTGCGGGATGTACTAAGTTCTGTCTTTGCAATCTCGTTTGGTGGGCCCAGTTGAGCCAAAAGATTGGAAAGTTTATCCATGGTTCTCTTCCATTCCAACAGTTTTTGAGTATCTGTATTGCTTTTAGCACGACGCACAGACAATTCTCTAGCAATCTTGTCGAGATTTTCAGACATATAACGATGCAAGTTCATAAAAGCAATATCATCCATATGAACACCTCTGGATTCTTCTTTTTCTGGACAAGGACCAGGTACCATTGAGATTTCACGCAGAAAACTAGCGACACGATACAAATTGCTTGTGATAAAATCATTTAGGGAAATCAAATGGGTTTCTTTAGCACCAAACATCATATTGTTAGCCAAGTTTTGCATCATACGAGTCGCTTGCAATAAGAGTTTACGAACAGCTTTAGATCGAGGCAGAGAAGACTTGGAAAATCCACATGTTTCAGGTGTCAGGATAGCAGGATTAAACAATCGTAAAAACACAAATCCACCTACAGCTGTCTTGGAAGCATCAGGAAATCGTTTCGACACAGCTTCAGAAATTAAGGCAAGTTCTTGGCGAAAATACTTGGGTGCACTGGACGTTGAATTACAAATGGTATCCAAAAAGATTTCAGTGGCACGGCACACATTTTGTCTATTGATGGAGATACTTTCATGAGGGCTGATTTTCTGAGGATCCATTTCCCAAGACACACTTTCTTCAGGTAAAGAATTGATTAGTTCCATGGCAGGTTGTAAAGTAAACCGAACATAGTCAATACATGATTCGCGCGCAAAGATAGAAAGAAGCTTAGTAGCCACATTGGTACCTCTAAATAAAGTAGCCTCTTGTTCTGTTGTAAAAACTTCACGGTCTACGATTGTCTTTAAAAGGGTCAATACTTTGCCCTTAGATTCAAAGCACTGAAGCAACACCTCGGCTACACCTTGAATATCAGAAGCAGGACATACATCACACAAGGCAATAGCGACATCAACATCTGCATTCACTAACAATTCGGCTAGCTTCTCATATCGATCCGCAACAATGTTTTCAGCAAGCGTATCGAATTGAGCACCTTGATTTAGAATATTGGACAAGACTTTCATAAATGCAGTGCGAGTACGAGCATCTTCATGATAACCCATAGCCAAAGTGGATTTAAGACCAGCATCTACGTTAGCGCTGAGTAAGTTGGAGATAGCATTCACAGCAGATTCTTTCAAAGGGCCCCAATACTGATACGATTCAGAGGGCTTGGATAAACTGTGCAAATTGCCGTTCTGATTAGCAACAACATTGGAGCCAAGTTGTATCATAGTATGACTGGATTCTAATTCATATCGATGACATCTGTCCAAGAGTTGTGTAAAGAACGTAAAGTACTTTTGAAATAACCTGTTTTTGCTCATAACTCGGTCTGCATCACGTCCTTGATCTGTAGTTTGAAGAGGTAATTTGTGTAAAAGAGCAACAATGGCTTTCAGGCATACTTGATCCAAATCTCGTTGTACTTCTCTGTTTTGTACACTGTTTGACGTAGCACTAGACTTGGTCATCACGCGCTATAGGATAGTCTTAATTAGCACAACCACTTTTCTTTCTTATACTTACTAAGGTAAATCCACTGGTCCATTCTACAATGATTTCGAGCAGTTTATTTCGCACCTTAACATCATCACGCACAATCACTTGCTCCTTTTTTAGCATAAGCACCTCTGTTAAATGACACATCATAATCATCACACGCATGGATGTATAGTTTTCATGTGGCAAACGATTAATGTAGTTTGCGAATTGGATAATTAATGTGCTGAAATCGATACTGAGCAAACAATCATTAGGGTCTACTAATCGATCTAGGACCATCTTGAGCACTAATACTGCTTGTTCAACAAATAAGGTGTTGCTGTTATCACAAATAACGTCACCATCCGCTGTAAAACAGTTGGCCATGGTGGCTTCCAAATGATGAAAAAGAATGCTGTACAGAGAAGGAGAAAGATCACCACCCAATGTATCCTTGGCACCTTCACGAATCACCACATTATCAGACGTCAGTAATTCAATCATTTCAGCGATAAACTTCTCAATCATACTGGTATTGCGGTTAGGAGAAGCAATACGATCACTCATTTTAGTACGTCTACCCGCAGCCTCGTCTTCTTCTTCCATCATGATATCAGCAGCCATTCGACTTCCGCCTAGAGCAGCTAAAAATCCTGTATAGTTTTGCCATTCTGTCTGCTTTTCGTCATCCGTCTCTATTCGCCCCACAGGTATAGGTGCTGTAATACGAGGTGTGGATGTGGAACGAAGTTTTTCATGACGCACAAGTCCACCAATTTTCTTGACTGAAGATGTGGATGAAGTTGTTGAGCTGACAATATCGTTTAAATTCGAAAGTGACTCCATGCCAAATCGACTGACAATCTGCGTCAACAATTTCCATCGTTTCCAGACCTCTTCCCAAGCAGCTAAAATAGCAGGTGTAGGTGTGTTGATCAATCTCAGATATTTACGAACACGCTTCTGTTGTGCCTTTCGACCCACAAATGTCTGTTTACGAATGCCTTGTACTACTGGCTCTTCAAATGACAAATCCTGATAGATTTCCATATTGTGACTGAAGCTGGCTAGACTCTCGTTGCGTGAGGCTGTATCAATCATCATATCCTCATCAATCAATTTGGCTTCAATACATAGATAGCCCAAGCATTTGACTGCTAAAGAACAGACTTCGGGTGCAGGTGAACACAAGGAGACTAAAAGAGCAATCTCGAGTGTAATATTGGCCTGAAGTCGTTCATGGCCTTCAGTAGTTTCATATGTTGTTTCCTAGTCATGATTTGCGTTAAAGCCTTGTATTTGACTACATCAATACTTACAATGACGCTGTTTAAAAAAGAGTTTCTAGAAACCAGGATTTTAGCCAGTAATTCCAATAAGCATTTAGAAAGTCCTTCGTTTTGACGGCAATCAAGAACCTGATAAGCAATCGTTGTTACTGTTTGACATGAGACCTTCCAAAAGTTATTCACAATCGTAGAAGACGGACCCCAATGGCCAATGTTTTCTGCATTATGCAATTGACCTAGACAGTCAACTGTTGCTTTGCGGACTCGTTTATCGGAATATCTCAGCAAATTGATCATACAAGTCATGATAGCTGCATTTTCATCCACACGGGCTGGATTTTGCTTTTCACCCTAATCATTTTTTGTATCAGCGTCTCTCATGCCTTTTGTATTCACTTACCAACAAGACACATAGAGGATCCAATCGAAACAATTTAAGCATAGATTGTAACAGTGTTGCTGTATTCTGTTGTGACTGTCTTTTATCGTAGTTACCATTCATTAATTTTTTAGACCCAGAAGTCGTTGTTGAAATATCGGATCGTGCGGTTGAGTTGAGTTCAGCTTTGACAGTCTGGATAAAGATGCGTCTCAAGGGCGTACAAATAGAATCGTACATTGAATCCAAGGTAGGGTTCCACGACAATGTTTGTTCTTCTGTTGAAACCATAGTGAGACATGCATGCACAAACGCTTGCTTAAAGACTACAGGCGCGTCATCTTCCGCTAAACTAGGAACTAAATGAGCTAAGGTACGTTGAGAGTCTAAGCGCAATCTAGCCAAGAAATAGTCGCTCACAAGCGTTTGATAGCTGATAGTATAACCAAGACTGCTTGATAAGGAACTAGCGGTATATGCTCGAGAAAAGTCCCATACTTTTTCATATAATACATCTTCCACATCAGCAGCAATATGTCTCAAAATACTGTCTTCATGAGGAGAGATATAAGTGGCTGCTTTGAAAAGATCCACATAACAAATGGCTGAGATCTCTTGTGTCTTAGTCGACTGTAGTGCCTTTTTTAACTGACGAGGGAATCCAGTCTACATCATATGAGTATCACAATTTAACATGTATAACCTACTCTTCGGTTTTGCAATCCTCGACTGTCATCCAAAAAAGCTTGTACTAAAAGATCAGGTGATAAAGCCAATAAAATAGTCTGTAATGGCCATAAAATAGCCTTTTTTCTAGAATTGTCAGCAGCTACATTACACATATCAAAAAGGATCTCTGAACCAGCCAAAGGTCTACTTGTGCTACTGGCGCAAATTTCAGCAAATTGAGAAGGTTTCATTTCCATCCATTTCCAAATAGCGGATCGCATCATTCTTGCAAACAGCAATTTGCCCTGGATTCGCATATTTAGAAAATATGGACTCAGATCTACGTTATTGTCAGCCAGATCCAAATCTTTTAATAACTCACCTGATAAAATGGCGTGTAATTTAGGTATGTCGAGACAAGCAAAAGCCAAAATCCTAACTTCAGGAGGATTCCATTCAGAATTTTCGCTTACGGCGCCGAGGATATTCACAGCGTTTTTAATCTTTGCATAATAAGTGGACCAATTACTAGCACTGATATAATAAAGAATTTTCCCTGTGGTAGTATACACTTCTCGTATGTATTCAAGTGTCTGTGTGTCTACTTTAGCAGCCATGGCCAAAGTATCGTTGGCTGTTTCGGAGGATAAAAGGGCGAGTTGATCATTGCGTTCTTCAATCATATGCATTTGACCTAAAAATCGAGTCATGAGCGATAAAAGAAAGGTAACGAGGGCTTCATCAAGAGCTGGCGGATCAATGAGTGTCTCGAAATTTGATTGTCCAGAGAATGCTTTGGCTGAAAGTGAGGAAGAAGAGGAAGATGTGCCAACATAAGTACCTGTCGCTGCTGCTGCTGCTGTTGCCTCTTCTGTTGTGTTTGTTTCTCTTAATTGCTTTCTATACCAAGACCAATGATGTTGTAAACAAGCTGACAATAATCGCAAAATAAACAGCTGTGACTGGAGTACATCATGAGGAATATAAAAGTCGCTTACAGCTTGTGTTGATGGCTGAACATTCTTCGAGAAAGAATTGATAAATCTGGGTGATAAAAAAGAGAAAAAAAGCTTACTTTAGTAATAGATTCCAATACAAGTGCAAGCTGATTGACAATAATGGGAAGTTTATGAATCGACAATTCAATAATAGCAGCCACTACATTATTGTTAGCTGATATAGAGTCGTTTGCAATCTTACCTGTCTGCTGTGTTACTGAGTCTTGCTCTAGTACTTCAAGCGTTCGGCCTGCATTATTTATCGGTAACGTGTTCAATGCATATGACTTCATATATTTACTCGAACTTCAACTCGTTTTATTAGGCTAACTATCAACTTTGCATTTGCCCTCATACTAGTCTATTTGAAACAAAATCAGAGGTCAAAAATGGCTACAGCCGACAAGTACTACCAGACGAGGCTTCTTGTTAGATTTATGTTATAAGTTTATGTGAAGAACGAGAGAGAGAATGGAAACAAGAAGAAAAAGAAAAGAAAGCGAAAAAAGAAAGGAAAGCAAAAAAAAAAAGAGAGAGAGAAAAAAAACGAGATAATTCAATCACTGCAAAAGATCACTTTGATCGCTGCTCCCACACCCTTTATTTATTGCGCCTTTTAAACTTTTTTTTTGGTTTCATAATCTAATCGCGCCCTGTACAACATTCTTTTATAGCTTATTCTTTTTGATATCTTTGTTCTCTTTACGCTGTTTGATTTATTTCTATTTCCTCTTCTACTTATAATTTCTCATTCAGATGGTTTCTTCCTGCTACAACATTATTTGAGACGTCTGAATCTACCAATGACTCACAACAGGGAGAAATAAGTTGAAATTTAAGCAGACATTACACACAGCGGCAGATAAATATATTCGCTCCGCAATCACACACACACACAAGAAAAAAATATATAAAATAAAGCCAGGTGCACCCTTTGTCGTAGTCCATTATGCACAGATTATTAGCTTGTTCCACCATAAAGCCAGTATCTCGCTTTCCTTTACGCTTATACTATTCTACCGAAGTAACGAAGAGTACTATCAAGGAGGGATGGGAAGCTGTGATTGGTATTGAAGTCCATGCTCAGATTAACACGAAAACGAAATTATTTTCAGGTAATCGTAAACTGACTCGATCTATACTTATATCACTAGATTCCTCTACTTCTTATAATGATATGGTCAATACGCACGTATCTCCCATGGACGCAGCATTTCCTGGTGTGCAGCCTGTAAGACAAGTCCTGGATTGATTTTTTATCTAATTTTTTCTTAGCGCTTAAATGATCGTGCTGTTGAATTGGCTGTTAAAACAGCTCTTGCTTTACAAGGACAAGTTCAGAAAAAATCAACGTTTGACAGAAAGCATTATTTCTATCCCGACCTTCCTCAAGGATACCAAATCACACAACAAAGAGGCAAGTTGAACATATATACCAATGACAAGCTAAAGACTGTTCAGAACCCATTGCTAGAGGGGGATATATCAAACTGACTCATCAAGATGGTGTAGAAAATCCAATTCGTGTCGGCATTCATCAACTTCAACTGGAACAAGATACAGGCAAGAGTTTTCATGATATGCGGCCTGGTGAAACATTACTTGATTTAAATAGAGCAGGCACAGGTTTAATGGAGATTGTAACAAAGCCTGATCTCAGATCATCTTATGAAGCTGGTCTTCTTGTCAAGAAACTACAGAATATATTGCAATGGGTTGGATCCTCCAAAGCCAATTTAGAAGAAGGATCTATGCGTTGTGATGTAAATGTATCTGTGAGAAGAAAGGGAGAAGGATTTGGAACACGTTGTGAATTAAAGAATCTTAACCGAATTCGAGTCTTGTCAATGGCCATTGATGCTGAAATCAAGCGTCAAATTGAAGTGATTGAAAATGGAGGGCAAATTGAAGAAGAAACGCGAAGATATGACGAAGGGAAAAATACAACATTTAGACTTAGAGACAAAGAAACTGCGCCTGATTATAGATATATGCCTGAACCTGATTTACCGCCCCTTTTGTTATCTCAGGTTTGCTATAATATAAGATCAAATTTGACATTTATGCTTGAATAGGACTATATTGATAAAATAGCAAGTACACTATCAGAATTACCAGACGAGTGCTTAGACAGAATTATTCGACAATATGATCTTAGTGTAGCCAATGCCAATTTATTACTGCATGAATACAGGTGCGTGGACTTTTTTGAACAGGCAAGTTTTTTTTTTTTTTTTTTTTTTTAAAATGTCGATTATCCATTAACATGAATGTATAGATTTGTGTTGGCCGAAACCCAAAAATAGTATCCAACTGGTTAGCTTAGTCTATTGGAATGTCAAAATATGAGTAACACGATTATGGTAGGACACTGAACGAACTTTCAGGTGCGTTGGCATCCAAAGATATTCCATTTAAAGAGAATCCTATTTCTGTGAAACGTTTTGGGAATTTGATAGATCTTGTCCAACAAGGAACAATTACAGGTTATTATTTCCTACTTTTATCTATAGCCTATCTTATTGTGGTTTGATAGGCAACACTGGTAAAGATGTACTTAAACTTATGTTGACAAACCCTTCAGAGCCTTTGGAGATTGTCAAGGAAAAAGGATGGCTTAGGATTACGGATAAGGTGCAAATAAAATCACTGTGTGATGAATTAATTAAAAAAAATGAGACCAAGGTAGAAAAAAAACGTGTGTCTAGGTTCTAATACAGAATAGGTCAAAGCAGTTCAAAGTGGTGATTTGAAACTCTTTAAATGGTTTATTGGTCAAGCTATGGGTCGAACAAGAGGAATGGCTGATCCCAACACACTGAATCTTGTATTGAGTCAAGCTTTAGGTTGGTCTTCTTATGAAGATATGATGAGTAATAGCAGTAACAAGTTGAAGAGCGAGAAAAAATGAATCTTATTGGATGACAAGAATAATAAAGTTCACTGTTAATCTAATAGTGCGGGTAGTAAAAGATAAGACTTGATTTTCATACAAAGTATAGAACCTTTTTCTAAAAGTGTAACAATGTTAAGTATAGGAATAATGAAATTTCTGCATTTATACCCATCCAAATCTTAATACATGGATCGAGCTCCTTCTTTAGTCAGACTAGTATTTACTTTGAATTTGGAGCATGCGTTTATACACCTTTTGTTCAATGTTTGTCTCGGTAAGAATACCTTTTTTAATTGACATAATGATTGGTTACTGAATCCTTTGTGTGCCTTTTCTTTAACAAAAATAATTCCCAGCATAGAAATTGAGTTTTCTTTAATTGAATCAATTCAAACTCCACATCAACAAACAATGATATTCAAAAGAACTTTGTTTCTTATCAAATGTTATTCTATTCATATACTAAAACTTATGAGGAATATTTTCTTTACTTTAAACAATAACACTTTTGCAAATATATATCAATTCTAAAGGAGTGACTGTACGCATTCTATTAAAGATATCAGCTATGAGGCATGAACATGATGGAATAATTCTTTTTCTATACAAAGTTTTAACCAATGATAAATTTGCATTTATTGACATACTTATACATAGAGTTATCTAACCACGCAAGTATGTTTGAACATAATCAGGATTGTTCAATGCCTACAAACAGTGTTTACTAACATTCATGGTACTTCTAGAGTTGATTTGGGCCATGAAAACCGACATGTAAAATTTGACCATTTTAGCCTCTAATCCAAAGGGGGTACTTACTCATGAAAATTATTCGTTTGACAACTTTTGATCTTCTCTTTGATGCTACAAGACAGAAGAAAATAGAGCTACCAACATGATTAAATACGCAAAATATGCGTCCAACGCTCTAGAGCAAAAACGCTAAAAACACAGCTTAAATGCACCAATCTTTGATAGCCCATTATTCGACAACTACATTATCAAAACAGTCCTTTTTCTTTTATTTTCTTGTTTTTTTTCATTTAAAACATGTTCTTTCAAGTTCAGAAATTGAATAGCTCCATTGGTTTAGCTGTTGGGTGAAATTCATTTTTTGACCCCATGGGGACCTACGGAAGCTCTTGAAAATGAAAAAAATAAAAGGCTTTTGGATTGTCGAATTGTCCCCGATGTAGATCTGATCCAATCAAAATCAGGTAAGACCATGGCTAGATACTTATGAAAAAAAGAAACCGAGTTTACTAAGATGAGAACATCGACGTAATTTGAGCATTGCTTTTAAAACAGCGTTCAAAGTGCATTGTGCACTGTAATCAATATACGAGAGACCCTTTTCAGTGGACGTGGGTTATTAAGTGTGTATTTGGTTATATGTCGTTGGATGTAGAAAATATAGGCAAGTAAGGTCTACTATAGTTTACAACACTTTTGAGGACAAAGAGCGTAGTTTCGAGCACGATAAACGACGGATGCCGTGCAGGAGAGAAGCTTGTCATTTTAAACATCGACATATTTTTTTTCTTCCTTTTTTTTGGGGGAGTTGGTTCAACATACTTTAATCATTAAGACGGCTAAAAATGCACAGACCTACTAAAATAATCAACAAGACGCATTAAGCAAAGTTGTAGCGCTTAATTCAGCGCTCCAAATGGTATATAAATCACTTGCCCTGAATATTTATATGCTGAGAAGAAGATAAGAAACGTATTCTCGCTTTCTGGCGATAGTGTGCACTTTTCATACATCTTCTGTAGAAATAACACTTGGACCTTATTTTGGCACATACTACAAACAATTTTTTTTTGTTATGTACTATCATAGTAAAACTCTTTTGCATCTCTGTCAAATGACCTCTCGAAAATATTCGACTTTATTTTCGATATCTAACCATTTTGTATTTTGTTGATGCGCTAAAGGAATCTTATAGAGTTACATCTCTACATGCCTCTGCGAGGGAAAAAAAACGAATTCAATAAGATGAAAAAGACGGGTTAATCTGAGCATTATTTCTAAATTTGCATCCAACGTCCATTATAATCTGTGGATGGTAGAAAAGAAGCTCTTTTTAGTAGATATTGAGCAATAAGTGGGTGCTTATTTAAGCATCTTTGAACTAGCAGCATATAGGTAAGTAAAATAGACTATGGTAATCGAAGTTTGTAAGGTCCAAAGGATTATTCTTGGATATGGTAGACGCAATGGAAACTGAATACAAGTCACTCTTTTGTCTTTTGTTTAGACGCATAGAATAAGGCGTTAGAAATTACTCACATACTTTAAGGCTTTTAACAAGTATACTATCAATATGTTTACACAGAGATAGACTACTTCAAATTTCATATAAAATCCATACACCTCAACTTGAAAGTAAAAGCAATTAAGACACCTACCAATCCTAGGGTATATAATGGAGCTTCAGCCAATGCATAATTACTAAGACGTCATTAACAACTGCTGCTTACTACATAAAACGTCTCAAAGCAGCAAGAAGTATAATATGATCCAAGAGGGTTGGAGCTATATATTGAAAATCTAACAATGTGCTTCGTATCGTGGTAAGCTTTTAAGGTATACTGTGTAGCTACTTTTACACGATCTATTTCTTGTCCTCTCTCTCTCTCTCTCTCTCTCTCTCTTACATGAGAGATATAATGTACTCAAACTGAAGAAATCAACTTAAATTTATAAGAGCTCTAACAGAGTTTATTTGCATGTTACAGATGTAAATAAGGCATCTTTATTGAACGCATGCTGCTCTAGGAAGTTCATAAAATAAACAATATTCATTGATGAAGTCGCGAAGTTCAAGTAAGATATATATATATATACAAAAATTCATTCAATCCATTTCTTGCTGCATTGACTCCTAACATGAGTCTTCCCACTTAATCTAAACACGAATATTCTTTCGTGCGATTGCTAGGTCCACTAGGCTTAGCCAAAATGTTCAGCAAAATCTTCTTGCCATTTTTGATCCTAAGATGAGAAATGTAGCTTGGCTTGGATGAAAAGATTCTTTCGCATGCTTGACTATAGTTGTTAGGATCATTATCATAAGGATGAATGTTTGGATTGAAGACGGTAGTATAAGGTAGAATCTTCTTGGTGTGTTTAGTCGCAAGATGGGTAGCCTAGCTTAATATACATGAAAATGTTCGGCAGTAGTTATTGGAACCATTAGCATCAGGCTTAATACTTGATTTGTTATTGAGACCTTTTGCTTGAATCTTCCTGTCAAGCTTAGTCCCAAGAAGGAGGATCGTAATTTGGCTTCGATAAAAATATTATTTCGGATGGTTGGTGATGATATTTAGGATCTTCAGGATCAGGTCAAATGTTGATATTGCCTCGCTCCACACCCGTAGAATGAGCTTTGGCAAGATGTCGTAAATATTGGCTCTTTCTCTTGTAGACTTTATTACATGCGCCACAGTGATAATCGGGCTTTTTTAAACCAAGTGGATTGACCAAAGCTATATTTTTATTTGGCATTGCCGGTGTTGTCCTTTGCTTTTGTGTCATCCTAGTATGCTCCTTATATATAGCTCTAGTTGCAAACAATTGATTGCATATTTGGCAGAACATACTTTTGTTTTTATTTGAAGTTAACACTAGAGAACAGCAAAACTTTGTTTGCCTTTTTTAGTGATGACCTTAACTTCGGTGACATACAGCGAAATATGAAGCTTTTCTTCTAATTCTTGCTTTACCACCACACTATCTTCTTTCGAAAGCACATCTTTTTCACTTGCAAAAGTAAACTTAGGGCTATTGTTTTCTTGTTTTATGCTTTCGGTCTCGAAACATTTAGCTTGTGACATGTCTTCTTTTTGAGTTCAAGTTCGCGTTGATGTTTGCATAACAGTAGTGAAAGGAAAAGAAACAAAGCTTGAGACCTGAGAAGAAGAATAATGTATTTATAATGCTTTTAAGGAAGTTTACCAAGATGAAAATATGGAGCTAATTTCCACATGGCCTTCATATCTGTTATTTATTGCAATTCGTAAGAAAAGTGAAAAATATACACTATCTGTTATTTATTGCAATTCGTAAGAAAAGTGAAAAATATACACTATCTGTTATTTATTGCAATTCGTAAGAAAAGTGAAAAATATACACTATCTATTCTTTTTTCAACTCTTTAGGATATACATAAAATCCACTTTTGTTTACTCGGGCAATATAAGCTTTCGAGTACGAATGAATGCAAAAGATTGCTTTCATGCCAACAATTTTGCCTAAAAAAAATTAAACTCAGTTGATCAATGTCTTTAGTTATCTTTTTACCCCCAATAAGCATGTACAGCACTATATCATGATAGCGTATAAAAGATATTCACTAATGTCTCAAGATCATGCTATGTTATGTTTCGCAATAAAACTATTGACAGATGGGATGTACTTTAAAAAAGCAAGTGGTTATTGTTACCAAAAGGTTGCATAAAGACTGTTAAAAAAATGTGACCTTCTTCTTTTGAAACTTTTTTCATATATGCCTCAAACGACAAAAGAGAAAGGAAAAAAGAAAGCCACTGCCAATCCTGACATGGATCGAATGGACGATCTCGACATTACCACCATCTTATCGAATGCTGGATTGGATTCGATTTCACTGGAAGAAGAACTTGCAGAAGATGAGAATGAAAATTTTAATCCAGGATCGGATGATGATAACGATTCCCTCGACCAGTGGATACATGAAGATCAAGAAACGGAAACAGACCTAATTGATAAAGATCTCATGAATGATGATGAAATCATGTAAGTGTACTAGTAACGCGTGCATCATACTGATAGATCTATAGAAAACTTTTGAACAAAGCACCTGAGAATCGTGCAAAGCTCAAGACAGGTGATATGGAAGAATTCGAGAGGGAAATGGAAGAGTTTGATAACAATCTAGCTTTAACAAGTGGCATTGGTGCAAGTCGTATCAAGGGTGCTACTAAAAAGAGAATCCTGAAAGGTGAAATTAAGCTCACAGACGATGAAAAAAGAAAGCTTGGTGAAGCCAATGCACTCTATATCAGTAGACAGTATGGTAGTGCTATTGATATTCTACAAGATATTATTCAAAAGAATCCCAAGGTACATCCAGCATGGAACACATTGGGACTTGTGCATGAAGAATTAGGCAATAATGAATTATCATTGAAATTCCGTATGATGGGCGCTCAAATGTGTAATGATGCCTCACTATGGAAAGAACTGGGTCAAAAGTCAATGTAAAGTGTATAGGCAGATACAATTCGTATGCTTACGCTTTTATAGTGAAAACGATGCTGTCATGCAAGCCATTCAATGTTTTACAAAAGCACTTGCATTGAAACCAACCGATGTGGATGCATTATGGGATAGAGCATTTCTTTACAAGCAGAATGGTCGCGTTCAATATGCCATTGATGGATTTACACGTATCTTAGAATTATTGCCACACCATTTCAAAGTCATTAATGAACTCGCTCAGCTTTATCGAGGTCAAGGCAGAACAAAAGAAGCCATCAAACTGTACGAAGACGCCATTGTGTATCATACAGAAAATCAAGTAGATGAAAGTGATCATGAAGACGAAGAAGAGGAAGATGAATTTGCAGATAAACTCGGTTATTCCGAAATCAACATGCTGAGTGAACTTTACTTGATCCTGAATGACTATAGGCGGTCCTTGGACACAATCAAGACAGGTTTGCGTCTGGTACAAAAGAGACAGAGTGAAACTTGGTGGACAGAGCATACAGATGATGATGATGAATATCTTGAAGAAGACGATTCAAGGACAGATTTTCCTATGGAATTGCGTGTAAGAATGGGTATATGTCGTTTGTATTTAGGACAAGTGAGAATAGCTACAAGGCACTTTCAATACTTGCTTCAGTACCCTGCCACTAGTTACCCTGATTTACACCAAGATATTGCTTATGCCTATTATGATAAACGTCATTATGATTTAGCATTGCCTATCTTTCAACGCATCATTGACGCCTCTAGTGTAAGAATTACTTTGGTTGTGTTGCATAATTGACCTAGAATATTAGGAAATTGAAGTCGATTTACTGATTCGCACAGCTGATTGTTATAGAGAAACAAATGATCTAGATACGGCCGTTTTATTCTATTTAAACGGTAAGATAAGCCATGGCATAGTTTTGTTTCTCATATGTGTGATAGTGTTGGAGGAACAGCCAGATAATTTAGATGTCATGATGTCTTTAGCTACTGTCTATGAAGAACAAGGCAATGAAGAAAAAGCACTAGAATTAGTCGATTATGGTAAAGCTACCCAAGACAAACTATGTGTCTCATCTCTTTCTTAGTCGTGAAAAAGAACCGTGAAGAACGTCGACAGAAGAAGACCAAAGCAGAAAATGAGACAGGACAACAAACACAAACACAGAATACAAAGCGTATGAATCGATCTAAAAATGCTTCTATTTTTGAAGAAAAGCATCAGGGCATGTCTATTACAGAATATTATCACCGTAAAAGAGATGAAATCAAACGTAGAGAAGAAGAAAAGACATACTCTACACTGGGCTTATTTGCAAAATTGGACGAATTAGAAGAGAAAATGGGAGCTGATACAATCAATGCAGACAGGTCTCTCTTGCGTGATTATATGCGAAGTGCACAAGAATTATGGAACGATTTTAGTAATACAAGTGCATTTTATCCTTCAGAAAGATCTTTGCGCTATACAGGCTTTTATGCATTTAGAAAAGGGAAAGTCAAGAACAGAGACACAGATAACTTGAATGAAGAAGCTCATTCTATGGCAAATCGTCTTCGTACACGTATTAAAAAAGAAGAGGAAACAGGCCAAGATCGAATTGATTTTGATGAAGAAGAAAAGCACTTGAGACAAGAAGAAGAAGAGAAGGAGCGTATGATTCGGGCTTCTCAATTCAGAGGCATTCCTATGAATAAATGGCTACGCATGATTATGCGTTATGCTTATGTGTTAACGACATTCAAAAGAAGTTTAGAGGCATACAATGTGTTACTCAAGGCTATTAGTGCTAATGTGTTTTATCATGACAACCCTAAAAAGCAAGCGCTTTACTTGACTATGATTGGTAAATATGAAATGATGAATCTCAATGTACTGATTTTTAGGTTGTGGTATGATTGGAAAAAGAGGTACTATGGTGCAAGAAGGTGCTCGTTGGCTCTGTAACTACCGTCAGCACAAAAACGATGGTTTCCGTATTTATGCAGCATTGGTGGATTCTGGCTATAAGGATCCTACTATGTATGTCTCTCAGAATCAACTGAAATACCTCACTCGTATGGTACGTTTGATGGATGCAATGGTGGGCAATAAAAACAAAGAAAATGAGGGTAATAATCGCGAACAAATCCGTTTGCTCAACGAAGAAATCTTGGCTATGAACATTGATCCTGCTGCTGCAAGTGAAAATTATTATACACGATATTATCATACGCCAACTGCTGTTCCACCCCCCATAGTGAAGAAGATGAATGTAGAAGGACTCAGCTCATTGAATCCTATCTTATTGTGTTTGTACGGTCACATGATGACTTTATCAAGGAGTGCAGTCGCTGCGAGTCGTAAGTAAATAAGTGTATAGACTATATATCTTATGTCCATAGTATTCCACATGAGAGCCTATGCTGTAGCACCTAAAGATCGTCTGAATACACTCTCTTTAGGTATTTCTTTACTGCATACTGCTATTCAGCGTAAATCAGACGATAGACATATGCAAATTGTGCAGGTAAGAATGCTCTCTATGTTGGTGTATATTGATGAGAGTAGGGAATGATGTTTATTTATGAATATGCAAAATTATCTGGTCATAGTCAAGAGTCAGAATACAACATTGGACGTGCATTTCACTTGCTTGGCCTTACACATTTAGCCGTGACTCATTATGAGAAAGTACTTTGTATGCCAGCGCCCTCTAAAGCAGCCACACGACAGCCAAAACCATTTGACAGTGTATATGCATGGCCTATCTCTAAAGAAGAAGAAGCTGAACTAGAAGAAGACCAAGAAGATGAAGACGACTTAAAATCAGAAGCTGCTTATAATCTTCATTTGATTTATATCACCAGTGGTTCTTTAAGTTTAGCGCAGATTCTTCTTCAAAAATATTGTGCAGTTTAAGATAATAAAAATGTGCCATTGCACAAACTATAGACTGTGAGAAAAGCACTTTTGATTTGTAATACACTCCCCTTTTTTCTCTCTCTCTCTCTCTCTCTCTCTCTCTCTCTCTCTCTCTCTCTCTCTCTCTCTCTCTCTCTCTCTCTCTCTCTCTCTCTCTCTCTCTCTCTATGTCTAAACTTACTCTTGTTGGTGCTCCCTTCTCTACGTTTTCGCGCACATTGCGCATGGCTTTTGATTATCTAGGCATTCACTATGACTTTGAAATAACCATGCCTCATACCGACCTTGCTTACAAATACAATCTTTTTGGTAGATTACCTTCCTTAATTCACGGTGACCGCGTTCTTTTCGAAACAGCTTGTATTCGTGACTATGTTGATGCTGTGTTTGACCCTCGTTTGACTCCCACTGATTTGGAGACTCGACTCAAAATGCATCAAATGATTAGTGTCTTGAGCGATTATGTATTTCATCAAGTTATTTTTGGTGTAGCCAAACGCCGTGAGAAGTATGAAAATGAACAGGTACCCGAAGAGACGATTGTGGAGCGATTGGAAAAGGCAACCCAGACAGCAGGGAAAATCATTGGTGCATTCGATACTATGTGTAGCCCAGAAGGACCCTTCTTGTGTGGCAAGGAATTGACCTGGGCAGATTACTTCGTTTATCCTCCTATGGCTGACTTGTATGCTTTACCTGAAACCAAGTTCTTTCAAGAAAAGGGTCCTCGATTATACAAGTGGTTTAAGGTATTTGAAAAGCGTCAAGAGGCCATCGATACTTTTGAAGATACGGTTGCTGATATCAGAAACAAAAAGAGATCCAGTCTATAATTTAGTGAGCATAAAACCCTGAATTTAATTCCTCTAGTCACAAATATTTTGATAAGGGTTGTCTTACATAATAAATTGATGTGAAAATAATGTTTGTTGTACATTCCGAAACATAAACATAGCTACTGCACTATATAAACACGACAAGTTAGGATTAAACTTTCTTCTTTCTCTTCATCCTCATGAAGTTTATTTCTTTATTTGTTACGTGTGTTTTAGTCTCAGTTGAAGCCAAAACCTTCCTTTATCCAGTACCTCAAGAAGTAACATGGTCTGATTCAGCAGCTGTTCTCTCCAACGATTTCTCGTTCCAAGGTATCCAGAACAAGATGGTACAAAAGGCTGCTGATCGCTATCTTCGATTGATCAAAAAAGAACAATGGGTGCCTGTTCAAGTCTCGACAGAGAATATCACCACCTCATTAGCACTCCATCCTTTACAGGGCATTCATTTTCAAGTCGCTGATAATCAAGTCAAACTGGATTATGGTGTTGATGAATCTTACCAGTTGGACGTGCCTTCTTCAGGAGGCTATGCTTCTTTGCGAGCCAAGACATGGGTGGGCGCTCTTCGTGCTCTTGAAACATTTTCCCAGTTAGTGATTTATCAAGACAAACATTTGGTTGCTCATACAGTCACTATTACAGACGCACCTACTTATGGTCATCGGGGCATCTTGTTGGACACCTCTCGTAACTTCTATCCTGTCAAGAGTCTATTGCATACGATTGAAGCCATGACCTACAACAAGATGAACGTACTTCACTGGCATGCCACAGACTCCCAATCGTGGCCACTCTATTTCAAGTCGCATCCTGAACTCTCTCAAAAGGGCGCTTACTCTTCTAAGGAAGTCTACACCCCAAGTGATGTGGCTAAAATCATTGACTTTGCACAAGAACGAGGTGTACGTGTCATTTTGGAAATTGATATGCCTGCACATACAGCCTCTATCGTTGCATCTCACCCCGACTATATGCTTTGCACGGATAAATTTTGGGCTCCATATGCTGCAGAACCTCCTGCTGGTCAATTAAACCCCTTGAACAACAATGCGTTTAATCTTATTCAAGAGATTGTGAAAGAAGCCTTGCAAGTATTTCCTGATGGATTCTACCATACGGGTGGTGATGAAATTAATACGGCTTGTTGGGAATTGGATGAGGCCATCAAGAACTATACCGCACAACACAATATGACTACAAAGGAGATTTGGTTCCAATGGGAAAATAAATTGTTGGACTATGTGGCTACATTGGGTAAGCGAGCTATCATGTGGGAAGACCCTGTGAAAGATGGTGGAAAGTACCCTAATACAACAATCATTCAGACCTGGCTTGCTCCTCCCTCAAATTACACTGTGCTTGGCCATGATGTGATTGTTTCCAACTATGACTATTTCTATCTAGACTGTGGACATGGTGGTATGTAACTCATGTTTGCAATTTCAACTAACTAAAAATAGGCTGGGTTGGTAATGATGAACGCTATTTGAGTCCTACTCAAGTCGAGACAAGTGCTGATACCTTTAACTATGGTGGTTCAGGTGGATCTTGGTGCTCTCCTTTCAAGACTTGGCAGCGTATTTACAGTTACGATATGACACTTGGCATTGATAAGTCACACCCGGGACAAGTCTTGGGCGGTGAAGTGGCTATGTGGTCAGAACAAACAGGACCTACTGTGATTGATGGTAGACTCTGGCCTCGTTCTGCTGCTGCTGCTGAGCTCTATTGGTCTGGTTCTTATGATAAACAAGGAGAAAGACGTACTATCAAGACAGCCTCAGAACGCTTTTATGATTGGGTTTATCGTCTTCAAGCACGCGGTATTAATGCTGAACCTGTACAACCCAAATATTGTGCTCAACATCCTCATGCCTGTGATCTTCATGATTCAGAATAAACATTCTTATTGTTATTTGTATTTATATACTTTATTTAAAGAAAATTCGTTATGATAAAATAAAGCAAAAGTTATTTTTAGTAGCTAAGCAGAGTATGAGATATTTACACTAGATTGCAAGAAAGAGCAGAGAATAGATGGGAGATGAATGAGTAATAAACATGAACTAGTGTACGTAAAATATTAATACAGATACGAGGTAGTAATTGAATAATTTTGTCAATTGCATAATTGCTTCAACTCATTATATTCGTACTGCTACACACTATAACCAACCAATACCAACCAATGCCAAGCCAAAGGCTGTACCACCAAGTACTAAACTATATTTTCTTAAAGTAAACATCTCAACAAATCATCCACAAAGAACTGAGTGCGGTTAATTGTCATCTTGGCATATCAAGTTAATTTTTATTTCGAGTCTTTATATAATCTTTTTGCTGATGACGATGAGTAAATGTAGCTGTCTTTTTAATTGTTTGGTATCGATGTTGAATCATGTTGTAAAAAAACTTGTAATAGAATAACAAATTATCGTATTTACCATCATAAGGATCTTCGTATGTTTCACTGTATTCTCGATAAAGATAATAAATGGCTTCTATTGTGGCTAAATGTTGATCGTCTACATTTTGAAATCGCCAAAAATGAGTCTTTTGAGGAGCAATGGTGACACATTGCATTTTCTTAAGTATAGGTGTATTGTTGGCTATTTGTTTGGCTTGTATCCATGTACCATCAATCACAGCGATACGATCAAAAGAGTCTCTTGGGATATCTTTGAGTTGTTTAGCATCCTATAAAGTCATGAGAAAGAATGCATGTATGAAAGACGCTTACTGGACTAGGAAACAAGAGTAAAGTTCGCTCAGGGTGTTCAAACTGGGGAATATCAGGCCATGTATGAAGATCTGCGTCCTGTTTGGCAACGATCTTTGCATGAACAGCTGTTGACTTGCCATCCAATTCTTTATGATGTTTGATACTAGTCTATACATTAATATGTCTGAGTGATGTGTACAATGTCCTGCTTACATATCTAAATGAACAGGCAGTCTGACGCAGGGTATGTCTGACTCTTTCATACCAACCACTTTATGGCACTTGTAACAAAAGTATTTCACTGTCTTGTTACAAGTAGGACAAAGCGATCGTGTTGAAATATTCTTGAGTACTTGATCATTATCGATCTTGAGTAGATCAAAGGGACCTTCAAGATCAACTTGATCGATATTTCGCTTTTTATTCTCTATTGTATGCCTTAGTCTCTTTATGTCACTCAATTGTGAATCATGGTACCCTCTTGACTCATGTGTTGAAAGAAAAAAAAAGAAAAGCAGGTACATCTGACCTAGAAATTCAGATACAAGGACTGGTCTTGAAAATAAGATGGGCTTTTCCCTTGTTTATTATTAAACCCCTTACAGAATGACCTTTCGATTCATTAGACATATAGCATCCACCAGCACTTATCAGCCATGCACACGAACTATACCTCGTTTGTCTCGATCTTTATATACTACTGGTAAGAAATAGAGCAAAAAAAGAAAACTATTTTGTTTAACATGATCGATAGCTGCTAACACCAATGCTGTAAAAACCGAGATGACAGACGCAAAAGATACACCATCCGTTGATCCCCAAGTTAAGTCGGCCATAAAGACAGAATCTAGCAGCAAGAAAGATATGGCAGAAAAAGGTAAGCATTGATCAAGGGAATAGTTTTGTTGAGTCTAGAGTAGAAGAGAAAAAAGAACATGGATATGCCTATGGTGCTCACCATTGGAATATGGAGCGTGGAGCTGCTATTACACTGATTCCACTTGTCAGTACATCTATGTTGTATGGTGCGCACCCTATTGTGGATGGCTTGATGGGCGTTGTTTTACCTTATCATATTTATATGGGATTTGATTCTTGTATTACAGACTATGTTCCAAAGAGAGTATATCCAAGACTTCACCGAGTATCGAATTGGATCAATGCTGCTTCAACAGGTTTAGTGATGTGGGGATGTTATGAATTCAATACAAATGATATTGGTATTACTGAATTCATGCAGAGACTTTTTACTGCTTAAAAATTCTTATCTTTAATAAATACATAAAAGCATGGTTGTCTATATATATTATTCAAAAAGTGACATCATGAAAGGGCTATAGTGCCCTTACTCTAAGTGAAGATATAAAACGGATGTATTCAATATACTGAAGCTTATAAGAGGGGAATTGCAGTTCAATAATCTTACCTTACTGTCTACTGTGAAGGGGGTGTAATAGGAAAAGCAGTCTACAATGGAAGCAATCAAGAAGGCATTTAGGTCCAATTGCCATGGTTACCATATGCTTACAAACCCTGTATCGAGATCTCGGAGAACGGGTAAACTACACATCCTAAGTTCGTGTGACTTGAGCTTCATTTGAAAGGATATGAAAGGAACACTCGAATGATTTTTTTTTACATTTCTTTCCTTAGTTAATATGTCTCATCATACCTCTTACACTATGGCTGGTTTGTGCGCTGCTGGGTAAGTTAAGTTAATGAGTGATAGTATATGTCTGACAACCCAATAGTGGTATTGCCGGCTTTGCTAGAACACGCTCTATTCCTTCTTTAGTGGCTGGTCTTGGTGTTGGTGCTCTTTATGGTACTGCTGGTTACTTGATCCAACAAAACAAGGATTATGGTCATGAAACTGCTGTTGCTGCCTCTGTTGTCTTGGGTGGTGCTATGCTTCCTCGTGCCATCAAGACAAGAAAGCCTGTGCCTATTGCATTGTCTGTCATTTCTCTTGCTGCTGGTTCATACTATGTTAAGAAAGTCATTGAATACAGTTAAAATAAAAGTTTAGAATAGATGAGTAATTTATGCATGGATTTATTTTATTTTTTTTGCTTAAGACGCGCGAAAAGCTAGTGAAATGAGCCAACCGCGTGTGACTACTGTTATTGTGTGCTAATTAAAAAAAAAAACCTTCGAAAAAAAAAGAAACGCGTAAACCGTGTCTTTTTCACTTTTTCCTTTTTTTTATATTCATAGAGAGAGATACTATTAGAGTGAAAAGAACTGGAAAAGAAAAAATAGAGTTATTGTATCAAAGGAGTTTAGTATTCTTTTCGCTATCTTTTTCACTATTTTCGTAATCAGTAGTAGATTATGTCACAACAACGAGACAGGCCTGTACCTGCAGCACACAAAATAGCCTTAATTCCTCCTTCTGTGATGGAATTTCCAGTTCAACGGCGATGGGCAGCCACCATTTTCGCAGCATTATTGGCTTGGAAAGCAACGCAATTCATTTCACTTTGGACTTCTTCCGATCCTGAACTCTATAGTCGAGTGCTATTCAAGTCGTTTCTTTTGGACACTTTGTATTTCTCTGTGCTTTATATTGTCAAAATTCCATGGCTTCAGTTTAGTCTTTTAAAAACCCTGCTTTTGATATTTGGCATGTATGGTATTGGAGCCTGTACATTTAGTTTACCCTTCGTAAGTATCTAGACGCGTCTAGTGTCATGACTCAACCTTTTTTTTTCTTTTGATATAGCTTGGTGTGTCTACCTTACTTACCAAAGGCATATTTGGTGATACGATTGGTAAACTCACAAGTGTTTCTCAAGGCAGACCTGTCAATATAAAAGATATTATCTTTAATTCCTCACATATCCTCGGTCGACACACGGTTCATATTCTTCCTTATGGGTATGTTTTACATATATAATGACATGCAATTAATTTATGCTCTAGTACTGCCAAACTGAATCCTAATGACGAAGTGTATTGTTTGCCCAGCACAGACCTTGGAAGAAAAGACATTTATATACCCATCATTCTAAACAACACTATGCCTCGCCAAATCACGCTTTCTCGCCACGAATTTGAGACTGGCACCACTTCCACCAAACACTACTCTGGAAAAGAAATCATTCGGGCTACTGAAATTGGAAGTGCTCAAGAAGGTATTGAGTATTATTATGTGCGTATTCGTAAGCCAGGTGCCTACAAACTCGAAAAAATTGTGTCCAAAGATGGTGTGGATGTGCGTCTGTATAACAGAGTCGCTTATATTTTTACTTGTCCTTATGCTCGGTTCAAACCCATGCAAGCGCATGATTATTGTACAGGCGATACAGATACACTTCAATTGGAAGTAATGGGTGTGCCTCCTCTGCATGTCGAGTATAAGCGAAAGAACGATCATGAACGTGACACGAAGCTCAAGTTGGATCGTATTCAGCCTGATCATTTTGACTCGCCTCTGTTGCATCGTTCTCGAGACCAAAGTGTGTTGGATCCTGCTTTCTTTGCCTTTAAGGCAGACGATGATTATGCCTGGGCTGCTGTTCAACATTTGAATGTGAATTTAAGCCTCAAATTTGAAAGTGCTTCTATACAAGACTACAGTCTATTGCGTGTCATGGATGGTGCTGGTAATGAAATTGATCTTTCTGGTCTTAACCATGTCTCATTTGATGTCCATGGTCGTCCTCAAGTCAAATTCCAATGCAGTCAAACAGACCCTGCTGTTCTCTTGATGGGTGCCAAATCATCTCAATTACCCATCTCACTTGAAGGTGCTACTCCCTTCCATATTGAATACACATGGATGGTGGAAGGCAAACAACAAACCTACAAGATTAAATTAAACCATGGCGAAACCTCACTTTCTGTTTCTGAACCAGGGGAATACAGTCTTGTGTCTGTCAGTGATCAGTATTGCCAAGGTCAAGTCTTGTTTCCCTCTACATGTCAAGTGGTTCAACCTCCTTTCCCTGCTGTCAAACTCCAGTCGTTGCCTATTGCTTCTGAATGTGCTGGAGATAATGAAGTGGGCATGAAGTTTGTTGCTGAATTCACTGGGGCTCCTCCTTATGTCCTTGAATACACGGTCTCTAAACAAAATGGTCGGTCTAAGACAGTCGTTGAACGCAAGCGTGAACATGTCGATCGTTCTCGCCACATCTTTAGTTATTTGCCTAGTTCCAGTGGTGAATATACCTACGAATTCACTTCTTTAGATGATCGTTACTACAAGAAACGTCCAACAGACATTGTTTCCATCAAGCAAATCGTTCATCCTCAACCTGATGCCAAGTTTATTTCCAACACACGCCGTCCTGTCCGTACTTGTTTGGGTGAAGATTTGACGGCCAGTGTTGAGTTGCGTGGTACTGGACCTTATCGTTTGTTCTGGACTGTGGATGATCAGTTGTATTCCGATGTGGTTGAAACTGAACGCTACACGATTCGTTTGCCTCCCTTTGAACGTCCTGGTCAACATATTGCTTCGCTTGTCAAGATTGAAGATGCCAATGGCTGTGTCAAGGAATTAGAAGCTCGTGATTATACAATCGAAGTGCGTCGTGATCGTCCCACCGCTTTCTTCTCAACCGAGGGTCAAGATGTGCGTGTGGTCGAGACGACCGAAGGCTCAGGTGCAGACTTGCCTCTTCGCCTAACAGGAGAAGGTCCATGGACAGTGTCTTATCGCCATGTGGAAGAAGGCGATCGTAGTCGAGTCACCAAACGATTCAGTGATCCCAACGCCTGGGTCCATGTCACCAAGGCAGGTCATTACGAACTTGTATCGGTGGAGGACGCGATCTGTAAGGGTGATCCTTTACCTTACCAATACCTTGTGAAATGGATCGATAAGCCTACGATTTCTATTCCTGAAGATCAAGCTGTGATGATTAACGAGCATGTCTATGAACGTCCTGCTGTTTGTCAAGGTGTTACAGATGCCTTTGCTGTGGCTTTCTCTGGTCAATCTCCCTTTTATGCTTCCTACAAGGAGTATCGCAGTCCCTTGGGTAGCCGTAGTTTCAGTCTGATTGGACAAGAAGACATCACACCAGGTCGTGATCGTGCTCGTATTCCTCTCAAGACACGCGAAAGTGGTAAATATAAGTACGTGTTTGAAAGACTGGCCGATCAACGCTACACGAATCCATTCAAGATCAGGCCCTTACAAATTGAACAAGTCGTACATGCTATACCTACAGTCAAGTTTAGTAGTAAATCAGCTCGTAAGGATCGCACATTATGTGTAGGTGATACTCTTTCCAGCCCAGACATGGACCCCCTCTTCCTTGAGTTCACTGGTGTAGCCCCCTTCCGTGTTGAGCTAGGCTTGCGTCTTCAATCCGAATTGAATGGTCGCATTATCTCATTAGACAATATCATGACAAACAAGTACAAGCTTGAATTACCTAATGAATTAAGCGAGGCCGGCACATATCTGATTCGACTTTTGACAGTGAACGATGCCAATGGCTGTGGCACCCAAGTGTCTGATCAAGAAGATGCTGTTGTGTCTATCAAGGCACTTGAAATTCCTTTGATTGCACCTACTGAACTATGTGAAGATGTCTGTGTGGGTGATAAGATCGAGTTTGGTCTTTCTGGCATGGGTCCTTTCAGTGTCCAATACTTGTTTAATGGTAAAAACGAGATTGCCAAGACATCTACTTCTAAATTAACCATGATTGCTGATCAACCTGGTAATATCACGGTTGTTTCTGTGGGTGATAAGCGAAACAAATGCCGCTCTTTCCCTAAGCAGCTGTCGAAACAGATTCATCCCATTCCTTCTTCCATCATTAGTGGTGGTAAAGACATTATTGAGAATATTCATGAAGGTAATATTGAAAGCACATTGAATCAAACAGCCTCACCTATATGTCTATAATTAGGTGACATGGTACAAGCCATTGTTGATTTTGTGGGTACACCACCTTTTGATTTTGAATGGCGTCGTAGTCGATTAATCTGGGATAATAAGAATAACCGCCATTATAAAGGTGAAGTACTTGAAAGCCATATTGTTACTGGTGTACAAGAACATCGTTATTCTATTAACACATCTGTTGAGGGTATTATTGAGGTAAGTGAACGCGTCATTCTATACCATCTTACTAAACTGCATTATTACTGTTATTATTATTATTGTAGATTGTTAGTATTAAGGATCGTTATTGCCATTATCCCATTTAAATAAACTGTTTATTTTGAGGAAAAGCGATCATTGAAAGGACGATGTAAAAAGGCAGTAAGGGGCTGTTCGATCAGTTTGTTTGTTGTAGTTCTTTTCAGCGGATGAGGTTCAGCAGACATTGACTGCTTTTAGATGAATGAGGTAGATCAAGCCATATGATGACTTACCCTTTTTTACGCATGTCTGTATAAGTCATGTAACTAATGTAGGCTTGAAGTGCGTTACGACGTATCTTTGGGGTTTGTTTCTATTGAACATGAGCACAGTGTATCAACCAAGTATGTTATACCATCACATAGGGCCTTGAGGGATGCTATATAGAGCATCAATATACACATATATACGAATAATAATATTTTACCTGGTGTTGATTGGGTGATGTATACACTGTTGGCTAACATATAAGATCAGTCTCCACACGAACAAATAAAGCATGACTCACTTTTACTTTCAATTCATCAGAATAATACACACACAACTTACCATGATGTTGATTCTATTATATATAAGTAAAAAGAAGTTTAATATGTTACTTACTATAGGGATATGACTTGTTGAGTGATTATCTATGATAGAGAGTGAGCCAATGTATGTGTTTATTGGAAATACCTAATAAATGATGAATAGACATTGTAGGTGTATGATTCGCTAAAGAAACAAGGATGGAACTTGCTTCTATTTCATCTATTTTTGTATATGTATTTTGTTTAGACATAAAGAACAGAATAAAGTAAAGAAAAAAAGACGAGTTACAAAACCACATGACAATGCATAAGCAAATCTCAGATGAACCAGCAAAGTAGTACATTGCATTACATACGGTTTATTTTACAGTAAGAGCGGTAAATTTTGTCACTTTGAGAAAATTGAGTGTCTGTAACCAAAAAGTAAAGGGCACTAAGCCAAAAATGATTATTCCTTTATATCTAGAAATTCGTCCATTTGAAATAAGAGAAATGTCACAGTAAGTTAAATCAAATTGACCTAAAAATGATATGTATTTTTGACTACAAAACATTTAGAATGGAGTTTCATTATAACATTGAATGATTTATCGTCTAGAATGACTGGTAAAATTGTATAGAATTTCAGAAGGTATGGCATTACATGCCTCAGCAATTCTATCAGACATTTTTTCCTCATTCAATAGTTTGTGGCGTTTCAATTTTCCTTTCAAGATTGCCCAAAACTGTTCAATTGGGTTTAATTCGGGCGAATATGGAGGCAGATACATCAGCTTATAGCCACGACTTTCGATTTTTCTCATCATCGGTTTTGATTTGTGTATAGTACAGTTAACCATCACCAAATAATCCCCTTTTAGATCTTCATTAAGATTTATGAATTTGATAAAGTGCGCAGTTGTCGTGCCTTTTGATATCGATTCTGAACTATCTTGCACACTGCTCTCGTTATTATCATCAACATACTCTGTGGCTGGTTCTTCTATAATAAATCCATCTACAGTATGTTTTTTGCTCTTTGCTACTTTTCTTTTCTTGCTTGTAGATGCCTTGTTACTTTGGAGCTTCTCTTTTTTTTTTTTTTTTTTTTTTTTTGGTGGTGGTGGTGGCTTCTTTATCGCTACATGAATGACGCTAGATGCATGTATAGCTCCAATGATCGTATGAGATGGGGTCTTTGTTTTAGTTGTCTTTGTTTTAGTTGTCTTCACTATAGCAGGTGTTCTAGTATCTGCTCTGGCCCAATTATTTCTCAAATTTATATGAAATCCAGCTTTGTCGATAAAGACACAGTTTTTTGTAAAGTCTACACCAGAGTCTTTCCATTTCATAGACCATTCATATCTCCTCTCTAAGTCATCTGCAGGGTTTCTAGCTTCGGGTTCAAATGTAGGCTTTTTAATCGTCTCAAGCATATTGTTCCTCAAGTGATAATTAAGCTGCGTTTTGGAAATAGAAAAGCCCATAAATTCTTTAGATAGTTCACCAAGAATATCTTCAGAATAAAGTTGAGGATCCTTATCAAGTAGTTCTCGAATATGTGTCTCGTGTTCAGTTGTGAAAGAGCTTGGACGGCCAACATTATTTTTTGAAAGTTTGTATAGCACTTCATTTGTTTCCTGATAACGTTTCCACCATCTCCGGGCAGTGCGAGGCTCAACACCAAGCTCTTTTGCAAACCGAACTATTCTTCCTCTTTCTTCAACGCTTTCTAACATTCGATCTATAAACACCTCTCTTGTATTATCGCTATAATCATTATACATACTCTGCTTCAATTTTGGTTTCGTGGCGGCTTTTGGCTCTACATCATTGCTTTTCTTAACATTTCTTTCCTCAATAGATTTGCGAGCTTCTAAATATGAGCTCTGTGTGGCTTATAGTTTCCAGGACAACGTTAGGGTCTGTGATTTGCGTTAGAACATTCTCCACAGGGTCAAAAACTTTTATCCCTAGATCGTTGTAAACATTCTCCTGTCCATCCTCATAAAAAAAAGTAGTTGTCATAGTTTCGAAATAAAAGCTGTTTAGAATTTAAAATGAAAAAAAGAAGTATTATTTAGGTCAATTTTTAACTTATTAAAGATGGTATTGGCTAACAGAAACTTTTAAATTACTTGAAGAGCAGCCATACTGTAATAAGATGACAGTGATCAGATGAGAGGATAAAACCAGGTCCAGGAACCTTGATTGTGGAAGTGATACAATCAGGCTGGTGGATATTGGCGGTTACAAAAAAAGTAATTAGCGATCACAGAAAAATGATTAGCGGTTACAAATAAAATTGTCGGCTAGTGCCAAACAAATTGTCGTTCAAATACGAATACACCTTTTGCCAAAACGATGTCGCACTTATTGTAAAGAACATGTCGCATGTATAATTATTTATTAAATAGAACGGCCTGCAAGACAGTCATCAAAACGTTTGATGGAGTAACATGCAAACTTTTCAAAAGAGGACTGGGAATTTTTTTTTTTTTGTTAGCATCTACAATTATTCAAGGAAGTATCCTTTTTGAGTATGGGCTCTCTTTTCACGTTGTTCTTGACGACAGACCAAAGTTGCTCAATCGGATCTAGTTTTGGAGAGTACGGCAGCAAGTAAATACATTTGTAGCCACGCTCTTCAATTATTTCTCCAGTTATTTTGGCTGTACGTATAGCTTTACCAATGATTTGGTAATGTCCTCTTATCTCGGGAAACTTGTCCATCTCAGCTAGAACATCGTTGGTAAGATTGACGAAGTGTTGTCTTTTGTTTTATTATTTCTAATAGTAGTTTATAGTATAAGTAGTAAGAATAGTTATTTGGTCAAAGCCAACAGTATATCTATTGTTTACACTATTCATTAAAGATCACTTGGAAATGTACTCACTTTTACTGAAACAATATGTTACTTGTTCGATGATTACAGTATTGAGATATAAAAATAAAGGTATTAGAATATTCATTTTGTCATTATTCAATAAAAGGCATGAAATAAAAAAACTATTAACCATACAAGTCCAAAAGTCTTACTTTAATGTTACTTGCTACTTTTTGGTTTGCTTTATATAGATGACTACCAACGAGATTTGCCACCTTGCTGAAATTAGTCCCAAGAATAAATTTCGATATTTTCATTGGCTTATCATCATTTTGTTCAATGAGTATATTCATTTGATTCATAACTTGATCAATTATTTTCCATGATTCATTATCTTCATTACGTTGAGCAGATTCATACGCAGTTTGGAACAAAGATATGGTTTCTTTTGATAGATCGCGTTTTAAGCTGAGGTTAATAGCAGTTGTTTGCAGCAGTAAAGAACCGATTCTTGGCGCAGAATTGTGGTTTGAACCGTAACCATCCTGATCTGGGGTGTCGCATAAAGTAAATACAGTGACAGGCATAAATCTAGTATCGTTAAAGTCATCCAAAGTTGCTCTAAAATAAGCATATGTTGATGTATGGTTGAAGGAGCTTGTCAATTGTCTTAAACATGAGATACTGGGAGGTAGACAGTCGGAGCTGAGCTGAAGACAAGAACTGAAGGCTTTCTTGAAGCTTGATACTTCTTCTGATCGCAGAAAAACTCTTGTACTGTTCACAGTAAAATCGGTGGGACTGACATTGAATTGATGGCCAACAAACACTTCTTGCAATCTGGATGCTACTATTGTTGTGGAACAGGTAATGAGGATGTTCATTGTATGTAAGCCAATAAGCAGTTTTCTTTGATAAGTTCTTTCCATCAAAGCAAACAATAACTGAACAGGATAAGTCCTTATAGAGACATTTCGAAGAGGGTACAGAATCATCGCTTGTTTCTAAATGAATATCTATAGTGGCATGTTTTGAGTAAACTTCAGAGGTAATAGCCATTAACGTCAACTTATTGTGGATTAAGGCATCAGTAAAGAGCTTGGGAGCTAGATGCAATTGCTTTTGTGTAATACAAGAATCGGCGTTCAGAAGACTAATCACTTCTGCATCAATTTCCTCGTAAGGTCCCAGCATTTTCAACATATTTGGTACACTTGACGACGATACAACTTGCGATATATCTTCAGAGTTTGTTGTATTTCTGGACTATCACATTTTCTGCAGGAATAATACATTACCACCTTTTCAGCCAGTTGCGACTCTGCTTCGAATGTTTTTGACGTATCTCCAGAGTTGATATTAAATTCTTCAGATATATTTTCGACGGATTAATATGAATATAGGTCTCATATCATGTGACCATATTCTAAGAAAATATTTTATTAAAAGCTCTGTTTTTATATTTGGTGACCTTATGGTCACGTGACCATTAGATCCAAATAATAAAAATATCAACTTGTATAAAACATTCTAAGAGAAACAAAATCTTGAGAATATATATTAATAAAACAGAATATATATATATAACATGAAATTTTAAGATAAATGTTAACAATACAAATAGTAATATTTTACATTCACTATGGCTGATTAGTTGTTTGACTTTACTAATATTGTTCGCAAAACAAACAAGAAAAAGTAACTTTTTTGCCAATGTTGTTCGAAATGTCAACAACTTTAATTTTATTTTTCTAAAAAGCAAGTCATACCATTCAAAATTATTGATTTTCTTGTTTGTGGGGAACAAACTTGTTCGTTTTGTCAACAATAAAAGTTATGAGGCGACAAGTACTGCGACAATAATAGTAGCTTTATGAGCAAAAAAATTACTTATTTTTTTTTTTACAAGTACAATAATACTAATAATGTTTCTTATTGAAAACAAAAAAAAGGTTTGCACAATGCAATACGTTGATGCACTCCTAAGAGTTTGACATGAGACTCATCTAAAAAGAGTATATTGAGTTATGTTGAATATTCAATAATTGTTTGGGGTTTTTTTAGCAAAAATAGCTTTTTGGTTTTTCTTGCAATTGTCTTTCTGTCTTACAAATATGAACCAAACGACTATTTACAAAATCACTCAAATGCAAGAACAAGTTTCACAACTCGAACAAAAAACTGAATCACAGGCTCAAATACTCGAGGGATTGATGCATTTATCAGCACCCTCTTTTGCCCAAAGTGATAGTAATGAGATCAACAGTGAAGTTCTTGAAGGAGCTCAACAAGGTAAAAAAAACAAGCTGCGTGTTTAGAATATGCATAAACATTTATTTTTGGAAAATGCAGCAAGAGAAGGCGGTGTTGCCAACTCTCTTAATCTAAACTTGATGGGCTTTTGAGACATTCCTAGAGTACTTGAGGAAGCAACAAAAGCATTCGGATCTCATGGAAAACATAGATATGTTACGCCACGGTTGCGTTTGCTTGCCCTGATCAACTTATTCAAGAAAGAAAGAAATATCACTGATCTTTTAATTGATGACAAAGCGAATGAGAATGACTACGGGATCCTCAGAACAATCGCAAAAAATACCCACGATGAAATGGAGTTAGAGCTGCTGAAAGCTTTGAAGAAGAATGACAAAGCAACTGTGTTGCCTTTATAGTCTGAAGTGTCTTCTGTTCTAATCGCAAAATACACATTTAAGCTTGAAAGCAATGCAGCTACTCATGGCTTTCCTCTTCAAAGATGTCAGCATTCCTGGGCAGCCGGTCTATTGCTCTTCGAAACACACAAGCACAGAAGTAATAGAGCAAGAAATAAGGCTTCTGTTGTTGAAAGAGAGAATAACTCTAGGATCGGGTATAATAAACGCAAAACATGCATTCAATGAAACTTTAAAATGCCTAACAAGAATCAAAACTATACAGTGAAAAACAAGTTAGTGTTGAGTCTCTTCAAAGTGAAAAGCCTTCTTTAGAGTACGCAAACCTATATTGTGGTGATGAATTTGAGGATTCTGAAGAAGACATTTTTTTCGGAATGGAAAACAACTGTCGTCCTTGTTCTCCTTCTCCACCTCTTCCCTCTTCTCAACCTAAGAAAAGGGGCAAACGCAATGAAGACAAAAGCCAACCAGCTAAGTCTAAGCGTACAAGAAGAAGTAACAAAAAATAGTGGCGACCTTAAATAATAAAACAATTTTTTCCATCACCTTCTCTTAAAACGTTTATATTACAGATAAAGTCCACAGCTCCTAAATTCAACCTACATCCAGAAGCTTAAACTCTCTGAAAACTTATGATTGCATACCATCGACTCATGGGCTTACTCATCCTAAGAAGTAGACAGTACTTCCAGCGCTTTTTTAACAATCTGAAGATTTGCTGCGCTCCTCTTTGATTGGTATGGAAGAACGCACTTTCCGCAGTAAAGTTTTTTTTCTCTAACATAGCCATAGACAAAAATCGATATACTATTGGGCCTTTATATAGATAAAAAACAAAAGTCGAAACCAGAGTTAGAGTGTAAGTAAACATATAAGAGCTACTTGTTTTTTTTTGTTCCAAGTTTTGACATGAAATGCCACATTGCCTGGTCCCGGTACTGGTGAGTGTTGTTTTGGAAAAGAGTTTTGACATTGCCTTGTTCTAATTTAATTAGTTTGTTTGTTCTATATGTTTAGATGGGATTAGTCTGCTTCCATTTAAAATCAAAGTATGTTTAATCTGTATATGGCTCTATTTTTGTCACTTGAAAGCTAACATAACGTCTTTTTTTTTTTCTAGATTTCAAACAAGTTCTTGCAGTCTCTTAGTTTATAGTAAGTTTTGATATATTATTATGCACCTTCCATATACTCAAAACCAACTTTACTTTTCGAAAAAGAATGCCCTCCTAAAGGAATTGACTATTTATCCGTACAAGGCATGCACTTTGTTAGGTAAGTTTGATGGATGGCAAGATGGTGGTTTTTTCCTTTTTTTTTTTTTTTATTAAAAAGACCATATGCTACATACAAATTATTTTCTGTGTCTATCGGTATTGCCTCAATTTCGAATGACAAAGCGAATTGCTCATTTAACACTCTTGCCTCGCTTTTATATATTTGTTTTTATTAGATTCAAGTAGTGCTTCTTTTCTTTTACTATTTCTCAATAAAAGTATCGTTTTTTTCCATTTATAATAAGCGTCTAATTTCTAGTAATCCTAAAAAATAAGTGACATTACGAACAATGTTGATAACTAAAGCACCAAAAAACTTGGTCGTTTTGTAGCCAAAGTTGTTCCAGAAGTAAGCAAGTTATTGCTGTTTTGTTGCTAATTGTTGTATACACAGCATTATTCATCCCTTCTTACACTAGTTATGCCTTAAAAGAGCAAGTATTAATATCATGTATAAATATATCTTTCAATCACAGTTTTATCCGCAGCTTCGATGGATGTCTTCTATCTTAGTTTAAACATGTTAAAGATCAGACCATCACCTAATCACAAATTGACATCTGCATCAATACCAATGGTAGACGAGGTCTGTGCCCTGATCATGTACCCTGTTCTTGTGTACCTTAATCCACTCAACCGATTAGCTAGTGTATACACACTCAGTCCCAAATCAGGGATAATCAATTATCATACAAACAGTATAAATACAATACAAAATATAACCTTTAATAAAGCAGACTTCTTTTGGCCGTTTTGGTTCTAATCGATTTATTGATTTGACCATTTTATTAGTGATTATATCACAGCCTCATCCAAATTTTCTAGAAATCCTCATCAATGCCTTTTTTCGAGAAATCAAGAATCACTATATTGCTATGGGCCATGAGCGTATTGTGATGTTTTGATAATAGAGTTATATAATAAGATGATATAGAGACAAAGGTAGATAGAGACTGTTCTATACAGTTTTATTGTTGTTCTTTTTGATTATAAATTATTCTAGCATATTTATACATGAAGAGATGTCGGAGTAAGTAGTAGTAGAGTTCATGCAAATGACTGAGTCTCTATTATCATAGACTACTTTAAATTAATTAAATAATGTAAATTATGGATTTCGGTTATAAGTCTTGATCTATTAAAAGATACATTGTCTTATTCAGTACAAGAGGTTCTTTTATGTCTATTTCTAATGTAAATTGATTATGATGTATTTTAGTATGTAAATGAAGACTTATTTAATGTCAGATCATCACACGTATTTTTAAGCATGTCCAATCAATCATGCAATTTGTTACAAGGCCTATGGGTACTCCCATTCCTAAAGTTCGAGCATTAGGATCCACACTGACTGCTGAATCTGGTATCGCTGTTGACGATATTGTTGTCCATGGTAACCGGTCCTCCAAGGAACTGTTTGAACAGTTTTACCGCATTTCGGTTACTACATCTACGGATTTTACCAAGGTCTTAACTCTGAGTGCACAACAAAGATCACAAGGCTCGAAGTGTAATATTATGTAAATAATAGTAACTACGTACATTGAAAATCTGAAAAGTCATAGCCAAGTATACGATTCCTTGAGTATGTAAGTAGAAAAGACTAAAGAAAAACGAGCTTATTATTAGATGAATATAGCTTTTATAGATCGCTTGAAAGAACCAGTTCAAACACACAGGCTTTTCTTAAAATGTCCACCAATATGATAGCATGCCCTATGTGTAATGTAAATACTATCGATAAAATAAGAAACAAGAGAAAGAAATGTAAACAGTGCGCAGAGAAAGAAGCTCGATCAAATAAGAAATACAGGCAGGTTAGCCGTCTTTCTTTTGAAGATGGTTGCAAGACAGCTTTACATAACAACACTAATGCTTCAATACACGCGTCGTCTTTACTCAAATGTTACCCAGTCAAGCTGAAGATAAACAAATATGATAAGGTGCGAGAAAATATTACTGCTCACGCTTTGCTACATGCTCAAGAAGTCGAAAATATATCTGAAGAATTTAATATCAACTCTGGAGATACGTCAAAAACATTCGAAGCAGAGTCGCAACTGGCTGAAAAGGTGGTAATGTATTATTCCTGCAGAAAATGTGATAGTCCAGAAATACAACAAACTCTGAAGATATATCGCAAGTTGTATCGTCGTCAAGTGTACCAAATATGTTGAAAATGCTGGGACCTTACGAGGAAATTGATGCAGAAGTGATTAGTCTTCTGAACGCCGATTCTTGTATTACACAAAAGCAATTGCATCTAGCTCCCAAGCTCTTTACTGATGCCTTAATCCACAATAAGTTGACGTTAATGGCTATTACCTCTGAAGTTTACTCAAAACATGCCACTATAGATATTCATTTAGAAACAAGCGATGATTCTGTACCCTCTTCGAAATGTCTCTATAAGGACTTATCCTGTTCAGTTATTGTTTGCTTTGATGGAAAGAACTTATCAAAGAAAACTGCTTATTGGCTTACATACAATGAACATCCTCATTACCTGTTCCACAACAATAGTAGCATCCAGATTGCAAGAAGTGTTTGTTGGCCATCAATTCAATGTCAGTCCCACCGATTTTACTGTGAACAGTACAAGAGTTTTTCTGCGATCAGAAGAAGTATCAAGCTTCAAGAAAGCCTTCAGTTCTTGTCTTCAGCTCAGCTCCGACTGTCTACCTCCCAGTATCTCATGTTTAAGACAATTGACAAGCTCCTTCAACCATACATCAACATATGCTTATTTTAGAGCAACTTTGGATGACTTTAACGATACTAGATTTATGCCTGTCACTGTATTTACTTTATGCGACACCCCAGATCAGGATGGTTACGGTTCAAACCACAATTCTGCGCCAAGAATCGGTTCTTTACTGCTGCAAACAACTGCTATTAACCTCAGCTTAAAACGCGATCTATCAAAAGAAACCATATCTTTGTTCCAAACTGCGTATGAATCTGCTCAACGTAATGAAGATAATGAATCATGGAAAATAATTGATCAAGTTATGAATCAAATGAATATACTCATTGAACAAAATGATGATAAGCCAATGAAAATATCGAAATTTATTCTTGGGACTAATTTCAGCAAGGTGGCAAATCTCGTTGGTAGTCATCTATATAAAGCAAACCAAAAAGTAGCAAGTAACATTAAAGTAAGACTTTTGGACTTGTATGGTTAATAGTTTTTTTATTTCATGCCTTTTATTGAATAATGACAAAATGAATATTCTAATACCTTTATTTTTATATCTCAATACTGTAATCATCGAACAAGTAACATATTGTTTCAGTAAAAGTGAGTACATTTCCAAGTGATCTTTAATGAATAGTGTAAACAATAGATATACTGTTGGCTTTGACCAAATAACTATTCTTACTACTTACAGTTAGCGCAACACTAAAGGGCGGTTTTTTAAATAAAAAGGCGGGTTCTAAAGTTCTCATTAGGCGGATTGTTTTCTTCCAAAGGGCGGTTGTTGTTTTCTCAAAGGGCGGTTTTGTTTTCTCAAAAGGCGGTTACAATTTTCTCAAAGGGCGGTCTCTTCGATCCTCAGTAGATATTTTTTACAGTTGTTTGTGACATTTTATTAGATAGGATTGCCTTTTAAGCAATCTTCAAATATGTTTACCGAATGTTGTACAAATGCTCGAAGATGTTCTGGAGGAACATTATTGCAAGCCTCAGTTATTCTTGTTGATAAATCCCCTTAAGTTTGAAATTGATTACGTTTGACCTTATTTTTAGCTATGAACCAGAATTGCTCAATAGGATTAAGTTCAGGCGAGTAAGGAGGGAGATGAATGCACTTATATCCTCTCTCTGTCACCATAGTATCAATCTCGTTAGATGTATGGATTGGCGCATTATCCATAGCTATATAATATCCTTTCATTTTCGGAATGCAATCCATTCCATCCATTGTTTTCTGAATAAAATTCATAGAATGGCCGGATGTATCTGTATATAGGTCTCATATTTAAATTCAAACTATTTAAATTCAAACTCCGAGATGTTATATTTTTTGTTAAATTGAATTTTATATTTGTTTAAAAGTTAATATAGATATAGCTAATAGACTTTATGCTTTTATTATCCTATGTTTATAGAGTCATATCAGTCATTGAAGAAAGTATTTGATAATGAATCAGAAGCTTTAATATATTTGATAAAAAACAATTATGTAAATCATTATGAAAAATGTTTAAACTGTAATAAAGATATGAAGTTAAATATGAATAAAAAATTATATGTATGTAAGTTTTATAAATGTAGAAAAGCTATATCACCTTTAAAAGGCACTATATTCAATAAATTAAGACTTCCTTTAAACATACAATTACATATTTTATACCTTTTTTTAGGTAAAGCACCATCATCGTTTATAACATCAAGTTTACAAATTGATAAAAATACTGTTACCAGATATAACAAATTATTTAGAAGATACATTAAAAATAAACAACTTGTTAATCCAAAAAACAAAATTGGTGGAAGAAATGAAATTGTTGAGATTGATGAAACTAAAATTGCTAAAAGAAAGTATAACAAAGGGCATAAGGTTGAGGGAGCATGGGTTATAGGAGGTATTCAAAGAAGCAGATTAAAGAATAAAATTAAAAATGAAAATAAAAAAATGTTTTTAGTTCCCATTGAAGAAAGAAATATAGAAAATATTAATGATATTATTAAAAAATATGTTAAAAAAGGTACAACCATTTATACGGATTGTTGGAAAGGGTATAATAATCTAAGTAAAATAGGATATAAACATAAAACTGTTAATCATAAAAAGCATTTTAAAGACCCAGATACAGGAGTTCATACAAACACGATTGAAGGTGCTTGGAATGGATTAAAGCAAAGTATAACTCCTAGAAATAGAAATAAAAAAGATATACTATTACATTTGAAAGAGTATCAATGGCGTAAGAAAAACAAAGAATATAATATCTGGAAAAACTTTTTAAAAGATTAAAAATTGAATTTTATATAATAGATAAAATATACTTCATAAAATGTCAAACATTAACAAAAGCATATATATTAGAATCAAAAAAACGAAATACACTAATATTATCCTTAAACTAAAAAAAATGGAGAAAAGAATAATTCAATTGAAAAAAGAGAATCATCATTACAAAGAATTAAGTAGGTCCCTTGTGTACAAATATAGTGAAAACATATCAGGTAATGATAATTCTAATAAGTATAATAATGGTGATAATGAAAATATTTTAAATAATACAAGTATCAATGAAGATGAAGAGATTGATGAGCTAGATGAAAATGAATGTTTAAATAATCAAAGACCTGGAACTCCCGATATAATCAAATCAATGAGAAATAAGTATAATCACATGCAAGAGAATGAAAATATTATTAATTTTGATGAGGATATTAGTCAATCTGGAAATGAGTCTATTTATAGTAATTATAGCGATACTAACAAAAATACATTGAAAAGGAAATATAAAAAGTCAAATGCTGAAATTGAAATAGATAAAGTAAAAACTAAACTTATAAACAATTTGAATATATTATCAAAAAACAATATCTTATATCTTAAATTAAAAAATAACAATAGAGATACTTTAAAATTATTATCAGAAATATATCTAAAATATATAAATGATGACGATATAAATTACATTGATAGTGTTTATGAGTGCTATGATAAAAATAAGTCACGGTTTTTAAAAAATTTAGAAATAAGTTATAAAATACATAGCAGTAAAAAATTAGTTAACAGTAACTACATATTTCCATTATATACATTTAACAAAATCAAAAAGACATCAGTGGATGAGTTGATTTATAATCTCGAAAATATTTTATAAAAGTTAAAAATTTAGAATTTATCTTTTAAACCAAAATAAAATATGAGAGTTCAATTCATAATCAACCGAATGGCCAGTGACAGTTCCTTTGGAGGCAGGCTTCTTTGGTTTTGATGGTGCTTTTCTTTAGCGATTACCAGAATCGATTTTTAGCCTTTTGAATGTGTGTTCCTGAGGATTTCGAAGCTCCATTGGCACGACATACTTCGCCGAGATTGCACCCAAGACTGTGTGTGATACTGCTCTGATGGTAGGAGTGATTACAATAGCTGGTGTGCCCTTAATAGACAATCCTCCTGGAGGTCTCATATTGATATCGAAAGCTGATTTATCAACAAAAACACAATTTTCAAGGTAATCCATATCTGTTTTGCTCCACTTCTCAACCCACGCTATGCGGTTTGCAGTTTTGGTTGGATCGTTTCTGGGAGCTGAATGACGAGTGGTTTTTTTGAATGAAAGGTTGCATTTTGTTTTGAGGAAACTTCTCACACTTGATTCTTTCAGTGTGAATGATTCAAATTTTTCAGTAAGTGAACAAACTGCATCCACAACCCTGGCTTGAGGATTACTGTCATAAAAATTCAAAAGGTGAGTCTTATGCTTCTCGTTAAGCTGGCCTGCTGATTTATTGATTTTATTGGTTTGTTTTTCGAAGATATTCCAATTTTTATCCTCTTTCAGTCTCCTAGCCCATTTCTGTGCAGTTCTTTCAGCAACACCGCCTGCTAATCTACCAGATTTGGCAGCATTGAACAACTTAACCCTATTGTAGTAGACAAAAAGCAGTTTCTGATCATTGGTGTAGTTGTTATAACTCCTACCACTATTGATCTTTACGTTGGTGGCAATCTCCTCCATCTCATCATCTAAGGCTTCTATCTCAGTGTCCTTCTGCTCTGTATTTTGCTTCTCGCAGTAAAGTCGAAGACGAGTTAATGTTTTTAGATGGAAGGGGTTAATCTCTTCTTCGCATTCCATCGCATCGCGCCCATTTTCATCACAAATGTTTCCCTGGCCATTTTCATAAAAAAAAATATGTACTCATTTAACAAAAGTAAAAAAAAGAAAAAAAAAAAAAGAATATACCGCCCTACAATTTGAAAAATCCGCCTTTTGAGAAAAATGGAACTCTTACAGTCACGTACAGTGCTTCCACTCTCAATTTACCGAATGCTTGATAACTCTGGTTACTTTTTTGAATTATTTTGGATACTTGTATGAGGATAAATTGCCCAGAAGAATGAAACTAATTCGATCAAGTATTCGAAGCTAATTTGCCCTGCTTCTTGAAAATAAATTGCTTACTCTTTACAATAAGATTACCAACTTTGGTCTTTGACCAGTCTTCGTTACTATAAAGTCCAATCTTCGCTTTTCTACTATCCAAAATTTCGTTTTAGTAAAGACTCAGTTTTTGCTTTTGCTTTCACCAATGTTCGCTTTAGTATTACTCAACTGTTGTGTTTTCTTTAACTTTTATTTTCACAGCAACCAAATGAAAAGCAGTTTTTTTTTTTTTTTTTTTTTTTTTTTTTTTTTTTTTGCAAAGACGGATAAAATAGGATTTTATAGATGAGCAAGGAAACGAGGAAGAGGAAATCGATTCTTACAATCTTGGCATTTTGTTGACTTTATCACAGTACTTACCGAGCTTTTCGAATTCGTTTTCCTACAAAGGAGCATAGAAGAACTTGAAAACTTTTGATCGATTGCCAAAGGTACTGTTAACTGAAGGGTTAAAAAACTAGAGTTACTGAAGTTAGCGAAAGCAAAAGCAGAAAAGCTCTTCGTAATACTGCCCGACACTCAATCAATAGTTTTCTATAAATGCTTCAACGAAAGTAACGAAAGTAACGAAAGTAACGAAAGTAACGAAAGTAACGAAAGTAACGAAAGTAACGAAAGTAACGAAAGTAACGAAAGTAACGAAAGTAACCAAAGCAACGAAAGTAACGAAAGTAACGAAAGTAGATGGCCAATCGTTTTTCACTAAAGTTGCTTATTTCTGTTGATACGTAAATTCGGGCTCAGATTCAGAAAAAGGGTAAATCGAAATGATATAAAGGTAGTTGTTTTATAAGTTGATAAGCATTGGTTTTAAGCTGATTAACGTACAAGGAGTGAGCATCACGTTGTTTTGATAATATAAGTTATATGATTATAAAATATAGCATCCAAGTTACGATCTTGAGTATAAAGGTTATATAAAAGTATATAGAGAGCTGTCAATTAAAGTATATCGATATTTGTTTTATGTACGTCTAAATATAGATGTGTCTTATGTAATTGAGGAAACAAACTAATATTATATAAAAGTCGCGTAACATTGTTAATAGATAAACTTTGGTTGACAATCGTAAAGGAGGGTATTGGTTTCACAATATTAACTCAAAGCGTGTGGCGATGAAAGGCCATTTTTAGTGTTGAATAGGATGCAAATCTACCAAACAGACCTTTCTCGATTCCCTTGTCATAACAAGATGACCATTTCATTTGCCTTGGTTTTGTTTCATGAACTCCTTTACAAATATAAGGTCCTTGGATTCAGTGGTTTGAATAGATGTTACACAGACGGACTCTTCTTCCCCTATATAACGTCGTTTAAAGTTTTCCGCAAAGCTGACACCATCCTCTGCGTATTTTTCAATACGTTTCCGTGAGATTTCATCGTTTAAAGTGTTATTATGAATAACTTTTTTAAATTGAGATGCAACAGCATCACAAAAGGATTCAATCTCAATATCCCGAACTACTTTGCTGTTCGATTCACAGGTAAAGATTTGAAAAGATATTCTGTAAATTTTCTGAGGCGTTCAATCCATGTATTCATCCAAGGCAACAACATGTTTTTTTTGCTGTGTTAGAAAGTGAATTAACGCAATTATTTTTGGCATTGGTACTTGTATTAGTGATGCGATCGAATCAGCATTGTAAATATGAACTTGTTTTGCCCAAAGCGAACTGGAAAGTATATAGTACGGCTCATTATCGCGTTTGGTAAAGTCTTCCTCACGAAAATGTTTGCTTGAGAACCCATCAATATTGATGACTATAACAATTGGGAGAATCTTTGTTTGATCAAATACATTCAACGAATATTGCACTAATCGTACAATAAACTCATGTGTCACCTTCTTCTGAATCTCTACTATGACAGACGCAAGATTTCTGGTTTTATCTTGAGGATAACATGTTATGTCAGTCCTTTTGTTGTCGTTTTGTTCAGTTGGTCCGTTATAATATGCAGAGCCGCAAATACCACCGCCAACAACGGAATTAATTATAATATCCTTCATATAATCTGTACGGAGCAATGCTTTACTGCAAAATTCGTTTCCTGGTATAACTAGTAAGGACAACGTATACAAATCTTCGGTGTCAAGGGCATTGCATAACGCATTGTCACGCGTAAAGGCTGTCATTGCTGTAAGTGTGAAAGGAAGAAGAAAAGAGTTTCTAAAAAATAAAAAATCACATGATGTGAATCTTTGAAAGAGAGACAAATTTTTTTTTACAAACACAGAAAGGGAGCCTGTCCATTTCCTAGTTTGAGAGAACCATGGGGAGCCAGAGGTGGTTCACGCACATTTCCTATTTCGAGGGAACCGGTGGGAGTTTTTTTTCCAGAGTGTTTGTTACTTTCGTTACTTTCGTTGCTTTGGTTACTTTCGTTGCTTTGGTTACTTTCGTTACTTTGGTTACTTTGGTTACTTTCGTTACTTTCGTTACTTTCGTTGCTTTGGTGACCATCTGTGTCGTTTTAATATATCATATTTATAACAAAACATGAGTTTATAATATATAAATTTGTATTTTAAAGAATTTCTAATTTATCTATATATTTAATTGTTAATTCCCTACACAACAAATTATTGATATGCTTAAACATCTCAATTATATTTGTGTGCAAAAACCATTATAGTACTTTTTAATAAATTTTATTACAGACTGTTCTTGATATCTTGTTCTTAGTAGTTTGTATAGTAAGTTGTAACATATTTTAATATGATTTATTTTATTATTATGTAAATAAAACAAATAAACGATATCCTTATCTTTAACATCATTATTTATAAAATTATGATAATATATAATATCAAGATCTAGTATATTTTTAAATAATTGCTTTTCCAATGTCCATTCTTTAATACCTATTATTGTATTTCCAAATAAAACCTTAAAGTGATCACAGTTCAATATAGTTGCATTAATATGCTTATATTTTGGAATAAATTCAGGCATATCGTTGTTTATTAACTTTACATTCATCTCTTGTTTTTAAGTTTTAATTTTAGTTTCCTTTTTTTATTTTTTAACTTTTTTTCTTTATCTTATTGTTTATGTCGCGAATAAATTTACTTTCGTTATAATATGTTATCATAAGAGTTTGTTCAATTTTGTTATTTCTAGAAGATACATTTTTTTCATTTAATTTTATGTTTTGGGAGAAATCCTCAGAGATATATGTCTTAAATTTTGGATTAAATTTGCCTTTTTTTCTATTTGTATTGTAGTGATGTTCAAAACAATATCTCCTATCTTTTAATTTTCTTCTCCCACATATGTTATTTCTATTCTTACCCTTAACGTTTTGGTAACAACAGAAACTTTTGGAAAAGTTATTATTTGTGTTGCATGAACTAAAGTTTGTAAGAGCAAACAAAATGGGATTATTTATATACATTTTAGATGAGTACTTTATATAATTAGTGTCATGAATCCTTGCCCATAGTTAAGACCTTTGATACTATTGTTCTTTCCCAGCTCAATGTCCTCGTTCTCCCTTATCCATTCTCTGTTTCATGTTATCGGCGCCTTAGTATTATCTTATATTCTGTGTTCTGTTACTTCATGCTGTGTTCCGTATCTTGTGTTCTGTATTCCTTGTGTTTGTATTCCCTTGCGTTCTGTATTCCCTCGTGCTCGGCTTTATCGTATGATTTCGGTCTTCCTGTTGTTCCACCGGTTACTTTAGCTTTAGTATAAATACTGTAATAATTTGTATCTCGTTCCTTCTTCCTTTGTCAGATATTTTGTTTATCTTTTCTTGCAAAATAAATTATCATTCTTTTTGGATCAATTTCTGTAAGTATCATTTGGGGCTCCGTTCGTGACAATTAGCATATTCATTTTTGCTTTAAGTACTATAATGGTTTTTGCACACAAATATAATTGAGATGTTTAAGCATATCAATAATTTGTTGTGTAGGGAATTAACAATTAAATATATAGATAAATTAGAAATTCTTTAAAATACAAATTTATATATTATAAACTCATGTTTTGTTATAAATATGATATATTAAAACGACACAGATGGTCACCAAAGCAACGAAAGTAACGAAAGTAACGAAAGTAACCAAAGTAACCAAAGTAACGAAAGTAACCAAAGCAACGAAAGTAACGAAAGTAACAAACACTCTGGAAAAAAAACTCCCACCGGTTCCCTCGAAATAGGAAATGTGCGTGAACCACCTCTGGCTCCCCATGGTTCTCTCAAACTAGGAAATGGACAGGCTCCCTTTCTGTGTTTGTAAAAAAAATTTGTCTCTCTTTCAAAGATTCACATCATGTGATTTTTTATTTTTTAGAAACTCTTTTCTTCTTCCTTTCACACTTACAGCAATGACAGCCTTTACGCGTGACAATGCGTTATGCAATGCCCTTGACACCGAAGATTTGTATACGTTGTCCTTACTAGTTATACCAGGAAACGAATTTTGCAGTAAAGCATTGCTCCGTACAGATTATATGAAGGATATTATAATTAATTCCGTTGTTGGCGGTGGTATTTGCGGCTCTGCATATTATAACGGACCAACTGAACAAAACGACAACAAAAGGACTGACATAACATGTTATCCTCAAGATAAAACCAGAAATCTTGCGTCTGTCATAGTAGAGATTCAGAAGAAGGTGACACATGAGTTTATTGTACGATTAGTGCAATATTCGTTGAATGTATTTGATCAAACAAAGATTCTCCCAATTGTTATAGTCATCAATATTGATGGGTTCTCAAGCAAACATTTTCGTGAGGAAGACTTTACCAAACGCGATAATGAGCCGTACTATATACTTTCCAGTTCGCTTTGGGCAAAACAAGTTCATATTTACAATGCTGATTCGATCGCATCACTAATACAAGTACCAATGCCAAAAATAATTGCGTTAATTCACTTTCTAACACAGCAAAAAAAACATGTTGTTGCCTTGGATGAATACATGGATTGAACGCCTCAGAAAATTTACAGAATATCTTTTCAAATCTTTACCTGTGAATCGAACAGCAAAGTAGTTCGGGATATTGAGATTGAATCCTTTTGTGATGCTGTTGCATCTCAATTTAAAAAAGTTATTCATAATAACACTTTAAACGATGAAATCTCACGGAAACGTATTGAAAAATACGCAGAGGATGGTGTCAGCTTTGCGGAAAACTTTAAACGACGTTATATAGGGGAAGAAGAGTCCGTCTGTGTAACATCTATTCAAACCACTGAATCCAAGGACCTTATATTTGTAAAGGAGTTCATGAAACAAAACCAAGGCAAATGAAATGGTCATCTTGTTATGACAAGGGAATCGAGAAAGGTCTGTTTGGTAGATTTGCATCCTATTCAACACTAAAAATGGCCTTTCATCGCCACACGCTTTGAGTTAATATTGTGAAACCAATACCCTCCTTTACGATTGTCAACCAAAGTTTATCTATTAACAATGTTACGCGACTTTTATATAATATTAGTTTGTTTCCTCAATTACATAAGACACATCTATATTTAGACGTACATAAAACAAATATCGATATACTTTAATTGACAGCTCTCTATATACTTTTATATAACCTTTATACTCAAGATCGTAACTTGGATGCTATATTTTATAATCATATAACTTATATTATCAAAACAACGTGATGCTCACTCCTTGTACGTTAATCAGCTTAAAACCAATGCTTATCAACTTATAAAACAACTACCTTTATATCATTTCGATTTACCCTTTTTCTGAATCTGAGCCCGAATTTACGTATCAACAGAAATAAGCAACTTTAGTGAAAAACGATTGGCCATCTACTTTCGTTACTTTCGTTACTTTCGTTGCTTTGGTTACTTTCGTTACTTTCGTTACTTTCGTTACTTTCGTTACTTTCGTTACTTTCGTTACTTTCGTTACTTTCGTTACTTTCGTTACTTTCGTTACTTTCGTTGAAGCATTTATAGAAAACTATTGATTGAGTGTCGGGCAGTATTACGAAGAGCTTTTCTGCTTTTGCTTTCGCTAACTTCAGTAACTCTAGTTTTTTAACCCTTCAGTTAACAGTACCTTTGGCAATCGATCAAAAGTTTTCAAGTTCTTCTATGCTCCTTTGTAGGAAAACGAATTCGAAAAGCTCGGTAAGTACTGTGATAAAGTCAACAAAATGCCAAGATTGTAAGAATCGATTTCCTCTTCCTCGTTTCCTTGCTCATCTATAAAATCCTATTTTATCCGTCTTTGCAAAAAAAAAAAAAAAAAAAAAAAAAAAAAAAAAAAACTGCTTTTCATTTGGTTGCTGTGAAAATAAAAGTTAAAGAAAACACAACAGTTGAGTAATACTAAAGCGAACATTGGTGAAAGCAAAAGCAAAAACTGAGTCTTTACTAAAACGAAATTTTGGATAGTAGAAAAGCGAAGATTGGACTTTATAGTAACGAAGACTGGTCAAAGACCAAAGTTGGTAATCTTATTGTAAAGAGTAAGCAATTTATTTTCAAGAAGCAGGGCAAATTAGCTTCGAATACTTGATCGAATTAGTTTCATTCTTCTGGGCAATTTATCCTCATACAAGTATCCAAAATAATTCAAAAAAGTAACCAGAGTTATCAAGCATTCGGTAAATTGAGAGTGGAAGCACTGTACGTGACTGTAAGAGTTCCATTTTTCTCAAAAGGCGGATTTTTCAAATTGTAGGGCGGTATATTCTTTTTTTTTTTTTCTTTTTTTTACTTTTGTTAAATGAGTACATATTTTTTTTTATGAAAATGGCCAGGGAAACATTTGTGATGAAAATGGGCGCGATGCGATGGAATGCGAAGAAGAGATTAACCCCTTCCATCTAAAAACATTAACTCGTCTTCGACTTTACTGCGAGAAGCAAAATACAGAGCAGAAGGACACTGAGATAGAAGCCTTAGATGATGAGATGGAGGAGATTGCCACCAACGTAAAGATCAATAGTGGTAGGAGTTATAACAACTACACCAATGATCAGAAACTGCTTTTTGTCTACTACAATAGGGTTAAGTTGTTCAATGCTGCCAAATCTGGTAGATTAGCAGGCGGTGTTGCTGAAAGAACTGCACAGAAATGGGCTAGGAGACTGAAAGAGGATAAAAATTGGAATATCTTCGAAAAACAAACCAATAAAATCAATAAATCAGCAGGCCAGCTTAACGAGAAGCATAAGACTCACCTTTTGAATTTTTATGACAGTAATCCTCAAGCCAGGGTTGTGGATGCAGTTTGTTCACTTACTGAAAAATTTGAATCATTCACACTGAAAGAATCAAGTGTGAGAAGTTTCCTCAAAACAAAATGCAACCTTTCATTCAAAAAAACCACTCGTCATTCAGCTCCCAGAAACGATCCAACCAAAACTGCAAACCGCATAGCGTGGGTTGAGAAGTGGAGCAAAACAGATATGGATTACCTTGAAAATTGTGTTTTTGTTGATAAATCAGCTTTCGATATCAATATGAGACCTCCAGGAGGATTGTCTATTAAGGGCACACCAGCTATTGTAATCACTCCTACCATCAGAGCAGTATCACACACAGTCTTGGGTGCAATCTCGGCGAAGTATGTCGTGCCAATGGAGCTTCGAAATCCTCAGGAACACACATTCAAAAGGCTAAAAATCGATTCTGGTAATCGCTAAAGAAAAGCACCATCAAAACCAAAGAAGCCTGCCTCCAAAGGAACTGTCACTGGCCATTCTATGAATTTTATTCAGAAAACAATGGATGGAATGGATTGCATTCCGAAAATGAAAGGATATTATATAGCTATGGATAATGCGCCAATCCATACATCTAACGAGATTGTTACTATGGTGACAGAGAGAGGATATAAGTGCATTCATCTCCCTCCTTACTCGCCTGAACTTAATCCTATTGAGCAATTCTGGTTCATAGCTAAAAATAAGGTCAAACGTAATCAATTTCAAACTTAAGGGGATTTATCAACAAGAATAACTGAGGCTTGCAATAATGTTCCTCCAGAACATCTTCGAGCATTTGTACAACATTCGGTAAACATATTTGAAGATTGCTTAAAAGGCAATCCTATCTAATAAAATGTCACAAACAACTGTAAAAAATATCTACTGAGGATCGAAGAGACCGCCCTTTGAGAAAATTGTAACCGCCTTTTGAGAAAACAAAACCGCCCTTTGAGAAAACAACAACCGCCCTTTGGAAGAAAACAATCCGCCTAATGAGAACTTTAGAACCCGCCTTTTTATTTAAAAAACCGCCCTTTAGTGTTGCGCTAACTGTAAGTAGTAAGAATAGTTATTTGGTCAAAGCCAACAGTATATCTATTGTTTACACTATTCATTAAAGATCACTTGGAAATGTACTCACTTTTACTGAAACAATATGTTACTTGTTCGATGATTACAGTATTGAGATATAAAAATAAAGGTATTAGAATATTCATTTTGTCATTATTCAATAAAAGGCATGAAATAAAAAAACTATTAACCATACAAGTCCAAAAGTCTTACTTTAATGTTACTTGCTACTTTTTGGTTTGCTTTATATAGATGACTACCAACGAGATTTGCCACCTTGCTGAAATTAGTCCCAAGAATAAATTTCGATATTTTCATTGGCTTATCATCATTTTGTTCAATGAGTATATTCATTTGATTCATAACTTGATCAATTATTTTCCATGATTCATTATCTTCATTACGTTGAGCAGATTCATACGCAGTTTGGAACAAAGATATGGTTTCTTTTGATAGATCGCGTTTTAAGCTGAGGTTAATAGCAGTTGTTTGCAGCAGTAAAGAACCGATTCTTGGCGCAGAATTGTGGTTTGAACCGTAACCATCCTGATCTGGGGTGTCGCATAAAGTAAATACAGTGACAGGCATAAATCTAGTATCGTTAAAGTCATCCAAAGTTGCTCTAAAATAAGCATATGTTGATGTATGGTTGAAGGAGCTTGTCAATTGTCTTAAACATGAGATACTGGGAGGTAGACAGTCGGAGCTGAGCTGAAGACAAGAACTGAAGGCTTTCTTGAAGCTTGATACTTCTTCTGATCGCAGAAAAACTCTTGTACTGTTCACAGTAAAATCGGTGGGACTGACATTGAATTGATGGCCAACAAACACTTCTTGCAATCTGGATGCTACTATTGTTGTGGAACAGGTAATGAGGATGTTCATTGTATGTAAGCCAATAAGCAGTTTTCTTTGATAAGTTCTTTCCATCAAAGCAAACAATAACTGAACAGGATAAGTCCTTATAGAGACATTTCGAAGAGGGTACAGAATCATCGCTTGTTTCTAAATGAATATCTATAGTGGCATGTTTTGAGTAAACTTCAGAGGTAATAGCCATTAACGTCAACTTATTGTGGATTAAGGCATCAGTAAAGAGCTTGGGAGCTAGATGCAATTGCTTTTGTGTAATACAAGAATCGGCGTTCAGAAGACTAATCACTTCTGCATCAATTTCCTCGTAAGGTCCCAGCATTTTCAACATATTTGGTACACTTGACGACGATACAACTTGCGATATATCTTCAGAGTTTGTTGTATTTCTGGACTATCACATTTTCTGCAGGAATAATACATTACCACCTTTTCAGCCAGTTGCGACTCTGCTTCGAATGTTTTTGACGTATCTCCAGAGTTGATATTAAATTCTTCAGATATATTTTCGACTTCTTGAGCATGTAGCAAAGCGTGAGCAGTAATATTTTCTCGCACCTTATCATATTTGTTTATCTTCAGCTTGACTGGGTAACATTTGAGTAAAGACGACGCGTGTATTGAAGCATTAGTGTTGTTATGTAAAGCTGTCTTGCAACCATCTTCAAAAGAAAGACGGCTAACCTGCCTGTATTTCTTATTTGATCGAGCTTCTTTCTCTGCGCACTGTTTACATTTCTTTCTCTTGTTTCTTATTTTATCGATAGTATTTACATTACACATAGGGCATGCTATCATATTGGTGGACATTTTAAGAAAAGCCTGTGTGTTTGAACTGGTTCTTTCAAGCGATCTATAAAAGCTATATTCATCTAATAATAAGCTCGTTTTTCTTTAGTCTTTTCTACTTACATACTCAAGGAATCGTATACTTGGCTATGACTTTTCAGATTTTCAATGTACGTAGTTACTATTATTTACATAATATTACACTTCGAGCCTTGTGATCTTTGTTGTGCACTCAGAGTTAAGACCTTGGTAAAATCCGTAGATGTAGTAACCGAAATGCGGTAAAACTGTTCAAACAGTTCCTTGGAGGACCGGTTACCATGGACAACAATATCGTCAACAGCGATACCAGATTCAGCAGTCAGTGTGGATCCTAATGCTCGAACTTTAGGAATGGGAGTACCCATAGGCCTTGTAACAAATTGCATGATTGATTGGACATGCTTAAAAATACGTGTGATGATCTGACATTAAATAAGTCTTCATTTACATACTAAAATACATCATAATCAATTTACATTAGAAATAGACATAAAAGAACCTCTTGTACTGAATAAGACAATGTATCTTTTAATAGATCAAGACTTATAACCGAAATCCATAATTTACATTATTTAATTAATTTAAAGTAGTCTATGATAATAGAGACTCAGTCATTTGCATGAACTCTACTACTACTTACTCCGACATCTCTTCATGTATAAATATGCTAGAATAATTTATAATCAAAAAGAACAACAATAAAACTGTATAGAACAGTCTCAAAGTATCTACCTTTGTCTCTATATCATCTTATTATATAACTCTATTATCAAAACATCACAATACGCTCATGGCCCATAGCAATATAGTGATTCTTGATTTCTCGAAAAAAGGCATTGATGAGGATTTCTAGAAAATTTGGATGAGGCGTAGATGCTATCGAGTAAGCCACCCTAAGTAAATATGACTTGTATGCTTGTACTGGACATAAGAGAGGATTGTCGTGTGGATGAATTGCAATTGCTTTGGTGATGCGAGAACCAGCGCGTTTCTCCTTTGGTGCCACGACTACCAGTTTGAGAATATTATTGCCGGAAACGGAGCACTGATTGAGATCGATGCGCTCAATATCCGAAGGACGAAGAAAGCCAACCATAGAAAGCAGCCATGCGGTCTTAGCGGTAAGAAGGTCAATAGGCATTTTGTCATTAGTACCCAAGGACAGCAAGTGTGTGATTGCAGGCGTTATATCATAGTCCCAAGATTTGAGAGGTAAAACGTAAATTGCTTTGAGGTTTTTGTAGAATTGTTGAAACTCGTCGGTTTGACAAATAGTTTGCTGATCAGTATTTGAGTACAGCTGAAGAATCAAAGATGTGTAGGTGAGTGTAGTCGAGACCTTCCATTTCTTAATGGCCTTTTGTTCAGCAAGAAAATTCAGGATAGGAAACACTGAAGGTGTTTGAGTATCAATATCATGCTCATGACACCAGTCTATATATGAGTTTTGTATGTAAGTGTGATGTCTTGGAGTTTCTTATCGCGTAGGCCGACTGGGAAAGGCGGAGGCGCTTTAAGCCATGTTCCATGCTAGTAGAGTCCATTCCTTGTTCTTCTTCAAGATGAGTGGCTCTTGATCGCTTATGTCCTGCGCCGGAACCTGAAGGAGTCTCGGTGGACAGGCTACTAGTTGTAATGCTAGAGGATACCAGGGTGCCGTTGGCCAGTTCGGCGTGATAAGTGTGGTAGGACGTCGGTGTTGAAGGAGAGTTGTCAACGTTGGTAAGATAAGGTTCCATGGTGGGGCTAGATACAGGCGACCCGGAAGATGATGCCACGGCCGACTGAAGGTATTTGTCCATAGAGCTTGAGGTTGGTAGTTCCATGATACGAAGTGTGGGAGATGGTGACGCTTCGCTGAGGCAAAGAGATTGATATGATGGGGGCCCCATATTTGATTGAGACAATTGAATGTTCTCGCCGAAATCGACCATTCTGTTTGAGATTGAAGAGCCCGTGACGGAGCATCTGCTGGATTCATCTTGGATGGGACGTATAACGTCGACAGCTGTATCTAATTCCGGAAGCAATAGGTCCAAATGTCAAGAACTATTTGACTCAATTTCTCTGATTTTGTGCCGCCAAAATGTTTGATATAAGCAATGGTTGAGGTATTGTTGATGCATAATTGAAGATGGTGATGAGTTGAAACAGGAATAGATTAGAATACTTTCTGGACGACCAGCAGTTCCTTCTGATTGATGTGCAAGGATTGTTCCTCCGCAGACCATGCTTCGTGAATCGATTTGTTGCCCCAAACAATACCATAATCTTGGTCTGACGCACCCGTGGAAACTTGAGTGATAGGTAGCGTGGAAAGAAGGTGGCGTTCATTCCATTTGGTCAACTCGGTTGTCCACCACAAAAGTTCCTTCTGCATTTGGGCGTTGATCTCGGAGAACGGCTGATAACGTGTTTTATTTAATTGGGCCAACAGATGACGAGTCCAAAATCGAGCTTGAACATTCTCCAAGTGAGTAGCCATGGTTGTGCCAATGAACCGGGCTAAGCTGGTCCAGCTGACCTTCGTTTGCTTCAGTAAAGAATAAGTCATGCATCGAAGTGTCCTGATTGTCTTGCCTGGCACCGAGATAGTCATGTCTTGACTGTTGATGTTCATGCCCAAGTGGGTGATTGACTGTGATGGCATTAGAGATGATTCCAACGTATTCAATAGCCAGCCTAATTGGGTCACTTTTTGACATACCTTTTGAGTGAATTCCTGAGCTTGTTGAAAAGAGTTCCCCATGGTGAGTAGGTCGTCCAAGTATGTCGTGAGCCGAGCACCTTGCCGCCTGGCCCACTTGAGAACCGGCTTGAGGACTTTGGTGAATATCAAAGGAGAAAGACTCAGACCGAATGGTAGGACTCGATATTGGTATGCTTGTTGTTTCCATTGGAACCGCAGCAGATGACGATACCGAGGATGGATCAGAATGTGATGAAAGGCGTCTTGTAAGTCGATGGATGTTAGAAAATCGCCTGGTTGTAGCAGTTGAGTGATAGTTTGCATAGTTTCCATTTTGAAGTGCTGAACTGGTAGGTATAGGTTCAGTGGTTTCAGGTTGAGGATCGGTCGAAGGCCACCGTCCTTCTTGGAAATGATGAAAAGTTTTGAATGGAAGCCTGTTGATAGATGATGTGGTTGTATCATCTCGATTGCTTGCTTGTTGAGAAGATTCTGTATTTCCATGTCGGTTACCTGTTGCGAAGTAACCGAAGTGATTGGGGCGCATGAATGATGGTGAGAAAGGCGTTTTGGGGGTGAATAAATAAGAGGGAGACGATAGCCATATCGTAAAATGTTGTGTAACCATGGATACACGGAGAACCCGAGCAAAGAAGGCCAAGAAGAAGAAAACAAGGCTAAACGTCCCCCCACTTGACCTAGAGCCGTTTTTGTTGGTTCTGGCTCTTGTGAGAACCCCGTGGTTGAGTCGGCTGATCCTTTGAGAAGCCGCTAAAGTTGTTGTGAGACTGTTTGTAACCATTTAATCGGTCGGTGGCTGGTGCACGGGCGCCTGAATACGTTTTAGCATAATTATTGGTGTCACCGTTATTGTTGAAACGTTTGGATCGAGGTCCTTTGTTTCGTTGAGTACGTTGCGTTGCGTTTTGAACTGACTGTTGGAGTTTGATGTGGTCCAACATTTCTTGCGTGTCAACAAGGAACTTGTCTGTCGCCTGCGCTGGTGGGTCAAGGTCCTTCGATAATCCTTTGAACATGTTCTCAGTACGCAAGGTGGTAATATGAGAGGCGAGGTCAGACAAAAGTTCACGCATGGCGTAAGCAAAATCCCGCGCTTGTTGTTTGAGTGCTGTATGATCCTAATTTTTGTGAAGCTGATATGAAAATCAATCCAAAGGACGGGTGATGCCCGACAAACGATATTGAACTGTAGAAAAATGACCATCAATCTGTTTGCATGAAGAATGTAAATTGACTTTGTTAAGCTTGGGTAGATCAAAATTTCGTAATGTGTTCTTGGGCAATCGAATAAGAATCGCCGACGGTCGGTATCCTCAAGAGGACGTTCAAAGAAGTCTTCTTAAATGTATGGAAACTCGTCCAGCATGGCAGAAGAAGGAGTAAAGTCAGCGCCAGGTGCACAGATGACAACGTTTGGGTCAATATTGACCAAAGGTGAGCCGTGCAGCTTTTGTTCAAGCTGGTGGATTCTTTGTAAAAGTGTATTGGCCCAAGCGGGTGGTTGTGCTTCATCAGACATAATTTCGCTACGACGGTGTAAGTCCAAGAGCGTAGTAAAAATTCAAACAAAAAGAAGATAAAGATACATAGTCTAGTTTTATTTTATTTTATATATATTTTAAGTAGTACAAGTTCGAACTTAACCAATAAAAGAAAGATAACAACAATAAAGATCACAAGACTCGAAGTGTAATAGGAGAAAAAAGGGCTGATTCTTGATGCACGTTCAATTTACACGCTCAATTCCAAAAAATCCAAAAAACGTGACGCTGCAAAAAATAAATTCATAAAGTGAAATGTCACTCTTTTTGAATAGCCTTTTTTTTTTGCATCTCCTTATACCCTCGCATTTTAAGAGGTGTTGAAGTTTTTTTTTACAGAGAAAAAACTTAAGATAGTAAAATGATTTTTTTAAAGAAAAATTGACAACTTTAGTTTGTTGTGAGATGAAGAGAGAGTAGATATTCAATAAGAGAAAAGGTAAGAACACAGAGAAAGTCCGTTAGAACTTGTATAGGTTTTTATTTCTCCAAGAAAATGTTATCTTTCAATTGCTATAAAATGTCAAGGTATTTATACTTTTTCTTCTCGGTCAAAATATTGTTTTGGGTTAGCTTCTTTGTGATATAATCACTAATAAAATGGTCAAATCAATAAGTCGATTAGAACCAAAACGGCCAAAAGAAGTCTGCCATTGGTATTGATGCAGATGTCAATTTGTGATTATGTGATGGTCTGATCTTTAACATGTTTAAACTAAGATAGAAGACATCCATCGAAGCTGCGGATAAAACTGTGATTGAAAGATATATTTATACATGATATTAATACTTGCTCTTTTAAGGCATAACTAGTGTAAGAAGGGATGAATAATGCTGTGTATACAACATTCTTGACTACGGATTGATTTGTTAGATCAGGAGCAATTAAGAGGAATGCCTTTAGAGGAAGTTGTCAGCTCAGCCAATAGTACATGATCTGACCTGAACTTGAATAAACTATTACATATTTTGATTTGTGACGACCTGAATATTGAACTTTTGCAATCTGCATCTTTATTTTGAGATTCATTATTTTGTCATTATATAAATTTACGTGTAACCAAGAGTGTAATTCTTAATTACAACTCTTTCATTCACTTTCATTTCTCCCCATTTTTCTCTAAAACTTTTAAAAAACACACATACTATCTCAAGACTACTTTTATAATTATCACTTTTATTACCAGCATCACTTGGTTAGTTTTAATTATAATTTTCAATCATTAGTTACAAACTTATCAACAAACAAATAAAGTTGGTATTATTCTTTTAGTTAAAACAACAGTCCACAAATTAATTTGTCAACTGCCAATGCTAATGTATTTTTCAGCTTTAGCTGTCATTTTATGAGTGCCATTAATAATAACAGAGTCACTAGGTTCATAATCTCTGACTATGAGGATGATGTAGTACTTCTAGTAGAATGACTGAATGTCAGTGACTATAGATCCATTGCAATTGCCATAGATATGATCTGGTCTTTTGCCATGATCATCGTTTATTGATCTATTGTGGTGATCTGAGCACTTTCAATACAAAATATAATAAATAATCTTTCATCATATAAATGAATAATCACTTATAGCACTATACATTATAAATATAAAGTAAGCACTGTATAATGACAGTAAATAACGGTAACTGGGATAATATGGATATTTACAAATAAGGAAACCATAATTGTACCTTTTAGGTAACAAGGAGAATTAAAGGAGAATTTATATAATCAATTCCCAGGCACACGCTGTCAAGGTGTTAAGTAATCAATAATCAGTAATCATAATTAGTCAATAAATCAGGTAGTATAAAAGACAACCTGGAAAAGATATATTTTAGACAACAATCAATTTATTTGGTAATAAAGAAGTACTGAACAGTCTCACTGTATTTCTTTGTTTTCTTTCTATCTTCTATTCTATCTTCATTCACAACCCAAACATCACATCTATGCATATGAATTCTTATATGTTCACATCAGGTAGCCCATTATAACTTGCATATTTCTGTACATTTGTCAAATATTTTACTACTGAAATATATGTGTTTTAGGCTTTTGTATTAATGGTGTAGAATATGGGGCTTATTATCCAAAAAAAGCAACTTATAGCGTGTTTTTTGAATTTTTGTTTTTTACTCAGTACTCGTGAAGTAAACATATTCTTGTTGCTATTAGATAGCACCTTTTATTGCTTCATTATTTTGATTTATTCCATTTTCAGAATTTTGCGAAGGGGTGACCTCACAAAAAAAAATTACCCTTCCTTAAAGTGCGAGGGTACAAGTAAATCTTTTTTTTTTCAAATATTGGGGGGGGGGGAGAGATTTTAATATGAGAATTTTATTTTCGAATTGAATGCGTTTCAAAAGAATGCAATTTAATATAAATCTGAATAATCAATTTTGTGGCATATATCACAAACCTCTTAATCTGTGATGATCAAGATTCAGGGTAATTAGAGATTGAAATTTCTTTATACTTCCTGTAGAAGTATGAGCAAATTCAACGTAATAAAAGTCAGAAAATGCGAGAAGGAGCGTAATGAGTTAATCCTTTGTACTCAATTCCATGTTGATTGAAGGAATGAAAATCTGAGTCTCAGAATTCTTCTTCACTTTGCCTGTTTTGATTGTATTTTCGACATAGGTACATAATATGACAGACCTTTCATAACTGTCAGCTTAAACTTGTGGACAGATGAAGGTAATGAACCACAAGTGTAAATCATCTTTGCCAAGGCAAGGAGATTTTTTGAATTGTAGCCTAGTAATCATTTTCTGTTCATCACTTAATTTTTTTATTCAAATCGTACGTGCATCAAGAATTAGAACATGATTGTTTGATCACACATCCAACCTATTGAAAGTCAGGTGTGCAAACCAAATTGGGTAAGATTTGGTCAGTTTGAGAGCGTTTCCCACTTTACTGGAAATTTTTTTTACTGCAAACAGCTTTTCCATGAACTAATAAAATTAAATATACTATAATAAACTGTATTTTAACAATGTTATCAGCTCTTTCGAGCTAGCTAGGGTATAACGAGAACATATTTACTTAATATTGAAATTTCGTAGTGAATTGTCACCTTTATTCATCTCGTTTCAATATTTTCTTTTTCTACCTTATGCTTGTACAGAATGTTAAGGTGGATTGTAGAAAAGAAAATGATTTTATTTTCGCGATTTCTGCTCTAATTCAGTAGTGGTCGCTTATTTAACTGGATCTTTGATTAGACAGAGATCATTTTTCGATGATAGCAGAAGACGACATAGCTTTGGGTTGTAGTGATAAAAGTGTCTATCCAGAAAATAAAGCGGCACTAGATCAGCTCCATACAACCTAATTAGACATGAAGAGAGGATCAAATATGTGACATGATTAAAGTTTCACCCTAGAAAAAAAACGCAACTCGTTCAATCCCTCTCTGTATTTTCACTTGATATTGAGACGCGCCCGATTTTTTTTTGGACCAGTGTTATTTAATCGGGTGTGTCTTAATCTCAAGTATTACAAAAAATCAAAGAGCTCGAAATAGAAATGCATGACTTCAAAAGAAGCATCGCAACTTTTCAAAAATTTCGTTGTCCTTCTCAAGCTCTTCCTGCCAAGCAAAGAAGATGGACAGGAGAATGTTTACAACGATCTAGGGATAAAAGTTTTTGACCCTGTGGAGGATGTTCTAACGCAAATCACAGACCCTAACGTTGTCCTGGAAACTATAGCCACACAGAGCTCATATTTAGAAGCTCGCAAATCTATTGAGGAAAGAAATGTTAAGAAAAGCAATGATGTAGAGCCAAAAGCCGCCACGAAACCAAAATTGAAGCAGAGTATGTATAATGATTATAGCGATAATACAAGAGAGGTGTTTATAGATCGAATGTTAGAAAGCGTTGAAGAAAGAGGAAGAATAGTTCGATTTGCAAAAGAGCTTGGTGTTGAGCCTCGCACTGCCCGGAGATGGTGGAAACGTTATCAGGAAACAAATGAAGTGCTATACAAACTTTCAAAAAATAATGTTGGCCGTCCAAGCTCTTTCACAACTGAACACGAGACACATATTCGAGAACTACTTGATAAGGATCCTCAACTTTATTCTGAAGATATTCTTGGTGAGCTATCTAAAGAATTTATGGGCTTTTCTATTTCCAAAACGCAGCTTAATTATCACTTGAGGAACAATATGCTTGTGACGATTAAAAAGCCTACATTTGAACCCGAAGCTAGAAACTCTGCAGATGACTTAGAGAGGAGATATGAATGGTTTATGAAATGGAAAGACTCCGGTGTAGACTTTACAAAAAACTGTGTCTTTATCGACAAAGCTGGATTTCATATAAATTTGAGAAATAATTGGGCCAGAGCAGATACTGGAAGACCTGCTATAGTGAAGACAACTAAAACAAAGACCCCATCTCATACGATTATTGGAGCTATACATGCATCTAGCGTCATTCATGTAGCGATAAAGAAGCCACCACCACCACCAAAAAAAAAAAAAAAAAAAAAAAAAAAGAGAAGCTCCAAAGTAACAAGGCATCTACAAGCAAGAAAAGAAAAGTAGCAAAGAGAAAAAAACATACTGTAGATGGATTTATTATAGAAGAACCAGCCACAGAGTATGTTGATGATAAGAACGAGAGCAGTGTGCAAGATAGTTCAGAATCGATATCAAAAGGCACGACAACTGCGCACTTTATCAAATTCATAAATCTTAATGAAGATCTAAAAGGGGATTATTTGGTGATGGATAACTGTACTATACACAAATCAAAACCGATGATGAGAAAAATCGAAAGTCGTGGCTATAAGCTGATGTATCTGCCTCCATATTCGCCCGAATTAAACCCAATTGAACAGTTTTGGGCAATCTTGAAAGGAAAATTGAAACGCCACAAACTATTGAATGAGGAAAAAATGTCTGATAGAATTGATGAGGCATGTAATGCCATACCTTCTGAAATTCTATACAATTTTACCAGTCATTCTAGACGATAAATCATTCAATGTTATAATGAAACTCCATTCTAAATGTTTTGTAGTCAAAAATACATATCATTTTTAGGTCAATTTGATTTAACTTACTGTGACATTTCTCTTATTTCAAATGGACGAATTTCTAGATATAAAGGAATAATCATTTTTGGCTTAGTACCCTTTACTTTTTGGTTACAGACACTCAATTTTCTCAAAGTGACAAAATTTACCGCTCTTACTGTAGCTTCATGAAAAGGCGTTTCAATTTCAAGTGACAATACAGTCTGTGCGTGCTTGTTTTTCATTTTTACATTCTGTGACTGTTGACTTTTTTTTTTTCTTTTTTGTTTTACAGTATGGGTAATACGTTTAGCATAGTGAACAGCTACAAGACACTCGATGTAGCTACACTACAAGAAACAGGATTTGATAAGTTATGTGAAGTATCAAGTAGTATTCGATATGGAAGCATTGAATATGTCTCAAACGAATCGTGTGGTAAAGCATTCAACTTGTTATTACCAACCAATGTCAATAGACAAGATGAATTAGGTAATAAGATACTTGATGAGTTGAGAGACTCATAGTTTTATTAGAAGAAGATTCAGATGGATGGTTAACCAAAAGACATGAGTTGACGGCAAGGTAAGAAAAAGAAAAAAAAAAGATAAAGATGCTTGTTTAACTATGTCTATAGTGTGGTTGTGTGTTTATGTAACCATAGTAAAGTGATGGGATTGGATATTGATACAAGTGGATATACCGACAGTAGTCCTGTTTTTGCAGATGTGGAAGGTTATCGTGTCTCTGATATGACTGTAAGTGATATAGATACATACATTGTTTGACATTGGTGGGCGGGCGGGCGGTTTAGTGGCAGCCTATTGTCCCTCAAATTCGAATCAAAGCAGATACACACAACTATATTTCAGTCACACATCGAGATACTTTCTCAAGCATTCGACTCAATGTTGCTCCTGGGGGTGGTGTGGTAAAATAAGTTCATGAATACCTATGGACTCAATAAAAAGATAGGCGCGTTTTCGTGTATATGGAGAGATTGATGCTGATTGGTCAGACGATACAGAACCATTCAACCTTGCTTCGGATTTATTAGGCGCACGTATCGTTCGATGGACAGACAGTCGATATGCCAACAAACCCAACATCTTACTTGATCATGGAACAAGAACGTAACTAGACTGATATATATATACCACATTGAACTGACAGACATTGACAGAAAGGATGGTTGGTTGACTCCTCGGTCCTGTTTAGAAAAAGAACGCAATGACTTTGTGATCATTCAGTTAGGTACACCAGGTACACTGAGTTCGATTGTGATAGACACCCATGGATTTGAACACCATACTCCTCAATATGTATTTATTCAAGGGTGTTATACACAAGACACAGATCCTCATTATGACAGTTTTGCTCAATGGATTAATTTGGTGCCTAAAAGTGCTGTGCTGGCAGGAGATGATACATCATTCAAGATACATACTGAGACTGCTATTTCGCATATTCGTCTCTATTTGATTCCTGATGGAGGTATTCAACAAATCAAAGTATTCGGATATCCTGCCAAGATGGGGAAACGCCAATTATTGCTAGAACAAGCACCACAATCCAAAGCGATTGAGTTACCACTATGTACTGAAGAAGAACAAGTGATTGTCGAAACAAAACAAGAAGATGATGACTCTCTTCTTATCTCTAAATTAAAGGCAGACACGCATAAAAGAAAGTACCAAAAAATAAAATAATAGCAGTCCCGTTTCTTTTTTCTCTTTCTTTATATATATATATAGATACCATGTCAAATACGGCTGACCATGACCAAGATACGCATGCCTTTTTTGAAGAGGTAGAGAGAGAGAGAAAATTCGATTATGAGACATGCAGTGCTTCGCAAGCATTCGATGCTGTATTTCAGTGTTACAGTAAGTTCATTTTGTTTGATGTCCTTGATGTTGACTTTGCACATCATAGCACTCGGATCTCAGGCCATTCATTACTATCGCTATGGAGCCAAAAAAGACTGTTCAGGCAAATGGGATGACTTCAAGTTTTGTTTAAAGACAAAGACAAAGCCTTCTGATGTTGCTGATGTAAGCATAGTGTGATGTAATTTGAGTTGACATAAACGGTTTATAGGCCATGATTAGAGAACGAAAAGCAGCTAAAGAAGCGATAAAGAAACAAGGACGAAGTTCAGAAGAAGTTTGGGAAGCTAGGCAATAGATTTTTTTTTTTTTTTGCATGATAAAACTCAGAGTAGGCGTGGCTTAAGTAACAAATTCAATAAACGCGTTTCTCTTTCCTTTCTTTTATATATAAACTATTGAAGATGAAGTTGGTTCGGTATGACATCTATCTCATAAACTACCTATTAAACAATGCCATGAATTTGTTAGATTCCTTATGAAATTAAACAATGAGACAGTCTCTGTCGAGATGAAGAACGGCACAGTGGTCCATGGCACTATTACAGGTGTCGACATGAGTATGAATACACATTTGAAGACTGTCAAGATGACTGTCAAGAACAAAGATCCTGTCAGTTTGGATACGTTGAGTATTCGTGGCAACACTATTCGTTGTGTTATTTTACCAGATAGTTTACCATTAGACACACTCTTAATTGATGATTCTCCCAAGTCTAAAAAGAAACGCGAAGGTAAGTGGATAATAGATCCATACACTTTATTGATCATGTTAGATGATGGTCGTGGACGTGGAAGAGGCATGAGTAGAGGTCGTGGTATTCGAGGCGGTAGAGGACGACGTTAACCAACTCTCTAATAAAACATATTTCTTTTTCTTTCTTTCTTTTCTTTTTATCAACACGTAAGACAGTGAATGGCTCTTTTATAGATGGATAGACGAAATGTTAATGCTTATGATCAAATTCAAGATGAGTAGGGAATCGTGTATAGTCTGCTTTTAGATCAGTGTCATGCGGAGGAGTGGCCCAAATGATTTGTGATACTCGAAACGAGTCATCCTAGGACCATTGTCAGTCAATAACAAAATAGTTGTCAAACTTACGTTTAAGAAGGGTGTGTCTTCTTTGACTAGTTTTAACTTGGATCTATTCAACTTTAACTTAATATACTCATCAAACACAAGTATTTCTGGATCTTGGCTTGATTTCGTCAGTCTGTCTGTAATAAACTGTGTAAACATCTGTGAATTACACAAGTTGGATAAAAAGGCCTAGTAAAGAGAGAGATCAGACATAAACTATTTCCATTCTTTCTTACTCTGGTATCTTTGTCTGAATGCTTCAAAAACTTTTCTTTAGAGAAATATAGGGATTGCTTAGTGGGATCATTGGTACTGACCAAAGGCATGTCTTCTGAATGATCAACAAATCCTGTTCTATAGTTATAGAGTAAAGATGCAAACATCCGAATAAACGCATCTTGTACTTTTTGTTCATCAAAACAAGCAGGTAAACAAGGATGTAAGATTTGATCAGTACAAGCATCGTGTGTCACTAAGTGGCATTCTAGAGTATAGAGTGAGTAAATATAGAGAGGTCTATGCGATAGTTAGTCTTACCTTGACAGCTCATGAACAGAATAGGCTTTCTGTATTCATTTTGTTCTGTCTCTGTCACTTGTTTGCCACATACACATCGATAACCCTGAAATCGACTCAGTTCAGAAGTCAAGATCTCTACCATCACATGACCTTCAATATGCTTGAGTCGACGTGAGAATACTGGGTATTCCAATTCGCTGGTCATATGAGGGGTGGAGACAGAGATACGAGGGGATAGCATCACAGGCTGATGTTCAGACTGAAATACGGCTCTTGGTTTAGACATGAACGCAGACAATCGATTCTTTGTGTTCTATCACCAGTGAGAAATCAACGCCAACATATACAGCACTTACTTCTTCCACAGGTTCTGATCTTCTATAGTTGGCTTTTCGATACGAATGCTGGTGATCAAATGTACCTGTGTTTGGATTGGCTGCATGAACTGCAGGCATAGACACACGCTGTTGTGGTTTAGACAAGGAAGAGGTCGAAAGCGATGTCTGAAACGAGAGTTGTACAGGACTGACAGGCGGACTATGCAACGAAGAGGAAGAGGAAGAAGCATAGTTACCCGTACTGGTCGATAAGATAGCAGACCCTGGATACTGAGGCAAGGTCGACATGGACGAATCATTTGAAGTACTTGACCAAGGTCGAGAAAGTGACCAGATCGAGATGGTATCAGATGAACTTTCAGAGTCCCTTGGTTGTCGTGCAGCAGGACTGATAAAGACATCTGTCGTTCTGGATCGACTGCAGTTCAGTATCATTTTTCCTTTAGGAAATGTGCATTGGACAGGAAGTGGCACGCCATAAGGGATTTTGCATTTCGTATGCAAAGGAGCATATTGCTCAAGTGCAGACTGAAGTTTACGTCTTTGTCTCTCTGGGATCAGCATGGATCGTTGGCTTTGATGCATTGAATTGCTGTCTAGATTGACGATACAGACCTAACAATCGTAAGCAATGAAGGCTAGAATGCAAGCTGTATTTCTTACTTCTTCTAATACATGTTCTTCTAATTCAGCCATGGTGCCCTGAAATCCAATCATGTAAGGTACAGGTGCTTGTAAGCAAGTCAAGAGTCTTTGAGGCAATACAGGAATAAACACAAACTGCCAGTAAAAAGGAAAAAGAAGGTACCGGAATGATTCACATGCAAGTGAAAGCATCCCTGAGTACTGAGAGATAAAGACCACTTTACCTTCAGCCAATAATGTCTGTCCTCTCTCTCGTCAGTGTCGACTTTATAAAATAAATGTTTACCTCAAGTACGGCCAAGATCAAATGAGGCGATAAAGAACGAAATAATGGGAACAATGAAAACTAGCCAGGGTTACATACTGTCGATACCATGCCACACTTACATCTTTTAACATAGGCACTGTGTTGATAGGTGGCCTAGAGAAAAACAAAGGTTTTTGGTTGATACTTAACCCAATTTCAAATCGACCAGGAGGAGGCAAAGGCACTTCATCAATCAGGTTGATTATCGTACTGTTTTTCTGAATGATAAGTCATGTTAATTCAGAGGTGTCCTAATTACCTTTCAATATCAATGGTCGATTGATCACTTTTACGCCCACTGACACCCACTACATTGTCCAGTAAAATCTTGAGCCAATCACTATACAAATTGATCCAAGGCATTTTACCCAACAGACCTATACTCTTGGGCACCCACACATCCTCTGAAGTAAGAATAGCCATTTTGACAGGTTCCATTAATTCATGATAGAGTTCCATATTCTCTTGACAGCTTCGAATCTTTTCTTCTGCACTCTCTTTATGATCAGTTAATTCGCTTTTGGCTTGTTCAAGCTGCGTCTTTTCTAGCTTGATTTTCTCTTGTAAATGATGAGCATATTCAATACTACTGGGTGTCATGTTGGTCTTCACCCATCCCTGAATCGCTTTATCCACAGGTTGTTTTAGTTTGTCGACGAGTTTCTCATAGAATACAATACATGTACCATAGACTGTGGCGCCATGTTCGTCTGTCATTGTCTATATTCATTTTCTTAGTATTCTTGTACATGTTAAGAAGAACATTACGAATGAATGGCCTTGTTCAGGTGGCGGTGTCTCGCCACAAAACAGTGAGATATCTTTAGGAAAACAAAACTTTTGTACAAAATATGAGTCTATGGATAATACCAATATTAAATTACCATGGCTGCATACGCTGGAAATGCCTCTGTGGACGAATAATCCTTTTTAGGATATCGCATCAATATAGTAGGCGTATATTTCAAATCAAAAATATTGGGTAAACTGGTAGACTCTTGCTGAGCCAATGCAGTGTTGCTGGGTGTTTCCTCTACACAATAAGCGTAAATTTGAGATTGAGAGTCTATAGAAACTTACGATAGGGATTGGGATCAGAAGGACTTCTCCACTTTCGAGTTGGACGCCTAGATAAATTTCCAGCTGAGTATCGCTTATTTTCAGTACTCAAAATGGGGTTCTGAACAGCAATCACGCTATCTCGAGCATGGTCACGTTCTTTATCAAAATTGTCAATCACCAATTGTACATGATCAAGCACACCCATCAATGATGTCGATGTGGCTGCTTCAGATAAACTCGATCTCAACAAAGGTGCTTCTAGTGTTGTTTTTGAGCCTTTGACAATCATACTCTTGCCACGGCGACGGTTGATCTTGTCTAGATGAGGTCTATTGGGCGCTATTTTTCCATTATTGGCCACAGCGTGTTCTTGTTGTTGGTAATAATCAGCATCATTCTCTTCAGGGTTTTTTCTAGCGAATTCATAAGCAGGCAAGAGTCGATCATCATGAAGACCGGCGACAAAGAAATAGTCTGCGACTCTTGAAACAGCAGAAGCCGGGTTAGTAGGCATACTTGAATAAAATCAATAAAATAAAAAAGTGATGTAATATGCTATTTATGCTGATTTGGGCCGTGGAATTAAAAACTTGACCCAATGAATTGATCAGATAATAAGTTACTGCTGTAACCGAATCCCATTCTCTTATTTGGGCAAAAAAGCTTATGTTTTTTTTCTGAATAAGCCAACGTGTTTCTTTTGCTGAGACAACATGCTCATTTTAGACTTATTCTCTTGACCTAAAAAAAAGACAATATGAAAAAAAGAGGCAAGAAACCCCCTCAAAAAAACAGATCATATAGGCTTTTTAGTTAAGGTAGGAACACCAGCTAAAAAAAAAAAAAAAAAAAAAAAAATGAAAAAAATAAAAGGCTTTTGGATTGTCGAATTGTCCCCGATGTAGATCTGATCCAATCAAAATCAGGTAAGACCATGGCTAGATACTTATGAAAAAAAGAAACCGAGTTTACTAAGATGAGAACATCGACGTAATTTGAGCATTGCTTTTAAAACAGCGTTCAAAGTGCATTGTGCACTGTAATCAATACAAGAGAGACCCTTTTCAGTGGACGTGGGTTATTAAGTGTGTATTTGGTTATATGTCGTTGGATGTAGAAAATATAGGCAAGTAAGGTCTACTATAGTTTACAACACTTTTGAGGACAAAGAGCGTAGTTTCGAGCACGATAAACGACGGATGCCGTGCAGGAGAGAAGCTTGTCATTTTAAACATCGACATATTTTTTTTCTTCCTTTTTTTTGGGGGAGTTGGTTCAACATACTTTAATCATTAAGACGGCTAAAAATGCACAGACCTACTAAAATAATCAACAAGACGCATTAAGCAAAGTTGTAGCGCTTAATTCAGCGCTCCAAATGGTATATAAATCACTTGCCCTGAATATTTATATGCTGAGAAGAAGATAAGAAACGTATTCTCGCTTTCTGGCGATAGTGTGCACTTTTCATACATCTTCTGTAGAAATAACACTTGGACCTTATTTTGGCACATACTACAAACAATTTTTTTTTGTTATGTACTATCATAGTAAAACTCTTTTGCATCTCTGTCAAATGACCTCTCGAAAATATTCGACTTTATTTTCGATATCTAACCATTTTGTATTTTGTTGATGCGCTAAAGGAATCTTATAGAGTTACATCTCTACATGCCTCTGCGAGGGAAAAAAAACGAATTCAATAAGATGAAAAAGACGGGTTAATCTGAGCATTATTTCTAAATTTGCATCCAACGTCCATTATAATCTGTGGATGGTAGAAAAGAAGCTCTTTTTAGTAGATATTGAGCAATAAGTGGGTGCTTATTTAAGCATCTTTGAACTAGCAGCATATAGGTAAGTAAAATAGACTATGGTAATCGAAGTTTGTAAGGTCCAAAGGATTATTCTTGGATATGGTAGACGCAATGGAAACTGAATACAAGTCACTCTTTTGTCTTTTGTTTAGACGCATAGAATAAGGCGTTAGAAATTACTCACATACTTTAAGGCTTTTAACAAGTATACTATCAATATGTTTACACAGAGATAGACTACTTCAAATTTCATATAAAATCCATACACCTCAACTTGAAAGTAAAAGCAATTAAGACACCTACCAATCCTAGGGTATATAATGGAGTTTCAGCCAATGCATAATTACTAAGACGTCATTAACAACTGCTGCTTACTACATAAAACGCCTCAAAGCAGCAAGAAGTATAATACGATCCAAGAGGGTTGGAGCTATATATTGAAAATCTAACAATGTGCTTCGTATCATGGTAAGCTTTAAGGTATACTGTGTAGCTACTTTTACACGATCTATTTCTTGTCCTCTCTCTCTCTCTCTCTCTTACATGAGAGATATAATGTACTCAAACTGAAGAAATCAACTCAAATTTATAAGAGCTCTAAGAGTTTATTTGCATGTTACAGATGTAAATAAGGCATCTTTATTGAACGCATACTGCTCTAGGAAGTTCATAAAATAAACAATATTCATTGATGAAGTCGCGAAGTCCAGGTAAAATATATATATAAATTCATTCAACCCATTTCTTGCTGCATTGACTCCTAACATGAATCTTCCCACTTAATTTAAACACGAATATTCTTTCGTGTGATTGCTAGGTCTACTAGGCTTAGCCAAAATGTTCAGCAAAATCTTCTTGCCATTTTTGATCCTAAGATGAGAAATGTAGCTTGGCTTGGGCTAAAAATATTCTCTTGTATGTTTACTATAATACCTGACACTTTTGACGCTCAAAGGAAAAGCTTTAGTACAATAAACACAGAAAAGACTTCAAAAAGATCATTTTCTCAAAAATGGACATTGAAGTCGGCAAAGCATTCCTCAATTAAGAGAACTTTTTCACTCTTTTTATGAGCTTTTGCAATGATCGTCAATTTAGCTGACCTTTAGTCAAGCAGTTGACTGAGAACGGGTCTCAAATACCAAGTGTACAAACTCATGCAAGTTAGTCTGAATATTGTTACCAGTATTAGTTTCTCGACCCCAATACTGTAAGGCTAACTTTTATCAGCTATCATACAGCCTTATTCTACAAATCTAGACTTACAAGATCATTGTTTTTATTCCATGGGCACAAAATACACAATTCCAACTAATAGAAGACTCTTTTTTTCTTTAATTGTGTTTATTGATTGAGCCACGTACGCTGAGAGTAATGATCATAGTGAAGAGGCACGAATAAAAGGCAGGATTGAGTCATACAATTCCTTTATCAAGACACTGTTTTTTTTAAAAATGAAGAGCAAGTTCCTCTTGCTCAAAGCAATCAAATCTTGCCCTAACGGATCATCTGACATAACATAAGTCTTCAATCTCAAATTGAAGTATATCATCATCAATTTACAAAATAATTTTGAACTAAGCAATGAAAATAATATATAGTACATCCGTAAGCAAATGAGAAAGCGGTAGAAGTATTGTACAAATACAAGGATCTAGGATATGACATTTATCACAAATTAAAGCATTTTTTCATATTTTATAGTGTCAGATATCATAAAGTCAAGCTCTTTATTTCTATCTAATAAAAGAGGTTTAAGAGATACACTCAAAAACTATTGATGGACGGCTTTTTTTTTTTTAATATCGGCTTGAAGCAGGATACAGTCACATAAGCTAACGTCATCTTTTTTTCAACTGAATGCCTCCACCAATTTTTTTTTTTGAAAAGAGGGGGTGACAATAGGGTGTGTATCTGTGTGCTCGGTATGTATGTATATGTGTGTGGGCGTGTGTGGGTGTCAAAATAAGATACAGCACTATTTTTTCCCTTTTTTTTTCTTTACCTTAATCTCTTTACTCCCCACTCTTTTTATTGTTTATAATAATGAACAACCTCAGATTGATTCGGTCCTCTTTTGCCCCTGCTCTTCGCTCAGGTAAGCTTCTTTTTTGACTGAAATACCTTGTTATTCAACTTTGATAGCACCTCGTTTTGTTCAAGCACCCATTGTCAGTCAAGTAGCCCAATTCAGCTCTAGCCGTATTGTTCGTCATGCTGCTATGGAAGATCCTCATTACCAAATCAGTGGTAAACCAAGAGGTGCTCTTGATATTGCTGCTTCACACTTGTTGTTGACTGAATTGATGAGAGGCATGTGGGTTGTTCTCGAGAACTTTTTCCGTCCTCCCTACACCATTTTCTATCCTTATGAAAAAGGTCCTCTTTCTGCTCGTTTCCGTGGTGAACATGCTCTTCGTCGTTATCAAACAGGCAAGTAAAACACAGATATGCAATCAGGATTGACCAGTCTGATATAGGTGAGGAACGTTGTATCGCCTGTAAATTATGTGAAGCTATTTGCCCTGCTCAAGCTATTACTATTGAAGCCGAACCTCGTGAAGACGGTGCTCGTCGTACCACTCGTTATGATATTGACATGACCAAGTGCATGTAAGTTATTATATAAAATTAGATAGGGATACTCATTTCGTTTTAGCTACTGTGGTTTCTGTCAAGAAGCTTGCCCTGGTAAGATCCATCTCTAAAAAAAAATTCAATGACTAATGTGAATATAGTTGATGCTATTGTTGAAACCCCCAACTACGAGTACATTACTGAATCTCACGAAGAACTTCTTTACAATAAGGAGAAGTTATTGGCTAATGGTGATAAATGGGAAGTTGAACTTGCTAGGTAAAAACACACACACAATTTGACTCTTAAGCCCATTAACTCATACTTTATAGAAACTTGCAATCTGAACACCCTTATCGTTAATTGGTTGCCTATTATGATATGTCTTGAATAAAAGAACAAAAAAAAAATATTATGTCTCTAGTTTGTATTTTATTTACAATACATGCTTCTTTGCAAACTCTTTAGCTGCATTTAAGCCACGTTCATGATACACAGCACCTACAATGGCTTCAATTGCTTGAGACTTAACAGCTGTAGTTACCTTGCCTGCTGGCTAAACAAAACAATAAGTGTCAATAAAGCACAACATACGTCCATGACTTACCAAGTTGCATCGTACACCAGGCTCTAAACCTAAAGCATCAAATCTAGCTACCAAATGCTCTGTCTTGAATACATTTTTGACTGCCTGACTTAATTCATCCACATTCTTGCTCATGTTGGCTTCCATAGCAAAAAATTCGAGTGAACGACGACCAACATATTGAAGACGTTCATTGGTAGGAACTTTACCATGTTTGTATGATTTATGTGTCAAGGCTTGTGTTAAAGTAGCTGGTGACAATTGAAGTTGGTCTGCCAAAGCTTGTGTATTGAATGAGGCTGGTTTTTCAGCATTCAAAGTACGGGTGGAGTGAAGTGTACGGCGTTGCACTTTACAAGAGTCAGTATCAAGTTGTTTTTTTATACATATCTGTAGCTTACCCAAGTGCTTAAAAACAGACATCGCTAGGGGTTATTGACAAAAGAGCCAGGTTTTTTTCTTTTGGCTAAAGAAAAAAAAAGTGACTACGTTTCCGCTCGGACACACTTTTTGTTAATAGACTGACCCAAAATTGCATGAATCATACCCAGGAAGTAGTAGTGCGAGGAGAACAAATGAGTCCATTTTAAGAGGTAGTTAAAGATACTTGGTGTTTACTAAGAGAGATGAGATGTGTTTGCAGTCAACCTCTGTCTTTTGTTTATCATTCTATTTACAATCTAAAAGGATCTATGAACTCTAACCAGAACATTGAAGGAAAGTAGTCCTTGGATGCATGAGTCTACATTGATAAGGCCCTAGAGCTAAATGAAAACTGTTATTGGAGTCAAAGTATCAACTGCAAAAACTTGAGACCTTTTCTTTTGCTTTTTAGTTACAAGTATCTGTTACGGATTTTATTTGTATATTCTGTCCAATCAGCTTCCTCTCGAGTTCTGCTCCAGGTAGATGAACCCCGCTCAAATTTTTTTTTTTGGGACAAAAAAAAAAGCCCCTTGTCCTTGCCTCTTTTTTTTTTCAGATACATCATGTTGGCTCTCGGACGTTCTTTTCATAAATTGGCCATTGTGTCTACCCCCCGATTAGCTTCAGGTATGCTAGATAAATATACAAACAACCTTACTTATCACTAATAGTGGGTGTCATTCGTTCTTACGCTACTAATAAAAAGCGCCATGCAGCACTTGATCAAGCCAATGTACCTCAACTCGATAAAATCGACTCTATTCTCGATTACCCTCTTGAACATCAATCAACTTTGGATCAACCCAAACTCTTTTCTAGTCATCGTCCCTCTGAAGTGGTGCTTCATGCTGTGAACGATATTGTTGATACGCCTTTGAGTACGGCTGAACAATCTCAATTGATGAAAAAAGCACTTGTGATTAAGCGTGTCGTCAATATGAACGGTAAAGGTAAACAGCCCAGTATGTATGCTTTGGTGGTCGTGGGTAATGGCCATGGCCTTGCAGGTTATGGTGAAGGTAAAGACGAAGAGGCCAGTCGTGCTGTTCGCAAGGCTACCAACCGTGCTATCAAGAACCTTAGATATATTGATCGTTATGACAACCGTACCTTGGCAACTGACATTACACACAAATTCCATGCTACTACACTTGAATTACGCTCAAGACCTCCTGGTTTTGGTATTCGTACCAATCATTATGTGCATGAAATCTGTCGATGTATTGGCTTACAAGATATCAGTGCTAAAGTGAGAGGATCCACTACACCTATGAATGTCATCAAGGCTACCTTTGAAGCATTATCGCACCAAAAGCAACCTCAAGATATTGCCAAGATGAGAGGCAAGAAGCTAGCTGATGTACAGCATGTCTATTTTGGTGGTCAATAAAACAATAGCAATAAAATCTTTATTCAAAAAAGTGATTGTCTGTAAGAAACAATTGGCTCATACCAGAAGATGGATCATAATGAGGATTCATCATCATATCTTCTTCTCGAACAACAACCATGTCTGGACCTAAAGGTGCTTGTGTTGCCTCTTGATAATGCTGCTGTTGATGTTGCTGAGGTTGCTGTTGATTCCAACTCTGAATAGGGAATTCATTTTGCCATTGGACATTAAAAGAAGGCATCATAAACTGTGGATAAAGTGAGGCTTCACTCATTGTGGACAGTGTATTTCTTCTCATCTTTCTCGGTTCAGGTACATTCGCAAGAGCAGCGGACATTCTTTTCTCAGCTGTGGATGGACGATGATAATACTTGCTAAATTCAATTGAAGGGGATTGACTTGATAGTTTCTGGATTAAATCTACAGAGACCATGTACTGGTATCTTGCTTTATCACACATAAATTCATCATCAGCATGAGCCATTTCATATTTGTGAACAGTCGCAGCCATGGATAGACAATGAATAGTATGTTGAACACCTCTGGTAGGGTAACAAAGTATTTCGACAGGGTACATTTCATACAATGTTTCTGCAATACCAGTGATATTAGAAGCAGAGGTAGCACATAGCTTTCTATGAGGATAATCAAGGAAATCAAACTCAGTCTTTAAAGGTGGTTGATTCATATAGATGCGATGCAACAGAATCACACTAAAGTGATATGTCATATGCAAAAACCCTATAAATGGATCGCCAATGGCCTGTCTTTCCACAGGGTAATTCTCGATGTCTTGAGTAGGAGAGTACATGAGTGGAGGGGGCACTTCATAAAGAAAGTTTTCAAGGTGAGTATGTAAAGAGAACAATCTTGCTTGCTCTTGTATTGTCTGTTGATCGCTGCGTTGGTATCCTTGAGACTGTTGTCGTTGTGTTGTTCTTCTGGCCATACTGTAAATATCAGACAATACTTTACCGAGTTGAATTAAGATATTTTGATTCGTAATCAGTTCTTCCAGAGCAGGTCCTTCTTCGCTTGTTACTGAGGGAAATCCAATGGTACACTGATGCACATCAAAATATGTAGTACGACCTTGTTCAATGCTCATCAACAAATCATACATAAATGCTACCCAGAATGTTCTCCGTCTTGTTTCGGCATCGTGGGTTTCTTCTATCATTTGTGGTAGACCCAAATCATGACACATACTGACAGCCATACCAAGGTACATATAGGCGCGGTGAAAATAGCCATTTCTTGGTAAGCTCTCTTGATATTTGACCAACAAGAGCAATGCTTGAACAGTGCTTAATCGTGGTGCATCCAAGAAATCATCCAATAGTTCATATGCGAGCTGATAATAGTCATAACCTGGTCTTGCATCAGTATTGACCACCCAGCGAGAAGCAACAGCACACATGCTTAATAACAATAAGCGAGAAGGCGGGTTAGTCATACTATGCATTTGCTTCAAAAAAGAAGGCTTGTGAATCATAGGCATATACTTGTGTACGTGTTCAAAATAAATGTCTGTCAAGCCTTGTACTTCAATCATGAACTGTCTTGAGGTAGTCAATTCTTCAGGTAAGGGCAGTTCAGTCAAGGAATCAGAAATATCAGACTGGGTATCATCGTGACATAGTTCATGTGTGTGTTCAAACATAGGCCTACCAATAAGGGCATCATCCAGTATCTTTTGAACAGGAGTTGTTAGATTCTTAAGAGCACTTTCGACACGTTGAAGACGATGTTCCAGGTTTTCCATGTATTGCTTTGGAGGCCCTCTTTTAGGTGGCAGTTTAGCAAAGACACATTCTGTATTTGACCTTCTACAACGATTACATGGTTGAACACCATCACATTTTACCTATAACAAGAAAAGCTGTCAAAAATTAACTTTTATGCTTTGAATCATGTGTGTTTATTACTTTTCTCTTTCGACATTCATCGCAGGCACGGCTTATTTTGATTCGCTTACTTCCACCAATCGACTTATTTCGAAGTGAAAATAGACCTCCTCCTCCTCCTTCCATAGTAGCGATTGATTGGGATGCACTTAACTAGATGGAGGAAATAAGAACAAAAATAAAAAATAAATAAGCTGCTCCACCCGACCAAATAAAAAAAAAAAAAAAAAAAAAAAGTGTGTCGGTCTTTGAAAAGCGAATTCATGCTCTGTTACTATGTATCTTGCTTATAGATCTTGATCATTAGTAATTTTACTATTTATCTATACATCGGGCTATACACTTTCTTCTGGGGTATAGAACTATGGTGGCTTAAGGTTTTTTTTTTTTTTTTGGTAACTTGAGTGTATATTCAGGCAGCTTACTGACTCTTATGCCTCTTGGCTTCTTTCTATTCTCACAATGTACGACAACAGAATAATCCACCATCCCCTAATTCAATACTCAAGAGACACTCTATTCCATCAACGCCATGCTTTGTCTTTTATTTCAATTCGAAGCCGAAACACTATGAAGAATGGCTCGCATAACGTCTGTAATAGAAACTACGCCAATAGCCTTTTCTCTCTCATCCACTACCCATACGCGATGTGATTTAGTAGCAAGTAATTTGGCTACTGCAAAACCAAGCGTAGTATCTAATCGCACATCAAAAACAGGCAATCGATCTTGTCCATCATCGATCCCTTGCTGAATACGCACTAGGCTTACGAATTGAAAGCATGTCTTCCATAATAGCTGATGATGATAACTCTTCATGACATGCTGCATAAAATCATTAGAATGTAGCTGCATGTTGTGTTTAATTTACCTTGACATCAGTCATACTAATATTACCAAGCACAACACCCATATGTCCCAACACGGCCACTGAAGAAATATTGTGTTTGCTCATAAGTGCAAGTGCATCTAACACAAGTGAGTCTGCATTGACTGCAATAACATCAGAGACGCCTAGATCAAGTTGACGGAGCTATTCAATGTGAGCGAATGTCATAGAGAAAGAGAGCTATTTACTGTCTTGTTCATAATACACTCAATATCAGAGAAATGACGTTGATGCTTATACAAGTACTTTGCCACTACAGACTGAGACAAGATACCTTTGATTGACCCATCTGGGTTTATAACACACACACGATGAGCTCCACGGGCAAATTTTTCTACAGCAGATAATAAAGTTGCTTCATTCATGATAGAATAAAATGGATTTTTCTGGGAAAGATCTATTTACTGTGAGCAAGAATACAGTAGGCAAGAAAAAGAAAGCTTACCACTGGCTAGTTCGATAGGCACTTGTTGACCTTCTTGAGCGCGACAAAGCACATCTTTGATTCCAAGGTACAAGTCTTCTCTTTGTCCTTCCTGTACCTCAGGAGGAGGTGAAGATATATTTCGGAGGACAAGCAAAATATAGGCAATCACATCTCCATAATCAAACATACCCACATAAGTAGGCACGGAAGTTGCGCTAGATGTATAGACAGGAGCAGAAGAAATATTGTGGTTAATGAGTACGTTACATGCTTCTTCCACAGACAAAGAGCCTTCACTATTCAATCCAGTTATTCAACGTGTTTTTATTGTGTACAGCACTACTTGCATTGTAATCACGTTCTGGTCTTTTATAAGACTCGAGACTTTAGTCAACTTCCAATCCGCAGGAGTGGTCGCAATGCCTTCTCGGTGTGTCATGTTAAAGCAAGCGAGGATCTTGATACACGTAATTTACGAAACAATTCTTTATTGGAAAATATAAACAAATCCAACTGCTAAATTGTGAGCACCAGTTACATAGAGTTTATAAAAAGCCATACTAATCGAGGATTGTTGGTTAAAAGTGATAGTTATTGAGAATTGTGTGAAAAGAGAAAGAGAAAAGAAGGGTGGGGACGTGATCTTTCAAGTAAAACAGTAAATTTAAAGTCAGTAACAATGGTGTGTTATGGAGACAATAATTTTAAGAGAAAGAGTTTATTTCTTTTAATCACAAATAATATTTATGATAATTATCGTATAATAGAACATTCCCCTTTGATAAAGTATAATAAATATGATAAAAGATATGATAAAAGATATGGTAATAAAATAAAATATATGATTTAGAGTCGCATTAAAACCCAAAGGAAAGCTTGACTGCAGTAAACCTTATTATTCATAAAGAGGTTCAAGGTGATAAGAGTGACAATTAGTGTATACTTTTTCTGTATTACACTTCTTCAAATCGTACCGAGTTGACGAGAGAACTTTTGTTACTATCCAAGGACCAGACCAATCCATTGACAGTTTTCTAGCTTTCTTGCTAATTGATATTTGGTTGTTAAATAGCATGACCTTGTCTTGTTCCTTATAATCTTGAATATCTTCAATTACATGCATTTTTCTTGCTTCCAAAACTGCTTCAAACGCTAAGTTCAGGTTATTTACTAAGTGCTCAGCGAATTGTCTTTGAGGCGTTGTGATATCACGATACAAAGGAGGAAGATTGACTTCTTGTTTTCCCATCAAAGGAGTTCTTGCCTTTCTACCATGGATCAGTTCAAACGGAGTAGATTGGATGCTTGCATGAAAAGTATTATTATACACAAAACGGAGTCTCATGTTTTTATCCCATTTGGTACAGATTGTTGTTTGATTTGAATATACTAGGATCATCGTACGTAATGTTGCCATGAACTTCTCCACCATACCATTTGATGATTGATGATACGCTGGTACAAACGTGAGTTGAATGCCACACAATTCAGCTAGTTGCCTGTTGAATTCACTGGAGAATGTTCGAGCGTTATCTAACATTACTTGCTCTGGGAACCCATGACAAAGAATGAAGCGATTGTAGAAAGCTTCTGCTAGATCCATTGGCATGAGGGAGTGTACTGGAAATAATTCCACATACCGAAAAAGCATATCTATAACTACTAATATATGATCATTACCCTGATCTGTCTTGGGTAGTGAACCGAAGTAATCTATTGCCACCCTTTGGAATGGAACATTGGAAGCAGTAGTAGATAGTTGAGTATGACGGAAGCGGTTGCCTTTGATTGTTTGACAGAGTTGGCATGACCTTGTATATTGTGAAATTTGAAGATCCATTGTAAGAAACCAAAAACCTGCTTGCAATAGCCTTTTCTTGGTTTTGTTCTCACCCGCATGTCCAGCAAATTTTGAGTTGTGATAGTAATTGACTATCTCCTTGACCAAGTGTGATTGAACTACTTTACTTACTTGATTTTTGTCTAAACTTCTTGACCTAACTACCGTTTTATACAGGACACCATCTTTCACCTTAAAAAATTTGTCCATTGTTTCAATTGATTCTTGAAGTTGATGATCCATTTGTTGCTGCTGTTTCCACCATTCTTGATTCTTGTTCATGAAATTGTCAATTTGAATTGCATTGACCGGATTACGAGACAGAGAGTCAGCCACATAATTTGTTTTGCCTGGTATATATTTAGCTTCAAAGTCATACGATTGCAAGAAAAGACACCATCTCCATAGCCTCGGTTGTTTATCTTCTGATGTTGACATTAACCATTGAAGAGAGGAGTGATCTGTAAAGACAATAAAGTGTCCTGCTTCTAAATATATACGATGCTTTTTGATACCCCAAACAATACTAAGAGCTTCGATTTCCCTGATAGAATATCGTTGCTCATGAACCGATAGAGATCTAGACGCAAATGAGAGAGGATATACAGCATCATCATACCGTTCACACAATACCACACCAATTCCTGCCGTAGCAGCACCATCTACGTGTAATTCAACTTGTAAACTAAAATCAGGTTGTTTTAGTAATGGTAAATTGGCTAATTGTTTTTTGAGTTTTTCAAAAGCTTGCTGTTGCTCATCATTCCAGTAAAAGTCAATGCCCTTTTTCTTGAGTCTTCTGAGCGGCTCTGCAGCGATTTGAAATTGAGAGATAAACCGTTGATATACCCCGAACACACCGAGTACTGATTCTAATTCTTTCAAATTAGTTGGAGCAGGGATAGCCAGATTCGGTTTGATCTTGTTTAGATTTGGATGTACGCCCGAGCTTGATACCACGAACCCAAGGTATTCTACGCTTGATAGTCCAAATGTAGACTTTGATCTATTCAGAGATAGATTGGCATTTTTTAATGCAACTAGTACATCTTCTAAATCTTCTAGATGTTGAGTTCCGGTATCGGAGTAAATGGTAATATCTTCTAGATAAGCAATTGCACACCGATTCCTTAGTGAGCCTAGCACCAGATCCATTAGGCTTTGGAAAAATGCTGGTATATTTTTTAGCCCGAAACTTATAACGTTGAAGACATACAGTGATTACATTAAGTGTCCCATAAAACTCATTTGTAAGCATAAATTAATATATTTTCGTCGTATTGACCTTGTGTTAGTATCAGAAAAAGCGCATTTTTTTGCTGGCTACTTCAATTTCTCTATTTAGTAAGAGATACCACTTTTGGACAACTTAGGTAAAAAATGACGTAGCGTTTTCAAAAAAATTTCCTGCAAAACTTGAATACCTTATTTTCTTCGGCGAATAAGCACTCTCAATCGTGCGTTTTCCACATTCTTCGGCAAATTCTAGCACAACCTACCCTACTACATATAAATGCGGCAAGCTTTTCAGAAAAAAATTCTCTTTTCTTCATTCTATATACATACCTTTTCTCCTTATTATCATGCCTTACAGCCTCCCATACGATAAACGAAACAATGTCAAATCTGCACTTTTATCTGGCAAATCGATTCGTCAGGTCTCAAAACTAACAGGTGTTGCCAAATCAACAGTTTCTCGTATTAGAAAAGAGTTGCCAGAAATGAAAACTTGCACTGGTACCGGTAGACCATCAAGAGTAGGTCATCTTACGGCTTGTTTGCTACGAATAAAAATCCGAACTGGAGCATTGAAGAATGTCAAAGAAGTCCAAACTTGATTGTCTGGACAGGGTATTGCTTTGACGTATAGTGGAACAGTCTCTCTGATGAAAAGGGTAGGATTATACTCAAAGTTCAAGCAGAAGAAAATTCTTTTGAGAGTTTCTCACCTTTCGAAGAGATACAAATGGGCCTTATCATATCGTAACTGGTCCTCAAATGAGTGGAAGAGTGTCGTTTTTACAGACGAGATGTAGATCAATCTTTGGGGATCAGATGGTGCAACATACACTTGGTTACAGCAAGGGTTTAAAGCGAAACCCCATAACTACAAGCTATTGCTTAAGCATGGAGGTGGCTCTCTGATGATGTGGGGGTGCATGACATCTTCCGGAGTAGGATATGCCTCTCGAGTGCTTCAAAAGACAATGGATACCGATTGCTATTTGGAGATTCTAGGGTCGTCATACCTAGATACATTGGAGTATTATAGTATGGATCCACAAAAAACTATATTTCAACAAGACAACGACCCAAAACACAAAGCAAAGGCTACCATTTCTTGGCTTAAAGCCCACAAAGTCCACTTTATTGCTGACTGGCCACCTAACAGTCCTGACTTGAACCCAATAGAGCATCTTTGGAAACAGTTAAAGTGCAGACTAGCCGGATATGATACAAAACCAAAAAATCTGGACGAATTGTGGTCAAGGGTCGAAAAAGAATAGTACAAATTTTGCAAAGGCGACATGGAGGCGTACTATAGCAGCATGCCTCAACGTATAGAAGCAGTTATCAAAGCAAAGGGCGGTTATACTAAATTTTGAGCATTTCAAATAAAGAATAAATTATGGTGAAACACAAGTTTTTTTTCTTTTAAAAATGAAGCACTGTTATTGGATGCACTTAGGAGTAATTAGCAGTGCGATTCTTATTGTCAATGCCTAATTAACCTATGTGTCAAGTTTCAGAAGGATCGACCGAGTTTTTGTAGAGAAGGGTAAAAAACCAGGTTTTATGGGACACTTAATGTAACCACTGTATATAGAATGAAGAAAAGAGAATTTTTTTCTGAAAAGCTTGCCGCATTTATATGTAGTAGGGTAGGTTGTGCTAGAATTTGCCGAAGAATGTGGAAAACGCACGATTGAGAGTGCTTATTCGCCGAAGAAAATAAGGTATTCAAGTTTTGCAGGAAATTTTTTTGAAAACGCTACGTCATTTTTTACCTAAGTTGTCCAAAAGTGGTATCTCTTACTAAATAGAGAAATTGAAGTAGCCAGCAAAAAAATGCGCTTTTTCTGATACTAACACAAGGTCAATACGACGAAAATATATTAATTTATGCTTACAAATGAGTTTTATGGGACACTTAATGTAATCACTATAAGTCGAACATAATTACCACACACCCAAATTGTTTTGTCAGGTCTTAGTACAGCAGTAACTGGAGAGCCCCACTCAGTATGGGTAGCTTTAGTCACTATTCCATTCTGTTGTAGTTCTTCAAACTTTTTGTCTATCTGTTGCTGAATATTGGGATGATTTCTTCTTGGTGGTGTATAGATAGGGTGAGAATCACCTGTGTCAATAGTAAATTCCATAAGAGTTGTGATTGACGGTTTGTTTTTATTTGCAGCAATTACTGACTTATGAGTCTCCAATAATTTATCTACCGAAGGTTGAATATCTAAAAAATTAACATGAGAGCATCCTGAAAGGTTGCGAAATAGTGTGTACTTAGTATACCTTTGAGTTGTCTCTGTCTTCCCTTTTCTTTCTTTTTGTTGTGTACCTGTTACACATATCCTTCAATTTTTTATATAATTATCATCTATCCTATCACTTTATTTTTTCTTCGGATTTTGTCTCAAGCATTACTCGAGAATTAGAAAAAGTAAGATAACTCAATATTACATTATCAATTATATCATATACTTATATCAATAAAGCTTTTACTATATTATCAACAAAATATAACAAAGTAGTTAAATTCTATCTCAAAATCCAATCCGAACAAAATCCAAAGATTTCAATCCTTAGCGGACTTTCCAAAATGAAAAGTTTTTTATTTTAGATAAGTCAAACATTTTTTAGCGGACTTTCCATCAGACTTTCTAAAATGAAAAAAATAAAAATTTCCTCCAAAACTATCTAAAATAAAAAGTTTTCGGTAGACTTTTCACTCAAAAAACAACCAAACGTGCCAGAACTGCACCTACCACCACTACTACCACTGCCTCAACTTCCTCTTCAGTTGACCTAGTCATCACCGAAGAAGATGCTGAAGATGATCTCGAGTCAATTACCGAGACTCCCAAGAAAGGCAAAGGTAAAGGAAAACAGTGGCCGGCCACCGAGAAGGAGTAATTGTGTGTCTCTTGGGTGAACACTTCGATTGATCCGGTCAAAGGATCGTATAAAAAGCTCAAGACGTATTGGAGTCGTATTCACGAGAACTACGAGCAAAGCCGAGTGGAAAAAGAATTCGGTTCTTATCGTGAAGCAAAGGCTCTTGAACAACAGTTCAGGAAGATCAAAACCGACGTGCTTGCTTTCTGTGGCCACTACAACAGAATAAAAAATCAGAACAAAAGTGGAACCAACCAGTCCGATGTGGTAAGTAGCTAATATTAATCTTTGATCTGTGTTAACATGTTGAATTTGAAACTTGCCAAGAAGGCATTTCGGGATCTTGAGGGTCGTGATTTCGAGTTCGTTGACTGTTGGGAATTGTTGAGGGACGTTCTCAAGTTCCAAAGTGTAGTTGACTCTGCAAAGAAACCAAAGAAGAAAGCTGATGAGGAGGGTAAGGCCCAATATGAACAGCGGCCTATGGGCAACAAGAAGTCTCTTGCTCTTGTTGTTCAAAAGCAAATAGAAACTGGAAAGCAGCAAGCCATCCTCGAGAAAATCAAGCTTGAAGCTGCTTTCAATGCGAGCATGGAGCAAGTCTTCAGAAAAAATGTGGCCATCGCTGAAAACGCTGCAAGAGAAGCGCATGAGCGCCACATTATGTCTGTGGACATCTCGTCCATCCTTGAAGAAGATAGACAGGAGTACTACCAGTACGAGAGAATGAAGTTCATTGCACGTATCAGGAAGGAGAAGGCTGAGATGGAGATGGCCGAAAAGAAGGAGAAGGAGAAGGAGCAGATCGTTTTGGATGATGATGATTCATCTTGTAATGATGATTTTGAAGACGTTGAAGAAGAAATTTAATCAATTGAATCAAATGAATAAGTAATCCATTTTTCAACAATATTCTCAGTTATAATATTTTTTATTTCATTTTCTAGTAGGTACATCCTTGTAGATCTCCCAAAGATGATTGATAAGATCGGTTTGCAACTGGTTGTGAAGATATTTATCGCGAGTCGTTCTGTGAATTTCAACATAACGAGATATGTTCGTCTCTTTCAGAACAGACTCGTCAAACTCTTTATCATCTTCAACAAAATCGCCTTTGTTGAGATCATCTCGCTGATCCTCAATGATCGTGTTATGCAAGATGATGCAGGCTATCATGATATCCCGTAAAGAGCTTGTGTGCCACAAACGTACAGGATCCTTCAAAATTCTGAAGCGTGCTTGCAACACTCCAAAAGCGCGCTCGACATCCTTTCTGGTTGATTCTTGTTTAGCAGCAAAAATCTAAATAGTATATACTGGATTAGTCAAGTTTCTCCCTTAATTGTAAAATGTACCTCTTGTCTTCTTGTTTGTGGTAGAGAAATTGTTTTGACAAATGATGCATAGGATGGGTAAATGCCATCTACAAGGTAGTACCCATTGTCATAAGTTTTTCCGCATAGCTCGAAGGATGTCGTAGGACCATCACCAGCGACCAACTGATCAAACAATGGTGATCTGGCCAAGATGTTCAAGTCGTTGAGAGACCCAGGTGCACCAAAAAAGGCATGCCATATCCAAAGATCTCGGGAGGCCACAGCTTCTAACACAACAGTAGCTTTCTTTTCCTTGCCCTTGTAGCTCCCGTGATGAGCCTTAGGGCAATTCTTCCATTCCCAGTGCATGCAGTCTAAAGATCCAAGCATTCCTGGGAATCCACGCTCCTTTCCTACCTCATACAAGCCTGCAATGTCTTCTCGATTTGGTCTTCTGAGGTATTCGTTCTTGAAGACTTCGACGATTGCTTTACAAAACTTCTTCATACAGTGTAAAGCAGTTGCTTCATTTACACGAAGGTACTCCGCCATGAAGTCTCCAGGGACAGCATATGCAAGCATGCGGAGAGCAGCAGTTACTTTTTAATTAGTTGAATAACCAAGTTTTTGAGCCCTATCGCGAGATTGCACAAAAAAAGAGTCGTGTTGCATAACTGCCTCCTTGACTCTTTCGTACGATCTACAACTCATTCTGAATCTGCGTCGAAATGTAGCTTCATCTTCGACGGGATCTTCGCGAAAGTAATCTCGCTGAAGATTCTCTTCTCCGAGATGACGAAAGTTCTCCTTGTTTCTTTTACGTTGTCGCTTCTTGGAGACATTGGTATCCTCTTCTTCATCAAGCTCCAACAATAAATCAAACAAAGCATCGTTTTGTCTCTTTCTTTGGATGAACCATTGAAGTGCAGCCATTGTAGTATTGTGATCCATGTTGATTTTAAAATTCAGGAGTAAAATTAATTTTATTTTAGAAAGTCCACTAAAAAAACGGACTTTCCAAATCATTTTTTTCTGAAAAAAAGTATAAATTTTAGAAAGTCTGATGAAAAATCCGCTAAGAATGCTCTGATACATCTCCTCCGTTGGGAAGCGATACTTGATAACATATTTTCTGTTGTTGATAATGCAGGCCATGGTTAGATTTTCAAAATTCCAAATAGTACGCCACTTGTGCATGGTTGTGATATAATCACTAATAAAATGGTCAAATCAATAAGTCGATTAGAACCAAAACGGCCAAAAGAAGTCTGCTTTATTAAAGGTTATATTTTGTATTGTATTTATACTGTTTGTATGATAATTGATTATCCTTAATTTGGGACTGAGTGTGCATACACTAGCTAATCGGTTGAGTGGATTAAGATACACAAGAACTGGGTACATGATCAGGGCACAGACCTCGTCTACCATTGGTATTGATGCAGATGTCAATTTGTGACTATGTGATGGTCTGATTTTTAACATGTTTAAATTAAGATAGAAGACATCCATCGAAGCTGCGGATAAAACTGTGATTGAAAGATATAGCTATACATGATATTAATACTTGCTCTTTTAAGGCATAACTAGTGTAAGAAGGGATGAATAATGCTGTGTATACAACATTGCCCCCCACCAGATGAGACCATCGCATAAACTTGAGTAAGTTTGCATTAGCGTTTGCATAGTATATTCGTTTCAAGTTTTGTTGAGTATTCAAGTACTTAATCGCTTATACATAAACTGTAACTTTAGTTTGTTATGGATAATAAGATCGATCATGTAAGTCAATAAAAAAACCTTTTGTAAAAACCCAGTGGGAGAAAAATAAATGTATAGGCAAAAAAAGACTGTTATGATCGTTGAGATCTTGTAACTAGACCACGACGTTGGGCCTTAGATTTGTTGTAATGGTGTCTATTACGAACAGATATATTACGCTTGTTGACTGTATCTGGTAAGCGAGTATTTTCTTTGACTGCTTGGGTTGCGTTTCTTCTAGCCCAGTAATCATGAATGGGTTTAAGAGAGTCAAATGCTTCGACTCTTTCCCATGTATTATAGCGTTCTTGGTCATCATAACCACGCCAATGCACATAGTATTCAACATTGTCACCACTACCACGATGGTTAACAATTGCTTGTACTTCGTAATGCCTCTGATCTAATTCATTTTGGGATCGTGTGTCACCCGCTTGGATCAATTTGATCTGATGTGTAGGTACGTCTCTAGATAATAGAGCACCTGTTAAATCTTCGAGGATGTATGCACCACTACGAGACCAGCCTTTCACAATAAAGGGTCCAATATATCTAGGGTGCATCTTTGAAGTACGATTGACATTAACAATCATTACCTTAGAATGAATTGGATACTTGTCATCAAGTATGTTATGCGATTTAAGATATTTCTTATGATCTAAAGCTTGTTGATCCTTGATGTGTTTATGCAGTGAAGGGACTACAGTTTCTTTCACATACTTTAATTGTTCATTAATGCGCTTGTGATCATTTCTTTCAAATGTCAAAGATGGTTTATCTTTGGTATAGTCAGCCAAATGATTGGGTTGTCTATAGAACATGGCAGTAAATGCGCAAGATTTATGCAAATGTTTGTATTGTACATTGACTCCATATTGCACGAGATCCACATAGAGATCCCATGACTCAGGGTCATTTGCATCTGCAGCAATGGCTTTGATAATGGATTGTTTGCAAACACCCATATATCTTTCACAGACGGAGTTTCCTACAGGATTGTAAGGTAATGACAAGCGTCGGTCAATGCCAGTCATCTCTACAAGTTGCGAAATAATCTCGTTTGTGAATTCACTACCCCGGTCATGGTTTATAATGCGACTAAAGCCAAAGAGCGTCCAAATGGACAACAATTCGCGTGCAATAGTATACGCACTTTTGTCAGGGATTGCTCGTAGAATTACGAAGCGTGAAAACATGTCTACGACTAAGAGAAGGAAGTTATTTCCTCGAGAAGATGTTACATTAAATGTACCCAGATCAATGCAAATATGATCGAATACGCCATCTGGTAATACATGCCTAGGTGGATGGTAACCTACACGATGGATAGTGTGTTGTGATGTTTTGATAATAGAGTTATATAATAAGATGATATAGAGACAAAGGTAGATACTTTGAGACTGTTCTATACAATTTTTATTATATAACTCTATTATCAAAACATCACATTTTTTACTTTGAGACTGTTCTATACAATTTTATTGTTGTTCTTTTTGATTATAAATTATTCTAGCATATTTATACATGAAGAGATGTCGGAGTAAGTAGTAGTAGAGTTCATGCAAATGACTGAGTCTCTATTATCATAGACTACTTTAAATTAATTAAATAATGTAAATTATGGACTTCGGTTATACGTCTTGATCTATTAAAAGATCCATTGTCTTATTCAGTACAAGAGGTTCTTTTATGTCTATTTCTGATGTAAATTGATTATGATGTATTTTAGTATGTAAATGAAGACTTATTTAATGTCAGATCATCACAAGTCTGTGATTCGATTTTTTGTTTGAGTTGGGAAATTTGTTGTTTGCATTTGCGTGATTTTGTAAATAGTCGTTTGGTTCATACTTGTAAGACAGAAAGACAATTGCAAGAAAAACCAAAAAGCTATTTTTGCTAAAAAAAACCTAAACAATTGCTAAATATTCTATACAACTCAATATACTCTTTTTAGATGAGTCTCATCTCAAACTCTTAGGAGTGCATCAACGTATTGCATTGTGCAAACTTTTTTTTGTTTTTAATAAGAAACGTTATTAGTATTATTGTACTTGTAAAAAAAAAATAAGTAATTTTTTTGCTCATAAAGCTACTATGATTGTCGCAGTACTTGTCGCCTCATAACTTTTATTGTTGACAAAACGAACAAGTTTGTTCCCCACAAACAAGAAAAATAATGATTTTGAATGATATGACTTGCTTTCTAGAAAAATAAAATAAAAGTTGTTGACATTTCGAACAACATTGGCAAAAAAGTTACTTTTTCTTGTTTGTTTTGCGAACAATATTAGTAAAGTCAAACAACTAATCTGCCATAGTGTAACATAACGTAACTGGTCCTCAAATGAGTGGAAGAGTGTCGTTTTTACAGACGAGATGTAGATCAATCTTTGGGGATCAGATGGTGCAACATACACTTGGTTACAGCAAGGGTTTAAAGCGAAACCCCATAACTACAAGCTATTGCCCAAGCATGGAGGTGGCTCTCTGATGATGTGGGGGTGCATGACATCTTCCGGAGTAGGATATGCCTCTCGAGTGCTTCAAAAGACAATGGATACCGATTGCTATTTGGAGATTCTAGGGTCGTCATACCTAGATACATTGCAGTATTATAGTATGGATCCACAAAAAACTATCTTTCAACAAGACAACGACCCAAAACACAAAGCAAAGGCTACCATTTCTTGGCTTAAAGCCCACAAAGTCCACTTTATTGCTGACTGGCCACCTAACAGTCCTGACTTGAACCCAATAGAGCATCTTTGGAAACAGTTAAAGTACAGACTAGCCGGATATGATACAAAACCAAAAAATCTGGACGAATTGTGGTCAAGGGTCGAAAAAGAATGGTACAAATTTCGCAAAGGCGACATGGAGGCATACTATAGCAGCATGCCTCAACGTATAGAAGCAGTCATCAAAGCAAAGGGCGGTTATACTAAATTTTGAGTATCTCAAATAAAGAATAAATTTTGGTGAAACACAAATATTCTCTCTTTTAAGAATGAAGCGCTGTTATTGGAAGCATTTAGAGGCAATTAGCAGTGTGGTTCTTCTTGTCAATGCTTAATTAATCTATGTGCTAAGTTTCAGAAGGATCGACGGAGTTTTTGTAGAGAAGAGTAAAAAACAGGTTTTATGGGACACTTAATGTAACCACTGTATTTTTTATGTAGGTCATACAACATTGGCAAGTATTTTTAAGAGCACCAAGTGTAGAACACTTGAGAAAGATGTAGGGCACTTGAACTGCGCGCAAATGACGGGAGAAATCTGGCAGTTCATGTTCATAGCATCGTGGACAGTTGTGTTTTTTTATAAGTACACGCCATGGATGAAAAATAGACATCGCTCACACTCAAATAACAAAAGTCAGTCGCTGGACAATTGAAATTGATGTTATTGACAAATCAAAATTAATTTTGTATTTTCTCGATTATTTTTTAGTTGCTTGGAAATAAGCAATTCGTGTGATCTCTTATTGTTTTCTCTTTTTTTTCTTTCCTTTTTTTTCAGTTGTAATTCTCTTGCCCTGAAAATGTTAGCTTTAGGTCAAGCTTCCTGCCTTGTCCTTGGATACAAACCCAATGATTCAGAAGAGAGAAAAAATGCAAAAGAACATCTAGAAAAAAATGGCTTAATTGCAGTACACGTACGTAATCATGATCCTTTTCAACCGGTGGCCATTGGTATCAATGTACACGAGCGACATCCCTTCAAATTCATAAGTTATCCCGATTCTCCAACAATGCCACCTACAGATTTACCTGATAACATTGATGATCACGATGGCAACGACAACAACGGCAATAACGACGATAGCAACAGCAGCATCTATAAAAATAATAATAGCAACAGCAGTAACAAAGACAGGTCAGAAAAACGGAAGCTTTATGACACGGTTATACCATTCTGCAAGGATCGTCTGCGGAACCTAATGAAAGAAATTGCCACCGATGAAAATCCTTTGAATGACAATTGTTATTCCAAACAATTCTGTTGTGAACATATATGAATTCATATGCATAGATCAATAAATGATGATCATGGCAAAAAACCAGATCACATCTATGGCAATTGCAATGGATCTATAGTCACTGACATTCACTCATTCTACTAGAAGTACTACATCATCTTCATAGTCAGAGATTATGAACCTAGTGACTCTGTTATTATTAATGGCCCTCATAAAGTGATAGTTAGAGCTGACAAATACATTAGCATTGGCATTTGACAAATATGTAATAGTTTATTCAGGTTCAGGTCAGATCATGTACTATTGGCTGAGCTGACAACTTCCTCTAAAGGCATTTCTCTTAATTGCTCCTGATCTAACAAATCAATCCGTAGTCAAGAAGCTAACCCAAAACAATATTTTGACCGAGAAGAAAAAGTATAAATACCTTGACATTTTATAGCAATTGAAAGATAACATTTTCTTGGAGAAATAAAAACCTATACAAGTTCTAACGGACTTTCTCTGTGTTCTTACCTTTTCTCTTATTGAATATCTACTCTCTCTTCATCTCACAACAAATTCCTAACTGCAGAAGATCAATACCAACTAATGTGTAGTGTGTTCCCGCGTCTTAAAAATCATTTTAGCGTAAATCAACTTCAGTATTGGATTGGACAAGCAAAGGTCTGGGGAGAATCAGCACGCTCACAAAAAAAGCAGCGAAAACCTGGACGAAACTTATGGATAGTTGATGAACAGCTAAGGGATAAAATCACTTCACAAAATTTTGGGTTTCCATATTTTTACAATTTATTCTGTAGCGTTCGCGACGGATACTTCCGACTCGGTTAAGGCATACTGGAGATATTTACAACATGATACGAAATACATAACAATTGGATACACACGTATATCGCCAACTGACGAAACAAAAGAATTACAAGTACATTTATTACAGTTAATGGTGAACAAACTATACTCCCCCGGAGAGTGCGAAGAAGTATTTGTGAGCCCAATTTTCACAATAAACCAACCAATATTAGAAAGAGACTCGCCAAAGCAGGATGATTTACTGCTGCATTTAAAAGAATCCCATGGCGATACCTCAGGTACATTAAGGTTCAGTATAATAGCTATAATAATTGAAGATCTCTTACAGATTTAGTTGCACGCGTCCATTTCAGCCAAAAACCTTTCCGCCTTGTCATCATTGACTACGCTGGGCTTTAAATGTCACCAAATGATATTGGGATTTTTTGGAGTAAGTCGAAAAGGATACTGATTGCAGCAAGTTTTTTCATGCTAGTTAATTTGAATACTAGACAATGCAGCAATATTGAGGAAGTTCTTGTAGACCATGGCTCTTCGTTTGAGATCTTATTACGTTTTGATCTTTTGAGGAATATGGATCTTGAAACGTTAAACGATCAAAGTAATTTTTTTTCGTGCTAATGGTTTGTCTAATAAAAAACGAAAAAGAAGTTGTTTATCGCAAGTTTATTTTCCCTTTTTTTAGAAAAAAAGTAAAGTGCTTACGCCGCAGTAGTCCAATTTGATGCTGTAATGACAGATTAATCTTTGAGAGATTTGAAAAGAATACAATTAGGTCGCTCTCATGGAAAAGATGGCGTATGCTATTTTGAATGAGAGCAACCATTTTTCGATGCAATGGCTACTTTTCATCTATGGCGTGTACTTATAAAAAAACACAACTGTCCACGATGCTATGAACATGAACTGCCAGATTTCTCCCGTCATTTGCGCGCAGTTCAAGTGCCCTACATCTTTCTCAAGTGTTCTACACTTGGTGCTCTTAAAAATACTTGCCAATGTTGTATGACCTACATAAAAAATATATATATAAAATAATGTTAAAATTGTTTGTTGCTGATCTGATTGTAGCTTACCTTTTTCTTAATCATCGTGTTATTGGCTTCTGGTGTGGTTGTCGATGCCATTACATAGACTCCTTGTTTCGACATTTATCTCAGCACCTGTCAGAATGCAAAACAAAGCCTTTGAAGTGACTTTTCTCCATACTTTTGCAGGCTTCTGTAATTCTTTTTGATAAAGCGTCTTCCTGCAGAAACCTATGGCGCTTAACCTTACTCTTTGCCACTGCCCAGAATTGTTCTATTGGGTTAAGCTCAGGAGAGTAAGTAGGAAGATACACACATCTGTATCCTCGATATTTAATATACTTCTTTATGTTTTCATGCGTGTGAATGGGTGCATTATTCATGACTATATAATGGCCTTTCATATGCAAATGCTTGTCCATTTCATCGAGAGTCGTTTCTAAGAAACTGATGTAGTGGCCTGTGACAGTTCCTGAGCTTATATATCCATCAGCTTTTCTCTTCTTAACAGGTCTTGGTTTTTTCACGCTAACTGCAATAAAACCTGAAACGGAGATAGCGCCAAATATAGACGTTGTATTTGCTCTCGTAGTGGGTCTGGTAACAATGGCACGAGAACCTTTTTTGGACCAAGCTCGTGAGCGTTTCATATTAATATCAAACGCAGACTCGTCAAGAAACATGCAATTCGTCAGGAAATTCATGTCGGTATTCTCCCATTTGCAAACCCAATCGTGTCGTTCCTCAATCTTTGCTGAACTGTTTCTCTCAATAGAATGAAAATCTGCTTTCTTCAACGAAAAACTACATTCACTTCTCATAAAGCTATAGACAGTGCTGCGTGAGACTTTAAGGTCATGAAATTGCGTTGATAAATGCTCGGTCACTTCAACAACAGTAGCAGAGGGATTAGCATCAATGAAGTTGATAACAGTCGTTTTATGCTCTTCGGTTAAGATGCACTTACGACCTACTTTTTTACAACTCTCAAAAATACTATCAGGACACACATTATACTGGTTAACCCATCTCTGCGCTGTTCGAATGTGAATACCCAACTACTCCGCTGCAGCTGACGCACTCATGCACTTTTCGATCTTCAGATAAAAAAACCTAGCTTTATCCTGAACAGTATAACGCACATAGTCTCGTTTCGTGTTTGCTTCCTTCATACGGATATCTTTGTCTTTTGTCTTTTCTATCGACATTGGGCAAGTCAGAGATGGTTTACTGGAGGCCGTAGTTTTCAAGTACTCAGTATGTGTAGCAATTATCTCAACAATAAATTCATTCTGATCAACAATGTAGCCCATAGGCTCAGGGCCGTCATTCTCATCAACAACCCTTCCATGCCCATCTTCATATAAAAGTATTGTACTCATGTTAAATTGTAAAGTATTGATGAAAAAAAAAAAAAAAACTACCACTCTTCAATTTATATTTTTCTCCAGTGCCAAGATTTACGACATGACTTCTAAGCAGGCGACATGGTTTCTAAAAATAACGATTTCTATTTCTGAAAATATGAAATTAATTTTGGTTGGCCAGCGACATCGGTTTTGTTTGGCTGCGACATTGCTTGTTGGAAGCACTGTATAATGGTGATTGTAATTGTGACTGTGTAACGTAGCAAAGAATGAAATTGTGGCGGAAAATTAAAGTGTCTTAAAGCGCCTGCTTTCACTGTACAGCCGACGAAAAAAGGTTGGCTGAATAAAAAAACAATTAGTCAGTTTGAAATGAAAATGGGTCATAATTTTGAAAATGGGTCACCAATAAAGAAATGTAATGTATGCTTTTTATTTTGTTTCCTATAATCCTTTTTCGCAATTCAAACATCTCTGCCAGAACGTCAAGGAATGCTTTATCTAATTCTCGCAATCTTCTCTGCTGATGTGAATTGATGCTTTGCGAATACGATCAGAGATTTTTTTATTCTGCCTGGCAGAAGAGGGATTGCTATTTACAACGGTCTTCAGCTTAGACCAAAACTCTTCGATCGGATTTAAAAAAGGAGACTAAGGTGACAAAAAGAAAGATTTATAACCACGTTGCCCAACCCAATCCTCAATAAGTGCAGCCTTGTGAATGGATGCATTGTCAAGAACTAGATAATTGTAGCTCATGTTAGCCGCATCCAGTGTTATGAGGACTTACTCTATGTATTCAGGGAAGTCACTGCTGGTAGTACCATTTCTCTTGGAGGCCTGAGCTTTTTCGCCAATTCGAGTTCGTTTTCCACTCCTAGCAGTAAGTACAACTTCTTTTCTGGATAATGTGATTAAACCATTTTTACAAATAGCACCCAGGATGCTGACATTTGCTCCCTTCGTTTTAACATCAATTTTTGCAAGTTATTCCAGCCTCAGATCATCCATATGAGCGATGCATGCTCCTGTTAAAGCCAGCTTCATCCAAGAACACATATTCATTCATAAAGTCTACGTTCTGGCTAACCCAGTATGCTACCGCATCTCTTCTTTTGGCAACAGTTTCATCCGTGTTTCTCTCATAATATCTAGGAATGATACGCTTGTAGGTTAGGCGACACTTTTTCTTCATGTGATTCTCCACTGATCTAAGGGTGATCTGTATATCTCTGAATTTTTTGACCGGTGGTTTGCAACAGCTTCGACTGTCAATGTTGGCTCATTAGCTAGCAGCTCAAAGATAGATACAGTATATTCGTCTTTGAGTATTGCGGGTCCTCCCTTTCCTTCTTTGATTGTGATAGAATCAGGGAATCTTTTCTCAGCTATTTCGCTTGTCATTTGATTCCACTGCTTGAGTTTACGAGCAGCTGTTGACTTTGAGAGCCCTATCTTTCTACTCGCTTCACTGATAGACATGTTCTCAAACTCTTGCAACAAATTGGTCAAATAGACTACCTTTGCTTCGTTCTTGGCAATGTATGATTCCCTTCCCTTCTTCACTATATCAAGGGAGGCACTATGGCGGATTAGTTGTTTGACTTTACTAATATTGTTCGCAAAACAAACAAGAAAAAGTAACTTTTTTGCCAATGTTGTTCGAAATGTCAACAACTTTTATTTTATTTTTCTAGAAAGCAAGTCATATCATTCAAAATCATTAGTTTTCTTGTTTGTGGGGAACAAACTTGTTCGTTTTGTCAACAATAAAAGTTATGAGGCGACAAGTACTGCGACAATCATAGTAGCTTTATGAGCAAAAAAATTACTTATTTTTTTTTTACAAGTACAATAATACTAATAACGTTTCTTATTAAAAACAAAAAAAAAGTTTGCACAATGCAATACGTTGATGCACTCCTAAGAGTTTGAGATGAGACTCATCTAAAAAGAGTATATTGAGTTGTATAGAATATTTAGCAATTGTTTAGGTTTTTTTTAGCAAAAATAGCTTTTTGGTTTTTCTTGCAATTGTCTTTCTGTCTTACAAGTATGAACCAAACGACTATTTACAAAATCACGCAAATGCAAACAACAAATTTCCCAACTCGAACAAAAAATCGAATCACAGACTCAAATACTTAAGGGATTGATGCATTTATTAGCACCCTCTTTTGCCTAAAGTGATAGTAATGAGATCAACAGTGAAGTTCTTGAAGCAGCTCAACAAGGTAAAAAAACAAGCTATTTCTCTAAGATATGTATAAACTTTTATTTCTTCCTGAAAAATGCAGCAAGAGAAGGCGGTGTTGCCAACTCTCTTAATCTAAACTTGATGGGCTATTGAGGCATTCCTAGAGTACTTGAGGAAGCAACAAAAGCATTCGGCTCTCATGGATAATATAGATATGTTACGCCACGGTTGCGTTTGCTTGCCCTGATCAATTTATTCAAGAAAGAAAAAATATCACTGATCTCTTAATTGATGATAAAGTGAATGAGAATGACTACGGGATCCTCAGAACAATCGCCAAAAATACCCACGATGAAATGGAGTTAGAGCTGCTGAAAGCTTTGAAGAAGAATGACAAAGCAACTGTGTTGCCTTTATGGTCTGAAGTGTCTTCTGCTCTAATCGCAAAATACACATTTAAGCTTGAAAGCAATGCAGCTACTCATGGCTTTCCTCTTCAAAGATGTCAGCATTCCTGGGCAGCCGGTCTATTGCTCTTCGAAACACACAAGCACAGAAGTAATAGAACAAGAAATAAGGCTTCTGTTGTTGAAAGAGAGAATAACTCAAGGATCAGGTATAACAAACGCAAAACATGCATTCAATGAAACTTTGAAATGCCTAAGATGAATCAAAACTATACAGTGAAAACCAAGTTAGTGTTGAATCTCTTCGAAATGAAAAGCCTTCTTTAGAGTACGCAAGCCTATATTGTGGTGATGAATTTGAGGATTCTGAAGATGAAATCTTTTCGGAATGGAAAACAACTGTCGTCCTTGTTCTCCTTCTCCACCTTTTCCCTCTTCTCAACCTAAGAAAAGGGTCAAACACAATGAAGACAAAAGCCAATCAGCCAAGTCTAAGTGTACAAGAAGAAGTAACAAAAAATAGTCACGACCTTAAATAATAAAACAATTTTTTTTCCATTACCTTCTCTTAAAACGTTTGTATTATAGATAAAGTCCACAGCTCCTGAATTCAACCTACATCCAGAAGCTTAAACTCTCTGAAATCTTATGATTGCATAACATCGACTCATAGGCTTACTCATCTTAAGAAGTAGACAGTACTTCCAGCGCTTTTTTAACAATCTGAAGAATTGCTGCGCTCCTCTTTGATTGGTATGGAAGAACGCATTTTCCGCAGTAGTTTCTTTTTCTCTAGCATAGCCATAGACAGAAATTGATATACTACTGGGCCTTTATATAGATAAAAAACAAAAGTCGAAACCAGAGTTAGAGTGTAAGTAAACATATAAGAGCTACTTGTTTCTTTTTGTTCCAAGTTTTGACATGGAATGTCACATCGCCTGGTCCCGGTACTGGTGAGTGTTGTTTGGAAAGAGTTTAGACATTGCCTTGTTCTAGTTTAATTAGTTTGTTTGTTCTATATGCTTAGATGAGATTAGTCTGCTTTCATTCAAAGTCAAAGTATGTTTAATCTATAAATTGTTCTATTTTTGCTACTTGAAAGCTAACATAGCGCCTTTTTTTTTTAGATTCTAGAACAAGTTCTTGCTGTCTCTTGATTTATAGTAAGTTTGATATATTATTACACACTTTCAATATACTCAAAACTAACTTTTTTTTTCTCAAAAAAGAATGCCCTTTTAAAGGAATTGACTATTTATCCGTACAAGACATGCACTTTGTCAGGTAAGTTTGATGGATAGCAAGATGGTGGTTTTTTCTTTTTTATTATTAGAAAAAAACCATATACTACATACAAATTATCTTCTGTGTCTATCGGCGTTGTCTCAATTCCGAATGACAAAGCGAATTGCTCATTTAACACTCTTGCCTCGCTTTTATATTTTTGTTTTTATTAGATTCAAGTAGTGCTTCTTTTCTTTTACTATTTCTCAATAAAAGTATCGTTTTTTTCCATTTATAATAAGCGTCTAATTTCTAGTAATCCTAAAAAAATAAGTGACATTACGAACAATGTTGGTAACTAAAGCACCAAAAAACTTGGTTGTTTTGTAGCCAAAGTTGTTCCAGAAGTAAACAAGTAATTGCTGTTTTGTTGCTAGTATTGTTCGAAAAGCGAACAATAAATTTAGTTGTTTTGTTACTAAAGTTGTTCGAAAAGCGTACAAATAATTTGGTAACATTTCGAACAACTTTGTACATTGAAAAATTGATGCCAGCTATTTCTCAAACAACCATTTTGCTGTAAAAATTGGTAACTTTGCGAACAAAAATTGTACGTTTTGTAACTAACTTTTCCGCCATAGCGTTGGTTTCTTCTTTGTTGACAATGATTGATTGAACACCAAAACTTTCTGATCGATCTTGAATGGATTTTCTTTGTTGTTGACCAATTTCTTGCTGAGGAATTCGTCTACCATATCAAATGCGCAATTCAGTCTCTCTTGTAAATCAATAGCAAATTCTTGAGGTGGTGACTTGTAATGATCAAAGACTAGATTTTCTTTTGCTGTGACCAGAGGAGTGCGTGGATGTTCACCATGTACCAAAAAGAAAATTGTGAAGCTTGTACTGGAATGAATCGTGTTGTTATAAACGAATTGAATCAATCTGAGATGCTTGTTCCATTCTTGCTTGATTGAGTCTTGAGCCGTATACGTGAGTATCAATCTTCTTAATGTAGCCATGAAACGTTCCACTATTCCATTCGATTGAGGGTGATAAGCAGGAGTGTATAAATTCTTTGAGCCAAGTAATTCTGTGAGTTGAGCGTGGAAAAGACTTGAGAAGGGAGGTCCATTGTTTTGTAAAAGTTCTTCAGGAATACCATGCTTGAGGATAAACTTACTGTGAGATACTTTTGCTACTTCTTCACTGCTAGTTGATGTTACCGGATACAATTCAACAAATTTTGTATATGTGTCGATCACCACCAAAATATACTTGTGCTTCTTGTCGTCTAGAGCCGCTTCAAATAATGGTCCTCAAAAATCAATAGCCACTCGTTGAAAAGGATGTTCACCATTAGTTTGACCAATAAGTTCACGATTACTTGGTTTTGCGCCTTTGACTTCTTGACAATGCTTGCAGTTGTAACAGTATTTCTTGATTTCTTGATCCATTTCTTTCCACCAGAATTTGTGTTGTTTGATTTTACCTTTTGTTTTGATATATCCAAAATGTCCAGCGTATTCAGAGTTGTGAAATTCCTTGATAATTTCTTGCTTGAGTGTTTGAGGGACAACCAAATGTAATGTATTTCTTGTAACATCACGACTGTTCTTCACCACCTTGTAGACCATGTTATTCTTCACCTTGAATGTTGTCTTGTCCTTGATATTTCTTTTGAGTTCTTGAATTTCTGCATCATTGTTTCGTTCATTTTGCCAGTTGATTTCTTGTAATGCTTGCACTGTAGCTGGTAACGGATGTCGCGAGAGAGCGTCGGCTGCTTGATTAGTTTTACCTGGAACATAAATCACCTTGAAGTCATAGGATTGTAGAAACATACACCACCGCCATATTCTTGCTTGTTTGTCTTCTTTAGTCTTGAGCACCCATTGGAGACTTGAATGGTCAATATACACCCGAAAAGTACCACATTCAAGAAATTGTTTGAACTTCTTGATTCCAAAGACTACTGCGAGACATTCTAATTCTTGTGCTGAGTAATTCTTCTCGGCAGGTGTTAATGATCTTGATGCATATGCTAATGGATATGGAGTATTTTCATAACGTTGACATAGAATCACTGCTATACCCGCTTTTGTTGCTGCATCACAGTGTAATTCGAAAGGCAATGAAAAATCTGGTTACTTGAGCGTTGGTAATAGGCATAGATTTTTTTTTAGTGCTTCGAAAGCTTGTTGTTGTTTTTCGGTCCAGATAAAGTCTTGATCCTTCTTCTTTAGTAATCTGAGAGGTTCTGCTTTGATTTGATATTGAGAAATGAATCTTTAATATACGCCTGCCATTCCAAGAAAACGTTCGACTTCTGTTAAGCAAGTTGGAGTTGTGTATTCTACAATAGGTTTAATCTTGTCTGGATTTCCTTGAATACCTTTGTCTGAAATGAGGAACCCCAAATATTTGATCTTGTTTAACATTCATTGACACTTTGATAATTTGATTGACAAGTTGGCATAACGTAAGCAATCCATCACCAGTCGAATTTGCTTGATATGTTCATCCACATCAGAAGAAAAAATAGTCAAACCGTCCGAATATGCTATAGCTTTAGAGAAACGATAAACACCAAGCACCTTATCCATGATATGTTGGAATACCATTGGCGCATTTTGAAGTCCCATGCACATCACGTTGAAAACATAGAA